AAAATCCCCCCTTTCAGGTAGGCGTTGGATCACATACGACATCCTTTCCTTCTCTCCATCCTGCCTCTCCCACGGTTCTAGAATTTAACAGCTACTTGTCTCACTGTGTCTCTCTGCGGACAAGTATAAGTCACCCTCCCAGCGTTGCCCAGTATGCAAGACTCAACCACTCCCGATCTTTCTAAGCATGGGCTTGGTAGCAACATTGAGATGCTAGAAGATGCCGCAGATTATACACATGTCAAGAGCAATGCCTTCGTTGGACACCAGCAACAAAATCAACTCCAGCAGCGAGAGGAGAAACGTCTCGTCTTCAAGCTGGATTTGATCCTCATCCCGCTCGCTTCCCTCATCTATTTCGTCGCTTACCTCGACCGCAACTGCATCGGCAATGCTAGGCTAATGGGCTTGGAAGAGGATCTATCCCTCACTCCGAATGAGTTTTATAATTGCCTGGTGGGTTACCCTCTTTTCCCCCTTTTGACCCAGAAGTGCAGAGTGACTAACGATTCTTTCTCGATGCCCGAGAAAACAGACCATGTTTTTTGTCGGCTACATCATTTGCATGTTTCCGGGGAACGTCTGTCTCAGATTGCCTTGGGTGACAGCACCAGCGTTGATCGGCGGTGGTGTGCTGACTTTTGGTGCCTTCTGTGCCAGCATTGGCGGCGCCCATAACTATGCCACTGTCCTGGTGCTCAGAATCCTCATCGGGTGTGCGCAGGCGTTCATTCAGGGCTTGGGCCTGTACCTGTCTTTCTGGTACAAGAGAAACGAACTTGCTTCTCGAAGTGGTGAGTCCCTCGACATTGAGCTGTTCTGGCGGATCTGACGTGCCGAACCAGCCGTCTTCTACTCTGCTGCCACTGTTGCGGGTGCCTTCTCGGGGCTCATCTCCTACGGCATCCAGAAGCATCTAACACTGGAGAGCACTGGACTTTCCCCATGGAGGTGGCTCTTCATCATCGAAGGCGTCCTAGCCGTGGCGGTTGGCATCACTGTCATTCTGGTTATCCCCAACTTTGCCGACCGTATGAAAAAACTGAAAACGTGGCTGCTGAGCGAGGCCGAGCTCAAACTCGCGATTGAGAGATCCAAGGATTATAACACCACCGGGGCAAGCGTCGATCTGAGGCAAGTCTGGACGTGTCTGAAAGACCCCAAATCCTGGATGTTCGCCGTCATCAACGCCGGCGTGGCACTTGGTATTGCATCCGTGGGCAATTTCCTCCCGACGTTTGTCAAATCTTTCGGGTACTCTGCAGGTACGCCACGCCCTCTTCCATTCCTTATTCTTCCTCCCCTTTCATGCTTGCCAGTGCCGCTGCTAATGCTTGATATCCACTGTAGACAAGGCGCAGCTCTTCACTGTGATTCCTTACGCCTGTGCCGCGGTGTTCCTGATTGCAATCTGCTTCCTGTCCGACAGATACAACACCAAGGGCCCATTGCTCGTCGTCACCCTGTCAGTCTCTTGCATCGGCTACATCATCCTGCTTTCCGTGCGCTCTGTCCCGGTCCTGATCTTCGCCACCTGCCTGATCACAGCGGGTCTCTACCCCAGCGTGATCCTGCTCACCTCGTGGCTCGGCATCAACACCTGCGGCTTCACAAAGCGCGGCACCACCTGGGCCATGGCCGAGATCTTTGGTCAATGCTTCTCCATCATGGGCACCCACGTCTACGACCACCCGCCCCGCTTCATCAAGGGACACTCCATCGTCCTGGGAATGCTGGCTCTCGCGATTGTCATGACGGTGTCGTGTATCTTCTGGATGAGATATCAGAACAGGCGCAAGGACGCCGAGGTGGAGCGTTACCGCGCCTCTGGGGAACCTCATCCGCACGCTGAGCGGAGCTTGGAGGACGAGGGTGACCAGCATCTGGCTTTCAGGTATATTCTGTAAATGGGTATGCGGGAATCAAGGAGGAAGCTCATGTGGGGCTCTTGCGAAGGGATTCTCAATTGTTCCTCGATCCTGAAGTAGTAATGATTTCTGCTGGAGGCACCACAGGAACATACCCCTGTGCTATTTTTTCAGAAGTAACTTGAAAGATAACAAAAGAGAGTTCTGCCTTGTTCTCCTGCACAAATAAATGTACTCCCGATGTTCATCAATTGTCGGACGACATCCCATCAAATCGCCTGACCCATGAGCAAGTTCACCTGAACCGTTGAACCTGTAATGTACTGGATGACGACATCATTTTGGAGGTCTTTGTCTCAAAGCAGCATCGACAGAACCGCCTTTTAGGCTAGCACAAGAAGAAACTGTAACAAGGAAGAGAATGTAAGCTTTCTAGACGGCAACACACCGGGCCTAGCTTCCTCTATATCAACTTCGACCCGGATTGTTTCCATATCATCTGTGGAGGAGAAGAGACGATGGCTATTTTCTTCTCCAAACACAATAGCAAGATGGAGCCGCTTGACTCAAACATCAATGGGACATTTGACCGGCTCTTCCAGCAACGCCGCGAGCTCTCTCACATCCTGAGTCTTTTCCAAGGACAGGACACACCTCTCGATCGCATCGCGTCTCTCACGATTCAGAATGTCTGCTGTCAACTCCCGCCACTTGTTCACGATATCCTCGTTGCTGACCGGCGGCTTGATGCCCCGGGGCGCCTCGACGCGACCCTGGACCTCGGTGCCGTCGGCAAACTTGACCGTGACCACCGTCTGCCACCTGGACGTCTTGGTCGCATCGAAGGCCTTGTTGTGCGTCGGCGTGACCTTGCCCATCAACTCGCGCAGCAGAGGCCGGTTCAGGCGGGATGCGCCAAACTGCACCATCGACACCTGGCGATCGACCAGCTGCGCGGCGGCTGCGTACTGAATCGACATCTGCGCGGCGACGCTCGACAGCGGCTGCGTCGGGTCCGCGATCCAGCCGCCATGCTCGAACGCGGGCCGTGCGTGTTGCGTGACGATGCTCTCAATGTTGGTCAGGTTCTCCGGTGCGAAGAGCTCGGGATGCGAGCGCTGTAAACCCGCCACCGTGTCTATTGTCCCGTGCAGGCCGGCCATGGCGGCGTGCAATTTCACGCGGATCCCTTCGAGCTCCCAGCGCGAGCCGAGGCCGCTGACGAGCTCTTCGGGCAGGGTTTTGGGCTCGAAATTTGCGCCTTGGCCAAAACAGCTCAAGAAGCCGCCGTAGGGGACCTCATAGACCTCCTGGATCCCCGTGTAATTCTCCTTGGCCATGAACGCGGCAAACAGGCCGTTCCGCGCGGCGAAGCCGTGTTGCATTCGTTTGGCCATGGAACCAAACTGCGCAGACATGAGGCCGCCCGTTTGTGTGCACGCCGTACCCAACGCCCACTCGGTCTGCGCGCCTGATAGTCGAAGTAACGAAGCAACGGCGGCCGCTGTCGCCGAGGGCCCCTGAATGGCGCCGCTATGCCAGCCCCGGCTCAGTAAGTCGGCACCATGTAGGGCCAATCCAACCCGTGGTCCAACCTCACAACCGACGATGTAGGCCAGCAGAAAATTGGCGCCGGAGGAGAGCGTTCCATCGGCGGCGTCGGCGGCATTCGAGCTCGAGGGTGCGGCCTCCACCGAAGCCAGCAACGCCGGGATCAACAAGGAATTCGAGTGTAAAGGGGCCGTAGAATGGTAGTCGTCCAGCTCAAACCCCTGTATAAATGTGCTGTTCAAGATGGTAGCCGCCACGGGGGACAGCTTTTTCTCCCTCCCCCAGCCAATGAGTGTGCATTGGCCGACACCCGAAGGTTCCATGGTGCACACGCCTTTCACGGCGGTCTCAGACCATGGAAGGTGCGCCGCTACCAGCGCGCAGGCAAGGCCATCCAGGATCAGGTATTTGGCGCGCTCGATGACATGGTCGGGGATATCAGACAGTTTGGTGCTCGTGATCCAGGTGCAGAGCTGGCCCGTTATGCCGTCGGGCTTACTGGGTGAGGTGGCATCGGAGGATGGAGATATCCCAGCGCTGGGAGTCATTTTCCCTCTTCGATGGAATTGGTGCTTGCTGGATTTGTCTCGCTCAAGGCGCAGGAAACGCTTGCGACAAGGGAAAGTCGTCGGTCACTATCTCAGTCAAGCTCACTTTACTGAGGTTCGAAGGTTTGTTCCTGAGCTTTTTGGCGAGAAGAAACGGAAGCGAGAGGAGTCTTGCCCATTAGAAAGAGACGAACAGCGTCTTGAAGCATTTTGAGTTGATGTTCTCCATGCAGGGGATATCCACCTGTCCACAATCAGTATGCACATCGGGCCGCCCAGAGCACTTAAACAGTGACAGCTCCGGCAGGGTAGAGGCCTTAAGCAGGATTGGCTCTCGTATACCCAAAGACGACCAAGTGCAACAGTCTAGGAGACGAGATTGTGGAGTGAGGAGGCTTTTTGGCGGGTCATTCCTGTGATCGTCCTTTGATTGGTTGAAGTGGCATCGGCGCCGATTGCGGCCCGGACACAATCTACTTGTTGATTGGTTACTGACGCCGATACTCGGCCTTGGTCTAACCGAGATCGGTCGTGATTATCAACATCGCTGAAGCAGACCTCGGGCAGTTGCGTCTTGGACAACCAGGCATGCAGGGTTACGGAGCTTGAGGGTAGACCCTGGAATGTCGCTCGATAGTGCGCTAGATGGCCGGGAACGGCCAACGAATGAGCAGGAAGATGAGTCCGGAAGGGTAATGCAATGAAAATATTTGAATGCAACATCTTAAGAGCCAAAATCAACGTCCCGTAGGAAATATCGGCGAGACAGGGTGATGTAGGAGTTGAGGATTTCTGTGGGTTGGTAGAGAGAGACTTGACACGTATTTGACTGAGGGGCCTCCTGTCAAGTGGAGGACGACGTCGCGAAAATCACTCAGAGTTGCCGGGGTGGACGTCTCCAAAGAAGGATCGAAGGAATGAAGTTGCAGGTTGGTAAAGAAATATCTGATGCGAGGAACCTGGTAAGTGGTTCTTGCAGCTAAGACAGACTGTCTGGCACACTTCATGCCAAATTTTGTTCTCAGAATGTTTCCTATACGATGACTACCTCCCGTTGACTGGAAACTTGCTGCCACTCCTTCCAACCATAACCCCCGAAACTCCGCATAATGCCTACGCGCTGCCACTTCGTCTCGTCTCCCGGCACCATTCTCAACACCATAGCCCAGAAATCCTGCTTGCCGTCATCTCGGCTCTCGCTAGGCTCCCAGTACACCGTCAGAAGCAACAGATGGGGTTGGCTGGCATCCACACCGTAATCATGGCTTTTGATGTCGGGTTCCAGGACGCTGTAGGGACAATGCGCCTCTTCGTCTAGGTTAGCAGAATTTGCATGGTTGCGGCGATTGTAGATGACTGCCACCGGTCCTTTGGCATTGATGTCGCGGCTTTGGTCGTTGAAGGAGTCATCGAGAAGGACGTCCGGCACCATGTGGAATTCTGGCTCGGGAAACCCACTATCACTGTGTTTCTCGTCGGTTCCATGTTTGATGTCCCTTTCGCTAACAATGAGGAAGGCGTTGTCCTCATCAGGCCGCACAGACGGATGAACATCCCAGTGACTTAGATTGAGTCCGTGGACTTTACTCCGCGTTGTTGGCCAGATGCGGACCTGGACTACCGGTCCTGATACTTTCATAAACCCACTGCGCAAAGGGCCGTATGGATTGGGACCAGCAGGCTCGCAGTGCGTCTCCAGGATGGAGATAGCAGAATGCATGCGGCCTTGGCCTCCCAGAGCTGTCGGACTTGCTCTGTAACGAACATAGCCGGTGACAGATGCCCACGACCAAGACGGGGCGTAGTATTCATGATGTCTTTTGACGGTAAAGATCTTATCATGCTGTCGTTCCCAGACCTCGGTGGCCCAAAGCAAGCCCCACGGAAGCTCTTCTTTCCAGATTCCAGCGAGGTACGAGTATGAGGTGCATCTGGACATGGCGGCTGCTAACCCTGAAAGTGCCGGCAAAAGGTCCGAAGTCTTTGTGAGGTCCCTCGTTGTGTACGACTCTACCACGCTGGACCAATCCAGGTGTGGCCAGACGTCAATGGTGCCATCATCGGCAATACATTTGACGTGATCCTTGACATATTTCTGCTCGAAAGTCTGTACTGCAAAGCTGCTGGTTGCCTCAACTTGACACTCGCACTTCAGACTCGACACGCACTCCCACGACATTTCGCTTGCTGTGAAATGGAGCGTGCGTGGCGAAAGAATGCGCTCCTGCAGGACCCAGCCGCGGGTATTCAGTTTGCTTCTACCGGACGGGCCAATGCTATGTGAGACGCTTTCTGAACTTGTCCGTACCATCTGTTTTCGAATGTAAATCCTGCTTCTGCTCGCCCAGACGCCCGGGGCGGAATGATACTTGACTTCTGTATTTCGCTGATCCCCACCCACGAAGAGACCGCCGTTACAGTCCGCAGCTCCATCAGCTGCGATTGTGAAGTGGGCTCCGGCATAGACGTCCGCCATCTTGGCTGCCTCTTTGTCCCAGTCTTCAGAATCATTCTGGATAATGCACAGAGAGTCGATCCAGAGATATTCGATATTGAGACGACGTGCGACGGTGATAGCATCCTGAAAAGTCCTTGGAAGGTCATCCATACGGACGCCTTTCTTTCTGTCGGCAAGGTTTTCCTTGGTGGTGGTTAATGCAACCGAGTCACCCCAGCAGTGACTTAGGGCGATATACTGGGCCTCCTCGCCGCGGGATTCATACAAGAAGGGATCTTGAACATCTGAGCCGACATTGATGACACGCGTGGGTAGCGGGTGTCTGGAACGCCGTCGACAATCAGCGTGCGTATCTGTGCATTCTTTGATCCACTGGGAAGCAAGATTCATACAGGCGTATGACGACGAATTCAGTGATATCTCACGAGCCGCACCGATTATCGGCCACTTCACAGGTTCATCTGCAACGAAGGTAAGCACAATGCGTAACGCAGAAAGTAGTCGTACTGTGATCGAACCCGAAACGGTCAAGCATAGCTAGGAAACGCACGAGGAAAGATAGAGGATTTATAGCGCGGTAAGTTGTACTGGGCTCTGCGGGCGATAATGGATGAAGCGGCAAAAAGGTACGAAACAAACACAAAACACATACTCTCTCGCGTGTAAATCTCCAGGTACTCTGAGTCTCCATTCTCAAGGTCAACAAAGACCACCAGAGGAGACCGCGGCTTCACCGAGCTCAGCACAAGAGACTTGACATCATGCATCCCCCCACGGAACCACTGAATCAAATTCCACAGCGTGGCGCAGGCCTCGCAGCCAGCGCCTGCGGAACCCATGAGATCCCTGACATCGACCGCAACCTGAATGGGATACTTGGTATATTCTTCTCGGTTGCGACGGAAATTGAGATCTTGGCACGTCCAACATTTCGGCCAAGTCGAGTACGGAGGAGGAGGAGGGACGAGCCACGAAGCACCTCTGTTGTAAGGTCTCGAAACTTGGTCGTAGCTGTGTATGACCCGGAGCCGGGTGTGCTCCATCCGGTCCATGACGAGCAGGAAAATTGTGCGCCTCGTCAGGTTCTCGAAGAGTGTGCCCCTGTCATCAACAGTGAGTCGAGTCGAGTCAGCGAGTAAAGATTGCAGATATGAACATGTCAGCGGAGAGAGCAAGTGGAAGTCAATATCTTGAAGACGTTTGTGTGTTTCAAGATACGCCAAAAACTCGTAAGTGTCACGAACCTTGGCAGCGCCGTTCTTATTCTGAGCCGGCAAAAGCTTGAATTGGCGGGTCAATCGAATGAGGAAGTCTCCAGGCATGATACCTTATCGTTCAGTCCTGCGGTTATGGGATCCATGGACCGGAAGAGTACAAATGGCCTTCGGGCATAGCACAAACACACACTCTCGTCAGGCGCCCTCAATAATACAACCGACGCCTTTCTCCGTTTCCAGACGGATCGAGGGTGGGCAGGGAACACCTTTCATTTCGCCGGGGCGTGGCTACAAGCAAGGCATCCACGGGTGGTAATTGTGCAATTCCGAGAGTATATGTCGGCTATATACCCAGTATAAACAATAACAGTTTGTTAAATGCCCTGGTTGGTCCGGCCGGAGCAGCGAATAGAGGTTAAAGACAGCTCATCGACCATGACGTTGTTTTGACCAATCCAAGCAGATAACGCTGGTTTTCTCGGTCCTGGGGCCGATGCAGTAGATAGGCCATCACTTTATCCACTGCTTGAGCCAGATGTTCATGATCTCGGCTGTCTCTTCTGGAGCTTCCTCGGGGAGAAAATGTCCCGTGCCGTCTCCTATGGCTTTGGTCTCCAGCTTGGTCCCATCCGCGCACCAGTCCCTCCATGTAGATTCCACGTTGTAAGCGGCTCCGATATATGATTCCGAGTAGATCACCAACGTCGGGATCCTGATTTTGTTGCCAGCCTTTTGATCCTCTCTCTGGAGGTCGTCATCTTCGAAAGCCCCAGCACGGTAATCCTCGCAGCTAGCCCTGACGACAGATTCCTTGTCAAAATGACGGCAATAGACAGCCAGGGTTTCTGGATTCAGAACTCTAGCCCTCCTTCGTTCGTTGCGACCAGCCCAACGATGGATCAGCTCGGAGCACCAGTTGCCTCCGCCATGGCTGGTGATGAGCTTGGTGGCGATCTCCACATTTGCGAGAAACGACCAGTGGAATCTGGAGGCCGCACTTTTGGAGCTGCCAAACGTGTCCCACTGGACTGCCGTGGGGACGATGTCGAGGAAGATCACAGAGACTATTTCAAACGAGGGGGTATCTCGAGCATCAACGGCGAGACGATGGCAGACCCGTGCGCCTCGATCGTGTCCTGCAATGATTATCTTCTGGCGTTCATCTCCCTGGCTCGGAAGGCTCCTTTTCAGGGCTTCCAGGACGGTATTTCCAACCGTCCTTTTATCGTGTCGCAAGCTATTGGCTGTACTGTCACCATACCCGGGAAGCTAGAAGTGAAGCCAAATGCCGAGGTCAGTGTATGCTCTCTTTCCTAAAATCCTCAGAGCCTACATCTGGAACAAAAAGCGGCAGCTCGGGAGGCAGAAGAGGTATCAACTAGGGCTCATTCATCAGTACATTTAGTGCCTTCCTCAAGGGGTGGAACACGGTTGTACCGATCGAAACCTGTATGGCACTAGCCGTTAGTCGGTAACCCTGAGACAGGAGTGGTGCACAGACATATAGCTCCTGTGATGGTCAGTACCGAGGGATAGACATCGCGAAATTAGGCCGACAACTCACGATTGGGGGTAGCCGTGCAGGAGGACAAGCACGACATCACCCCGCGAAAGCCCACTCAACCCTCTCGCATGGAAATTGATTGTTGCCCCGCTAGAAGTTGAGACTTTGCTTGGATGTTGGTAGAAGTCATGCACTGCGCCCGACATTTTGCTTGTCAGGGAGGGATTCCCGGTAACGCTGCGGCCTAGAGTAGTTGATAATTGCTTTTCAAGATTGCTGATGATTGGAAAGTCAACGCGCGGGACAGTACAAAATCATTGGCAGTCCGAGTTTCGCAAAGGCCGAGATAGAGACCCGAGGCTCGGAAAGTGGCTTATATTAGACCTTTACTGGGGATGCTGGTGGGTGTTTGTCGAAAGAGCTTCCATGCGGATATGATTCTCTCCAACATTGAGGGCTGCGCGGGGGCGGGGCCGGTGCGGGGCACCGGGGTCAGCAATCTCCGTACTCCGCACGGTGGAATGTATCTGCGAGGTAATGCCTGATACGAACGTACCAAGGTAAGGAAGTATTCCATACCCAACACTTCCAAGCGCAACTTGCTTGCGCACGTGTAGGCTAAAGTCGCGATTGGAAGCATTCCAGTGAATGAACGCAGGTGCATTCTTCTATTCTCCTCCTCCCACATTCGCTGCACAGTCTGTGCAGCCCAGTCTCCAGATGCATCTCACGCACTGTGCTGTAGGATCGAGCCATGGCCTGTACCGAATGTCGGCAACAGAAGGTACGTTGCTTCCTACCCCAAGGCTCCATGCCTTCCGGCTGCTCCCTGACCAAGCCTAGATCCGGTGTGACCGGCTTGATACTTTCCCAGACCCGTGCTCCCGCTGTCGTCGGGTTGGCGTTCAGTGTGTCTATTCGAAGGAATTCAGACGACAACGGCGTCCCACGTTAGTCTCTCCCCACATGTTCTTAGAATTGTCCAAATGAACCTTGCCCTAGGAAGACGGAGCTGCAGAGCCAGCTAGACTCTTTGCGAAAGCAACTGTGTTTGTCGTCCAGCAATGGCTCTCAATCGGTCCAAGTTCAGGAAGTCGTTGTCCCTCCAGCTGACATTTCGTCTCCGTCAACCGCTGCCATACAGACGCCCCTTGTGCCAACCCAACGACAGGACTCTACCAACATTTTCTCTCGCGCCTCTCCGTCGGCGTCAGTCCCAGTTTCCATTGACCATGAGCCTGCCAGTAGTCTCCAGCAGATATCCAGCCCAGACTGCCAGACATCACCTCAAAGTCTGGATGACCTCCAAATCACTGCTCGGGATATTGACCACTGTTTCGCATTGTAAGCCTGGGACCTTGATGCGAATGGCACATGGAGACTAAGCTTTCGGCAGATTCAAAGATCATTGCATGATTTACCTGCCCATGGATGGGAGCCTCATGGTTCCCAATGAATGCCACCAACAATCACCACTCTTATTCTGGACAATCGTCGCGGTGGGCTCCCGTAAATACGCTGACAATCCAACCCTCATTATCTTGCTTGGTCCCAAAGTCTCCAAGCTGGCCAAGCTGGCCTTGTTCGCGCAGGAACCCGTTCTCTTGACCATACAGGCATTCCTCTTATTGTGCTCATGGCCAATGCCTTTCGAAGCCCTGAGCAATGATATCACTCCAGTTCTCGCTGGAGCGGTCCTACAACTAGCTACTACCATCGGACTACATGTTTCGGGTGTTGGGCAAGAGTTTGCACGAACTAGAGTCAATCAAGATCCCACCTACCGCATTGCACGTGGCAAGCTATGGACTCTATGCGTAATTGTCTCTCAAAGGTCTGTGCTATCCATCTGTTGAGCATGCAGAGTTCATTTTAATTCGAGCAGGATTATCACGGTGAATGGAACACCTCCACTTGTGATCCCTGACACATATGGCGACGATTCAGAGGAACTCAGCTCTTTCGTGACATCAAGTTTCCGGTTCCAGAAGAAAGTCAGCGAATTTCTCAGTATGACCATCCTTTACATTCAGAATCACGCGCTGTACAAGCCTGCAGACGAGTTAGCCCTTGCGCTTGACCCGATAATTCGCTCTGCTGTGGATCGGCTAGTTCAATTAGAGGCCGATTCACCAGAACGCATAGGTAATGCCAGAGTGATTCTCATTCCTCATCGTCCGCTAACACGATCAGATCGGTTCTATGTCCTATCAGCTCAACTTCATCTCCTAAGCTATCACCTATTCAAGCACCGATCTGCAATCGAAGACGCTACACTATTGGCAATGTACGAACTCGCGTACAGGACGATTGAGCTCGCAATGGAGCTAGATGCGGAGCTCAGCATGGCTGAATACGGGCCTATATACCTCACGAAGTTCCTGCATAGCGCAGTGATTACCATTTTACGTTTGGGAAGAGCCGGGATTGCTCAACAGCTGGATCTGGAGCGCGGCCAGCGCGCCTACTTCGCAGTAATCAATTACCACAAGAGACACGCCGTGCGCCCAGACGACGCGTTTGCTCGGTTCAGCATTATCCTCACCAACTTATGGACCAGCAGGAAAGTCTTCCAGTATTCGAATGGCCTTGTGGATAGTCTCAGGGTCAGAAGCAAGGCCAGACTGGGAATGAGTATGGTTTACGACTGCTTTTGGTGGTGGCGACAAGAATTTGGAGGGCAAAGCAATGTATATGGAGACAACCATGGTATGACTGCCCCCTCCTGCAGTGCGTTTCTCGTGGCACTACATCCTTCCTAACTGATTCTACAGTGGACGAAAATACCAACCCTGCTCTTGACCACTTCGCTCCCGGCTTGGACAACGACCAGCTGGACCTGGTCGATTTGGATTTGACCCCAATACCAGACCTACAGTGGCCTGTCTTTGACAAGTTCTTTACCGAAAATTGGCCGAGTCTGGATTTAGATATAGGAATATCAAAACAGTGACAGCACCAGATTCTCCTTCAAATTTGATCCCGATTCCCGAAGGTCTGCCTCAGCTTTCCGCGGATCCAAGAGTATACTGACGGCCGGACATAGGTTTTGACCGCATTCTGTTAGACTCTTGTGCGAGATTCCAAGATTTTGGTCATAAACTGTAACGACAACTGCCCCTATTGATAACGGTAGGCCAAACATCGGCTATTGGGCCTTTCGCACCACAAGGCTCAGAGCATGCTAGGCAAGTAGCTAGCACGCTATCCGCAGTATTGGACGATCGCTAGTTGTATATGGTTTGCGGAGTCCCACGAATCCGGGGAAAGCGGGCTTCGCTTTGCCCGAAAACACGGCGCCGAAGCATGCATTGCTCTATCGTGAGAGCAGTATTTATTGCCAACGGTCGCCTTGTTGAGATGCCTATTTGTTGCACATTCCCGCGCCTCAACCACTTTTCATTTCCTCCGCCAGGATCAGTCCGTCAATTCGGCATTTCAAATAAACGGGTCCTCACCCCGTAGTTGGACCAGCTCCCATGAATACCACTATCGAACATGGAGAAGAAAAGGTGCCTGGCGACAACGGGCCAGTGTCAGTCCACGAGGAGAATCTCAAGCTATCAATCAAAACCCTAGAGCCCCTCGAAGAGCCGGACCCAGGACTCGACAAGCGCGTCAGACACAAATTCGATCGACACATCCTGCCATGGTTGTTCGGCATCTGGCTCTTTTCGTTCCTCGACCGCAGCAGCATCGGGAATGCGAACATTGCCGGCATCTCAGAGGACCTCAAGCTTGTGGGCACCGAGTACAATCTAGCACTCATGCTTTTCTTCATCCCCTACATCTTGGTTGATATACCCTCGAACTGGATCGTCAAATACTGTCGCGCGGGCTATTATCTTCCTGCCCTGATCACATGCTGGGGTATTGTCTGGTGAGCAAGAGTTGCGGTCATCTACATCTTCCAATCGGTGGCTGACACACACACGAAGCACCTGTATGGGTTTCACCAAGAGCTTGGGAGGACTGATCGCAGGTCGCGTTTTGTTAGGCCTATTCGAAGGAGGTCTCGTGCCGGGCATTCTGATCTACCTCGCCATGTTCTACCGCCGCAGTGAGATGGCGTATAGGATTGGACTTTTCTACTGTGCAGCCCCATTGAGCAGCGCCTTCGGCGGCCTGCTCGCTTCTGGCCTCGCAAAGATTGAGGTTGGCTCTTATCACAGTAAGAAATGATGATCCTACAGAATCCAAGTCACTCACTCAAATCATCCTGCAGATTGGCCGTGGATTTTCTTTGTGGAAGGTGTAAGTGGTGGCCAACTTTCAACGATCCTCAATTGACTTCGAATCGTTGTAGGCTGCGACGGTTCTCGTCGGAATAACGGCAGCATTGTTCCTGCCAGACAGCATCACGCACGCGAACTTCCTTACTGAAGAGGAACGAGTTACAGCGCACAGGAGGGTTCACGGAGATGCGCAAGGACCGACCAGCGCATCCAGAGTCGAAGAGGAGACTTTTTCATGGCATTGGGTCCGCATATCACTCGCTTGCCCACTGCCGTGGCTCATGTCCCTCGGCTACTTGATGATCGTTGTGTCTCTTTATGTGCGTATCCCACAGTCGTAAGGGGCGAGATACTGACCATCCAGTCCTACGCTCTGTTTCTCCCGACGATCGTCCACTCCCTCGGATACACCTCCACGACAGCCCAACTGCTGACCGCTCCACCTAACCTACTGGGCTTCATCTGCGTCCTTATCGCCACCCGGCTTTCGGATAAAGCCTCCATGAGGGCGCCTTTCATGATCGCCGGGGGCCTTCTCGTAGCGGTCGGCTACTCTATGCTTCTCGCCTCAGATGCCCCTGGAGTCAAGTACGGAGCCACGTTCATCATTGGAGCGGGCCTGTACCCTTCCTCGCCTTTAGTGAGATCACCTTCTGTCAACCCAACTTGTCCTTTGGCTGATATGTGCAGGCACTTGCATGGCTGAGCAACAATTCAGCCCCTCATTACGTCCGCGCGACAACAACCGGGTTGCAACTTGCCATTGGCAATTCTGCGGCATTTATCGCAACGTACTCATATATTGCGAAAGATGCGTACGTCTGTCACTGCATTGTGCGATTGGATTTTGGACCAATACGCTGACCTGAGTCAAGGCCAAAATACACGATGGGGCACAGCATCAACATTGGTGCGGCCTGCTTGTTCTGCACCATGACGGCCTTGACCATGTTTTACTGCAGCTGGGAAAACAAGCAAAGAGAAAAAGGTGCTCGCGATTGGCGGCTGGAGCAGCAAGATCCTGCGCGGCTCGGCCATTTGCATCCGGAATTCAGGTATAGCTTGTAATAGCCAAGCCGTGAGAGTTGCCTAGGTTTGAGATATCAGTACCCCGTACTGTGCCGCTGAAGGTTCTGTATTCCCAGGTATAGAGACTGGAAAATGCGCCAGGTATCTAATTAGCTGAGAATTCTTTTCTATCTATGCTCGGCTGTTGGCATGTCCTGAGCGCCGAACCAAGAAGTACAGCAGCGCCTCCTCGGTCGGAAGTCTACGTTTCCTTGAATCTAGCCGCGTTATTTAGAGAAATCACTTCTGCTGTTTATCATATGCTTCGCTTCGTTGTCATTCCCACGCGTGTCCGGAGTGTCGCTTATTTGGAGACATCTATCAATCTAGGTCGGACAGAGACTGCAATCTCGACAGCAGGATCAAGAGAGCTTATGCCGCCACACTTAGCAAGTAGAGCTCACGGGACCAAAACACGTAATTACTTCGAAGTAGATTAGATAAAGGAAGGTTGTGTTCAATAAATGTGCAAGTAAGATATAAACTCATGAGGTCAAAATCATGAACATAAAATAAATACATGCAGGTAACTATAACATTTCGATAGTATGACGAGGTTGGGTCTTACTCTTCCTCCCCTTCCTCAACATCCTCGACTATGGGCTCTCTCCATTCTCCACCACAGACCCTCTCGATGGTCGAAGCCTTATGCTCAATTGTAATGCTTCAATTTGATACCGGCAATGGTCTCCTCTTGGATGCCTTTTCCCTTGCCCTTGAATACCTCAGTCTGCCCATAAGCACCAATGCGGGCAGACCTGTACAGCTTCGACGTTGGCTCTGTACCGGGCTCGAATTTCCTTTGGACGCCAGCTTCGCGAAGCACGCTCGATTCCTCCAGGAGGGTGTTGATCTTGACCTCGTCGTTAGGAACAACAAAGTAAAACAGGCCACAGCGGTCCTGGTTGCGCTGATCCGGAGGAGGTTGGCAGACGCGATGAATTGTGGCCTTGTAGTAACCGCCCGTCCACCACTCCATCATTTCGCCGGCATTGACGATGATTGCGCCGGGAACGTACGGGACCCATCGCCACTTGCCGGTAAAGTGGTCCATGAGCTGCAGCGACGCCATCGGCTGGCTGAACAGCATGGTGACCGAGCCAAAGTCGCAGTGGCCCTTGAGCCACACGCCACCCGTTTTCTCCATGTCCTCTGGCTTGTGGCTGTGGAAGTACATCATGTACCGGAACCAGGAATCGTCATGGACATCATACTTGTGGAGGTTCACGAAGAAGTCCTGCGGCAGATCGAGAGAGATGGCGAACAGGGTCAACAGCCGGAACAAGATCTCCCTGTGGATAAACTCATTCAGCTCCTGAACCTCGTCCATGAACGGGACGAAAGTCGAAGGGTGTGGTCGCAAGGTCAGGTCTCTGTTCCAGTTATACTGTTCAATCTGGTCCTTGACGCCTTGGTCGATCTGCCAGTAATTGCGCAGCTTGAAGCCTTGGTAGCTGCCTTCCTGTTTCATCCTGCCTTCCAGACGCTGCTTCTCGTCCAACGGAGTCTTGGTGAGCACATGATGGCCAATATCTACCTGCCGATCGATCTGCTCGATTGAGATGCCGTGGTTGACCACCACGAAGAAGCCTTGTGTACGCATGGCGTGCTTCAGCTGATCGGCAAGCCTGTTGCGGGCGTCCGGTCCATTGTCGTACGTGGAGAGGTCCAACGTGACCAGCTCGGCATATTCCAAAGGCTCAGACGTCGGTTCAACCGGGACAAAGTGCTCAATGTCGGGCTTGGTGACAGTGGACGGCATTTTGCAGATTAGTGTTGGCTGAAGAGGACGTCAATCAATCCGTCAGACGAGGCGAGAGGACGTTGCGACGCTTTCTTCAAAGATCTATTTGTCTGAATGAATCCCCATGTGGCGTCCTGAACTACTTCTTATGTTCGTCGACCTGTGTGGATGACATCGTGCCAGCTCCGTGCATCGCACCGAGATGTGGGGTTATACTTTGCGGACCTCGGAATATGCGAGATCGGCCACTGCGCAAGGGATATCCAGAAGTTGCACCCGCGCAACGGATCAACAGCGAGGGCCGGGGAGTCTGTGGTGCGATATGGATCTTTCCCTGCGCCTAGACAATGTGAAGAATGAAGTCGACTGAGTTTCTGTCCCGATGACCGGCACGCGGTCCTCCCAGAGGGTTTCGAGGGAGGGTCAGACTATTCATTCTCAGATACGGACAATATAGACCAAGGTCTTAGGCGTGGTTATCAGTGCTTGGCAACCTCATGCGCTTTGTAGCCAACAAAATCTGGCAGTCAACCACTGAATCCTCGTGCTGCATCTTTGAAATGCCAACTTCCCCCCGGCCTGCTTGCCTGCCAAGGTCAAGATGCAACAACAGCAAGCCGAATCTGCCGGTTTCTAGGATGACGAAGGGCTAAACCACCCAGGGAGCGGAGTACATGCTCGTCCTTGCCGCAATTATGGATTAGGGAAAAGGAAAATTTACGCTCACGATGCACCAGACAAAGCTCAACAGAACGGCCGCAACCTCATTGAAAATGTATACATGGAGAGTCTTGGAGGCATTCGAGACAACGCTAGTATCAATGATACACATTCCCGCTAGTAGGCGATGAGATTGAAATCTCTGAAATGAAATAGCTCCAGTGCGGAGCAAAGGTGAGTGAGCATCGATTTGTAACACCATACTGGTATGAAGTCGAATAGAGCAAAGCAAACATGGAACCCATTTTCCACGGCGGGCGGAGCCCATTAGCGCCTTTATTACTTATACAAGTAAAGCCGCGGGGTAACGGAGCATCAAGCTAGGCTTAAACGGGCCTGTCCGCAACCTGGCTCGCTGGTTGGTCCTAATATGGTCTGTATAATGGATCAAAGTTCTTCCGCGGGCCATCATTACTAATGCAACCTTCACTTTTCTTCCATCTCCAATCGAAAATTCCATCAAGTCCTGCGGTCCGACCACGCAATGTAGACAATTCCGATGTTCATGGTTTTAACCTCGCTGCAGGGGTGATTGCATCCCCTTGGCCACCCCGTGGTAGATCTTGTGCTAGCACCCTGGATACCGCCCCTCAGCGGGGCTGTTATGCATAATGGTCGCTCGGTATATCGCCCCAGGATCTCGATGACGAAAGGAAGAGACGAGGTATAAAAGCCTTGCGCTTGGATTTTAACAAGTTTCTGTTTCCAATGCACACACTTCGAGCTCACCACAAATCCCATTAACCCCCCCAGACACTAGTCTTGTTCAATCTTGTCAGAGGAAATCCCTCCCCCAACACGAATGGCGACCACTGGCAAATCCGTCTTTCTCATCGGCCCTGGTTTCATTGGGCGGGAGGTTGTTGATCTCCTCCTCCAGGAGAACTATACAGTGACAACCCTGACGCGTCGTGAGGCTTACGCGACCGAACTTCAACAGAGCGGCGCGAAGACCGTTCTCGGCAGCCTGGACGACCGAGACACGATCGTCAAACAGACTCTCACAAGTGACATTGTCATCCACACGGCGACGGCAGACCACTTGCCCTCGGTCGAGGCCGTCATTGCAGGCATCGAGCAACGCGCAAGCCAGGGGAAGCAGACCATCTTCATCCACACGAGCGGCACTTCGCTGCTCAGCGACGACGCCAAGGGCGAGTACAAGTCCGACAAGATCTTCTACGATGACAAGCCCGAAGACATTGATGCGCTCCCGGATAGCGCCTCCCATCGCTTGATCGACCTCGCCATTGTCCGCGCTCGCAAGCGACTGGGGAACAGTGCGAAACTGGTCATCATGATCCCGCCCTTGATCTACGGCGCCAACCCCAAATACCAGCGGCTCTCCATTCAATTGCCGACATTGACTCGGTTCGCGCTGAAACACGGCTATGCAGGCTACGTCGGCAAGGGTGAATCCGTGTGGTCCGAAATCCACGTCCTGGACCTCGCCCGGGGTTATCTGACGCTGCTCCATTGGCTCGAACAAACCGACGCCTCCAAGGTCCTTGAAAACCCCTACTTTTTCTGCGAGAACGGCCAAGAATTCGCTTGGAGAGATGCAGTAGCACAGGTCGGCAAGGCCTTGCATGCTGCTGGGCGGATCAAATCACCGGAGCCTAAGTCGATTCCTGAGAGTGACTTTGACGATCTCTTCGGGAAGTACACAGCCTGGGTGGTTGGGTCGAACTCGAGGAGCAGAGCAAATCGGCTGAGAGCGCTGGGGTGGGAGCCGAAGGAGAAGGGGCTGATGGCATCTTTGGCGGAGGATGAGATTCCAATTCTGTTGAAGGAGACAGGAGAGTTTCGTGGGTATGCTGGTGTTGCGGCTTCCGGCGGTTCATAGATACACACGACAGACGTTTCGTTCTTTGGTTCGACAAGACGAAATGCTGAATTACAATCTGAGAAGATGTGTAGGGAACCCAGCCCACCCAACAGCTGAGGCGAGTCAATGGACTCAATCATTTGGCTTACTAAACTAAGTCATTGAGACCTTGCTTTTGTCCCTCTTCGACTTGAAGGAGAGCAGCGGGGGTGGCTGTAGCATGACCAAAAGGGAAATCGATCGCCAGCTCGGCTATATTTCCGTTTTCGTCCATGCGGAGAGCAGTTGCTCCCACTGCGTCATTCTCAATGCTGGTGTCGTGTGTCTACAGATCAAGGGCGTAAACTCAACCACAGATAAGTATACGGAGCGTCGTCTTTTCGCCTCTTTCCTGGCACCGACCCGCAGGAATTTACTGTACTCCCAATCTGCTCCAAATAATGAATGCGTCTGCTGAGAGACAATGTTGAAAACTGCGTTCCGCAGGCGGGCTCTGCCCCTCTCATTTGGCCAGCGAAGATGGACAACGCAGAATACAGAAGAACCGTTTCCGCCCGATATCAACGAGTGGTCCCATCCTCCGTCAAATGCAAGCATCTCGGATGAAGAAATACAGAGACTAGCAGCGCAACCTCGCCGACCTCTTACTCTGGCAGATCTAGTCAGGTAAATATCTCTCTCCATCGACTGGTTGCGGACGACGCCTGACTTCTAGCACAAACAGACATGGCAAACCTCCCTTACGAGACTCTGCTCTTCTTTCCTCCGCAAATTTCACGTTGTCCCTTCTCCCGGCCCGCCTCGCACATCGCATCCAAGCTCTTCGGAATCTGCCCTTCATCGTGGTGTCCAACCCAAACGTCTCGAAGATATACAACAACTACCTACATTCTCTCTCCACCCTAGAACCTTTCTACAAGAAACCTATCGAGACCATTGAAGAAGAGATGAAGTTTACAGAAGCCATGGCCGATCTGGTTCGGACACATTCCAACACCATCCCAGTTCTTGCACAGGGCTTTCTTCAATGTAGGAAATACGTGGACCCGGCAGAAGTCACTCGGTTTCTCGACCAACATCTCCGTGCACGGATAGGTACCAGACTCGTTGCGGAACAACATCTGGCCCTGCATATGGCTTCCACGGGAGACGCGGCCAAGCAGAAACCCGACCCAACCCACGTCGGGGTAATCGACCTTGCGCTCCGCCCTGCAGACATCGTGCGCCGGTGTGAGGGCTTCGTCAACGAGGTCTGTGAGTACAAATACGGCGTTCGGGTCTCTTTGGTGATCAATGGAGACCAAGATGCAGAATTTGCACACATTCCCATGCACCTAGAGTACATCATCACGGAACTCTTGAAAAATGCATTCCGCGCCACGATCGAGAATGGCGCCGAGAAGGAGCCCATTGAGGTCACGATTGCCTCCGCTCCTGACGTACAGACCACGAAGCTGGAATCGCTCAAGAAGCTGTCGGTCAGCAAAGAGAACGCATATGACTTCTCCCAGGAAGGGCTCGACGAGTACTGCGCTTCGTCTGACGAGGATGTTCTTGATGCTCTCAACTCGGCCGCCCCTTATATCACCTTGCGCATTCGTGATCGAGGCGGCGGTATCCCACCCGATGCCTTACCCAACATCTGGTCATACAGCTTTACCACTTTCAACAACGAAGAAGCCGCGGCAGCGGCCAATGCCGGCAGCGATGGCTCCGAGGGCTTGAGTGCCATCTCAAACAGTGGAACGAATCAGTCTTCCATTGCCGGCTTGGGCTATGGCTTACCCCTGGGACGAGCTTACGCCGAGTACTTCGGCGGGGGGATCGCCGTACAGAGCATGTACGGTTGGGGCACGGATGTCTACTTGACGTTGCAGGGTATTGGGAATACCCAGGAATTGAAGGACGCGCCCAATGGTTTTGAAGAGTTGGAGAAAGAGATGGGCGATTAGGGATAGAGTCAGGAGCTTTGGCTTCGGGACTTCATTTGCTCCTGCTGGAAAGTGGGAGCACTCATCAAACTGGAAAGCACAGAGGTGTAGCTCTTTCAAGAGCCACCGCGGCTTAGAGGCGCCTCGAATGCCGGAGCAGCGTCCAACATCGTCAATTACTTGCCGGTGAAGGCATTCGGCGGCGACGGACTTGTGTGAGGTTCGTTCAAGTAAACACCGCATGGAGCTTGCCCGAGGCTCTGTCCGCCAACCGTTCCTGCATTGGGAGCCCATACATCTCCCTCGTCCAGCGACAACAGATCTTCCTCGTGTCCTTGGGATCGACAATCTCTTCGACGTTGAAGCACGTCGCCGTCCGCACCGGGTTCATCAACCTGATGTACTCATCTTCCAGCTCCTTGTACCGTCTCTTCCACCCCTCTTCACCTTCCTTCTCGCGGATCGTCTTCAGCTCATGACGGTGACCCACCTCGATCCCGCCGTCCAGTGGCAAAGAGCCCCAGTTGCCCGAAGGCCAAGCGATCCGCATCCAAGGTTCGCGGCTGTCAAGCATGATGCCGCCAGCAACACCATACACGCGACGAGTCACCACGCTGAAGATCGGGGTCGTGGTGCTGTAGTAGGCTTTGCCGAGCTCGACACCCCATTTCATAGTGGCGGTGCGCTCGGCGACTGTCCCGATGGCGTAGCCAGCTGTCGTAGGGAATACATCAGTGTATGGAGTAGAAACAGCGGCGCATGTCCATGAGCAAGAGTTCTAGTATACGAGCAGCAAGCAGGTGGAGCCATGACCGATGTAAGACACGAACGCAAGATGGGAATATAGAAGGCGGGTAAAATACGGGAGACTAGAGGGATCAATCACTTACGAACGTCCACAAACTGCACGACGGGCAAATTGAACACGTCGCAGAACTTGAGCATCTTCATCAGCTTCTGGCTGCCCATGGCGTCCAGCGCGCCCGAGTTGACTTCGCAGTTCAGGCTGAGGATGCCGACGGGCCTTCCCCCCAGGCGGGCGAGGCCGGTGATGCCGGTGCGGCCCCAGAGGGCGCCGATCTCGAACCACGAGCCGGCGTCGACGACGGACAGGATGATGGTGTAGGGGTTGTACATGCGCGACTTCTTGCGGGGGATGATGCTGCGGAGGGCGAGGTCCTCGCGGTCGACGGGGTCGTCGGCGGGGAGCGTGGGCGGGGGCTGGAACTGGCCGCACTCGGGCAGGTAGGCGAGCACGGCGCGGATCTGGTCGAAGCAGTCCTGCTCGTCGCGGGCGAGGTTGTCGATGGTGCCGTTGGTGCAGTGCACGCCGGGCCCGCCCAGGTCGCTGAAGCTCAGGCCTTCCTCGAAGGTGGCGCCCTCGACGACCTTGGGCCCGGCGTTGAACAGGCTGCCGATGTCGGCGGCCATGACGCTGAAGTGCGTCGCGACCACGCGCGCCGCGCCCAGCCCGATCGCGGGGCCCACCACCGCCCCGACGTTCGGGATGCCCATGTTCAGCTGCTTGACCACCGTCGACAGCACCGTCACGTGCGGCATGTACGAGTACCCCTGCGTCATGATGGTCGAGACCGAGCCGCCGCCCGAGGAGCCGTCCACCAGCTTGACCACGGGCACCTTGAGCCGCAGCGCCAGCTTCTCGCCGTACAGCGTCTTGATGCCCACCGAGCCGTCGGCGTGCCCCGACCGGATCGAGAAGTCGTCCGACGTCAGGTAGATCTGCCGCCGGATCCCCGTCCGCGGGCACGTCACCCGCCCAAAGCCCTGCGGGTTGTTGCTGGGGATGAAGCCCCGGACGTGCTCGGCGCGCGGGTTGCTCGTGTCCTTCTCCCAGGTCACCGTCCCCGTGACGGAGCCGACCTCACGCCATGTGTTCGGGTCCAGCAACGTGGCGATCCGTTCGCGCGACCACAGCTTCCCAGACGTCTTTTGCCGGATGTATCCGCGCGACGAGGTGTCGGGGGTCGTGGCGATGGTGCGCAGAGTTCGAAGGTGGGTGAGGATGTCGCTGTAGTCGGCGGGCAGGTCGGCGGAGGGGTCTGAGGATCTGGAGTTCTTGGGCTTGCGCGCCCGTTTCGTGTTGGGTTGTGGTTCCGGTTGGACCGGGGAGATTTGGGACGTCAGTTGGTTGAGGCGGCTTGAGGCTGTCGAGCTGGACTGTGGTTGAGAGGATACTGGGTCGTCGGATGCGGGTGTCTGGCCCACTCCAGGCTCTGGGGCGGGCGGGTTTTCTGGCCTGGACGAAATACTTCGCGGCTGGCCATATACGGGGTCATTGATGGTCGTGTTCGTTGTATTTAAACTCTGTGGTTGAGATGAGACAGGGTCATCGGACGGTGGTGTCTGGCCGATTCCAGAGCTTGGGGTGGGAGGTATTTGTGCCGAAGACGAAATAGACTGTGGCTGGCCGTACACAGGGTCATTAACGGTGGTTCCCCTTGCACTTGATTGAGACGAGACAGGATCATCTGTCGTCTGGACCCGACCAGCCCGTAATCCCTGTGCCGGCAGACCGGGCGATGCAGCAGCGGAAACAGGCTGTGCATAGACGGGGTCACTGAGCGTGCCACCTCTCACGCCCCGAGATTGAGAGTACACCGGATCATCTGCCGCTGAGATCTTGCCCTGTCCGGGGCCCGGTGCAGGAGAATCTGGTGCTGAGGGAGCTGCTTGGGGCTGACCGTATACCGGGTCGTTGATCTGGCTCTGATTCGCAGGTTGCGCAGTCTGGTCGGCTCCCGCGGCATCGACTTGCGAATAGACCGGATCGTCTTTCCTGTGCCCGCACCAGTGCCGCCAGCGACCGATGGCCGTGTATATGAGTTGTGGACAGCTGGCTGAGACGGTGCGCTTGTCGGCTGGGCGTAGACAGGGTCATTGATAGTCGTTGACGAGGATGGGCTTTCAGAGTCCCCAGCTCCAGACGAGGGTGGCGAGAGGGTGGACTTTTTGGAGCCCATGGTTCCTCTCCCTTTCAAATTCTGTGCGTGCGGTTTCTCCTTGATCTTTTATCCGTCCTTTTTTTGCGCTGATGAAACAGGCCCAGTAATTGCGAAGGAGAGAGAAGCTCTTTCTTGATCTTCGACCATGTAAATGAGGACGTCCCGTCCCTTTTCAGTCCAGATCAATGGGCAGGCTATGAGCCCCTTTTTTGTCTCTACTATGGTCTCTCTCTTCCCTCCTTTTTTCCCAATCCAACAGTCCGAAAAGCCGAAAGAAGAAAGAGTCTCTCAGAGACTCAACAGAGGTCGAAAGCCAGCGACAAGGTTTCTGCAATGCCTAGGTATGTAAGTGGGAGCCGTCGAGCCGTGTTGTCGTCTGGGGGACGTATGACGCCAATGTGGCTAATTGTCGGTTTCTCCCCCACAACTTCACAGATCCGGAGAACAGCCTCGGTTCAGTTTGGCGAGATGTTGGAGTAAGGGAGCTGCTTGAGGATATCCGAGAAGGGCCAGGAGATGTCGAAGCAGGGTACCATGAGGGCCGGGACCTCTTGTCTAAGACCTCTCCTTCCTTTCCGCTTGAGCATGTGAAGTCCATGATAGACCTTTTCGTAGAATTTCCCAAAGACTGGATAGACAGCCACCATAGCCCTATTTTGGGAGAAACATCAGTATGCCACCTCCTCAACGCCCAATCTCACGCATCCTCGTCGCGAACCGTGGCGAAATCGCAATTCGAATACTTCAATCATGCCATGAACTGCCACAGCCTCCCACAACTTTTGCGATATATACCGACAACGACTCCACACATATCTCTTTGGGCCGGCCTCACCACGCCATCAAAGCCGCTCATGGCCCTGCATCGTATATGAACATCGACTACCTGATCGGCCTGGTCAAGGAGAATCAAATCGACGCCGTACACCCGGGATATGGATTCCTCAGCGAGAGCGCAGAGTTTTCTAGGAGGATGTGGGTCGAGGCGGGATGCGTGGTCGTCGGGCCTGGCTGGGAGGTGCTGGAACGCACGGGGGACAAGCTGATGGCCAAGGCATTGGCGGCTGAATGTGATGTTCCGGTCCTCAAGGCTATGGAGAGGCCGACTGGCAGCGTCGAGGATGTCAGGCGGTTCGCTGCCAGTGTTGGGTATCCGCTGATGATCAAGGCTGTGGACGGTGGTGGTGGACGAGGCATCCGACTAGTCCAAGGCCAGGACTCGCTAGACAACGCTGTGCAGAGATGTGTAGCCGAGTCGCCGAGTCGCCTGGTCTTTGCCGAACAAGCCGCTGTAGATGGCTACAAGCATATTGAAGTCCAGATCGTCGGCGATGGTCGAGGCGGTGTCAAGCATCTGTGGGAACGAGATTGCAGCGTCCAGCGGAGGTTTCAGAAGATTGTCGAGGTTGCGCCGGCGCCCGTGCAGAATCGGAGAGTCATTGCACAAGTCATCGACTCGGCTGTGAGGATGGCAACGAAGCTGAAGTACTTGGGCCTGGGCACCTGGGAGTACCTCGTCAACGTCGAGCAGATGAAGTTTTTCTTCCTCGAGATCAATCCCAGACTGCAAGTCGAGCACACCATCACCGAATGCATCACCGGGGTCGACCTGGTGAAGGAACAACTTCTTCTCGCTCAGGGTCTGCAGAGAGCAGCGGACATCAGACTGGGAGAGTGGCGGGAGGCTGATAAAGCACCGCCTGCAGCATCAATCCAGTTGCGACTCTGTGCCGAGGACCCCCTCTCCGGCTTCTCATTGAGTATTGGCAAGGTCAGCGACATCCAGTTCCCGTCTGGCAATGGCATCCGGGTCGACAGCCACTTGTCACGAGGGGGAGTGGTGGGCTCCGACTTTGACAATATGATGGCAAAGATCATTGTCACGGCGGCAACCTGGGAAGAATGCGTCGTGAAGGCGCAAAGAGCATTGGAAGAGACCAAGGTGCTCGGTGTAAAGACGAATCTGAACCTGCTCAAGGCCATCCTGACAGACAGGACCTTCGCGGCCGGCAACGCAGATACAAGTTGGCTGGAGCAGAATCTGGACCACCTCGTCCCGTCTGGAGAACAGCTCGGCGCCGTCAGTGAACAACGGGATGCATCCCTTCCAGCCCTGTCCTTGTCAAGCAACGCCTCAGGCTCCGCCGTCGGCGGCGCATCAACACTCTTCAGAAAGGGCGACGCCTGGACTCTGGTGCTCGAGAATCCCGCCGAGAAACCCTCAAGTGTCAAGCCGCCCGCTCATCACCTCGCCATCTCGCGCGTCACACGCAATGAATTCCCCACGGCGCTCATCGCCGACATCTCTTACACCGTCCCTGGGTCGAAACCCCGGTCCTACAAGATGACCCTGAACAGCACAACCTCCTCTGCCGACGCCGCCGCCTCGACGCACCGACGAGGCGATCCCAGCAAAAAGAACCACATTGTTCTGCCCATGAGCGGCAAATTGGTCGAAGTGCTCGTGGACGTAGGCGATGAAGTGCGCGAGAACGAGGTGATTGCATTCGTCAAGCAGATGAAGATGGAATTGGAAGTCAGGTCGCCGAGGGCGGGTAGGGTGAAGTGGGTGATTGAGATGGAGAACGAGGAGGAAGGCGACGACGTCGCCGAGGGCGTCTTGTTGGTGGAACTGGAGGACGAAGAGGACCGTGAAAAGAAGCCCGAGGTTAGATCTAGATTGTGATGCGAGCTCGACGAAAGGGGGCTATATTCATACAGGACATAGAAGACTAGAATCGTCATTGCGCCTCTAATGTTGGACCAATGCCCGAGTAACACAAGAAGCAATGAAAACATGCAACTTCTTCCCCGTCCAACCCCTTTTCTGTCTCCCAGAGTAGGAGAGTCATATGGTATAGCAAATTTATCTCCGCAAGAATTCTTCCACCTCAAATCCAACCCTCCTCTTCGCCTTGTCCCAGTTTTCCATCTCTTTAGCCTGTTGTGCCCCCGTCAGCGTCTTCCCTGCTCCCTTCGCGTCCTCGCCAGCTGCCATATTCAATCCTGCTAGACCAGTTTTCACAATCACAGCCCTAGAATCTTGCAGTCGGATCTCCACTCCTGTTCCTCCACTGTGGGATTGAGATGAAGTTACGCTCGAGACTCTGTCCCTGCCAACGCCCGAGTTACCATGTGCGCCGCCCACAACACCAGGATGATTGCCCTGAATCGGTGTCTGTTTGACAACATCCACACCTTCAGCAGGTTCTTCATCCGCTCCTCTTATAATAATGGTGATGTCCGGTCCGATGCTCCCTCGCCATAGTGTAGCAAACCACTGCCAGTGCGCGGGCGGGGAGAAGCCGTCATTTATAGGCATACTGATGGAATTCGCGTCGACGGTGGTGAGCTGGAAATGAGGGACGATGGCGATAGGTATGGCTTCACTGGGATTGGTACAAGAGGTGGTCGTTGCTGGTGGTTGGGCAGATGCTGGACGAGGTACCGAAGATGCTGGCAGAGGAGGTGGAACCCGCGACAGCGTGTGAGAGTTCGATACGGCCGGAGGCGGAGGCGTGGATGGCGGAGGCGTGTCTGGGGGAGGCGGAATGCGCTTCGAGTTAAGAGGGCGTGGGAAGGTCAGCGGCGCTTGTATTGCTCGCGTGTCCGGCCCTGTTGTTAACTCTTTGTTCGCCCACAAGCCTGGTGTACTTTGGCTTCTACCCTTATGCCCAACCGAATTCACGAAAGGCGAGTTGATGGACATATCGGCAGCTTTACTGATCGTCTTGGGTGAAATGGCTGAGTCAAGCTGATCGATCCTGCTCTCTTGTACCGCGCTGGATGAATGCGAGGCGACTCCCGCTTGTAGAATCCTCTCGGACGGCATTGGTGGCTGCGGGTGATCCTCTGCTTCAGTCATGGGATGGTCCTCATCTTGATGATCGATCATGATGGGAGATGACTGTGACCCTGGCCCTGGCCTTGAAGTAATGTACTCGACCATGTCTTTGTTGATCTTGTGCCACTGACTCATTACATCCAGATACGCATCTGGTGTCATGCCTCTCTTCTTCCCTGCACTAGGAATTGCCTTCGCGCCACGCATCATAGAGTATGGATCGGGGCCCCCAAATATCCTCACGGCAAACTTGCCCTCCTTCTCCAACTGCTCAGCTAGAGAGTTGGTCATGTTGTCGACACTGGCAGCGTCCATCCCCTCGACGGCAATAATGGCTCCTCGAATTTGTGGCCTTGGTGACGCCAGACCTGGAGCCGGCAACGGGCCAGAGATCTGAGAGAGTACTTTGATTTTGTTCAACACTGGGATGGACATGATCATAGCCTCGACTCCAGAGCTCTGAGATTGTGTAGACGGCGCCTTGACCGGGGTCTGCGTAACCATTGTCTCGATGGGAGGCAAGGCTACGTTCGATCGATTTTTCTGATGATGAGGCGGTGGTCGAATAGGTTGCAGCTGCGGTGGGCGAGGGTATGCTGCTCGAGGAGGCGACACCATCTGCGGTTTGGCAACTTGGACATGCTGGATGGGAATCTGCTGGGGGTGCTGCAAGATTTCTTGACGAGCATATACACCACTGGAAGTCGGAGAGTGGGCATATGAGTATGATGCTTCAGGATAAACCTCACGAGCAGGTAGGTAAAGACCATTGCCATTGAAACGCCGCCTCTTTGCATCTTGTGACTCTGCGGATGGGGGAGTGGGCAGTGTTTGAGAGGGAGGTGGGACGGCATAGACTAATCGAGGATCGACTCGCTGGAAAGTGACATGCTCAGGCGAAAGGGCTGGCTGTCCATGAATTCTTGAGCCAGGAGGTGCAGCACTGACGACGTAGCCACGTTTTGCAGGGACCGTAACAGCCATCGTTGGTCGTGTAGTAGATGCTGGCGGTGTATATACGGGAGCTGGGTTGGAGTAGTAGTTCATTGGCTTGCCTCCACACTTTGAGCAAGACTCTTGGGCTTCTGCAGACGAAGGGCCAGATAAGGAAGACTGGTTGCTGACCCGGCCGTTGCGTCGTGGATGGTAACGATAACCGGGATACTGCTGCTGATGGCGGGCTTTCTCTTCCTAAAGAACGTGAGAAGTTAGGGAAACAAAGCTCTTTGTCTGTTTGATAATCACAGCAATCTTTATCTCAACGTACTTCCGCAAGCAGATTCCATTCCTCTTTGGCCTCAGCGGACAGACCACGCCATTGTTCCCCAATGATCTTTGATACTTCCGGATTCGGAATGCCTGGATTCTGTGCTATGATACTGGCCTGTTGGTGTTGGCGGAACAAAATAAAGGCTATTGCAGCGTCAGCACTCGTTGATTAGCGATCATCACACGGAACACAGGTACTCTTACAGTTTCGAGGTCGGGGAATCTTGGGACTCGCTGGACACAAACAGATATTCTCTCTGGAATTGGAGCCTTTTCTCACAGCAGCTGGATGAGGCTGGGTTTCCATTTCCAAAGAACGGCCTCGGCGAGAGGGAGAGGTGGACCCAGAGTCACCATTGGCAGTTTCCTGGGGTCGTTCTATATACTCTTCACGGTTGGCACCAGTATGCTTTGAACTTTCAGGTAGATGGGCCGGGCCACCATCTTGGGAAGAAGCATGTCTGGTTGGAGACCGGTCATGGAATAAATGATGCTGCGCTAGGGACGAAGTACGTCGTAATGCAAGGTTATGCCCAGTGGGAGGCTTGGGTAGCAAACGATACCATGCCGGAAGGTTGGGGAGGTGATGGTCACCGGTAGCTGAAGTCATAGCGCACAGAAAGGAATTCTTTGTACTCTGGCCATCCAAACTCTTCTCAAGGGGGAAGTGAGCGAATGGCTGATGGGGAGAGCCATAGCTCTTTGTAGAGCATCAAAGAGAGCGCTTGCCATCCTCGCCTCACCTTCTTTCGTGGTTCTTTGTCTCTGTGTATTGAGTATCTGACGGGATGCATCGTCAGTAGCCATGGCGATGAGCGATGAGCGAACATGCGAGGCTGGCGACAGGATAGGTTGTCTTGGTTTGCTTTGTTCCCAGGCGAACGCAACACGGGAAAATGCGGTGCCAATCACCGTGCACCCGAAACAATAAGCAGTGGAATGTAGAGAAGACAAAGAATGAGTTCATTGCTGCTGTCGTAAGGGTGGAGCATCTGGAGCTCTTTGGAACGTGGGAAGGCTGGGTGTTCAACTGCCCGTTGCACAGCTCATGTTTGATCGGTGCTTTAGGTGCTAGGACTGCTCTGAGTGAGGAGGGAGGCAAATTCTCAGCCGGCCTGTTTCGCAATCGGCTGGAATGCCCGCGGGTACTGCCCTGGAGACCGCGAAGAACTGTGAAGCTGTCAGTCAGTTGAAATTGAGCTTTGAGACAGCGAACACAGCCTGAATGGCGTGATGTTCAATTCCCTCCTGGCCCGGAGGCAATGGATATAGGCACAGGCAGAAGGATGCGAGTAGGGCTTGATGATAGTGATGGACTCTGTTCGTCAAAACGTGACCGTCGTTTGATGGGTTGAGCTGGTTGAATTGGATGGTTTGTAGCGAAAAAAGCCCATGCGGCACTCTCCCCCAATCCGACGGAACGGGAAGCAAATTTCGTCGGAGGGACCTGGGCCGTCGTGGCGACCTTCATCCTGGTAATTATGGTACAAGATTACGCTCGAACATGAGAACAGTCTGCGTCCACAAGCAGGAATGTGGACAAGTGGTGGAGTTGTCTCATTGGAGGTGAAACGCACTTCCCTGCGATCTTGGACGTGAAGCGGCTGTGTTTCATATATTTCGTGACTCGTACTCGTACACTCGTCCTATTCATCATTTTGTTCTACCATCCAATGCTCCCACGAGGCGTTCCTGCCAGACGGTTCCCAAGCAATTCGAAAACTCCCTCTCTTCATCCCGACGCTCTTGTTCACCCAGCAAAGACTCGGACATTCCAATCGACGCAGCCCGTGGCGATGACACAGCGAATCTTGCCCCCTCCGCCGCTGTCCTCCTTCTTGACAGAAGTGCCTGCGCCATTCGTCTCCCCGTTCACGCTTGGTTGGGTTGGAATATCGGGTGCCCACCGGATACTGGTGATAAAGTGCTGGTGGGCATCATCCAGAACCTTGACACATTTACACTCTTGAGATAGATCCCAGCATCGGATGGTTTTGTCGTCAGATATTGAAATCAAATACCGGCCAGCAGGGTGGAAGACCAGTCCCCGTACCCAATTATCATGCCCCACCAATGTCTTGTGGCATGTTCCTCGATTGTCCCAGATTTTGATGATTTTGTCTCTTCCTCCCGTTGCGAGAAACTCTCCGCTACTGCTAGCCGGAGGCGGTTTCTTGTAACCTGCAATGCTGGAGAGATGGGCGTAGGACGAGCTCGGAGCAAAGGCAACACACTCCACCACGTGTTCGTGGCCTAAGAAGGTGATTTTGACTTCGCCCGAGCTTGCATCCCAGAGCCGTGGTATTTGGTCGTTCCCAGCACTTAGCAGCCATCTACCATCGATCGAAGGGACCACTGCCCGAACCCAATCTGTGTGCCCCTTTAATGTTTTGAGGCAATATCCAGTTGTGACATCCCAGATCCGAAGTGTTTTGTCTCTTGATGCAGATACCAAGGTGTTCCCAGATAGGGGGGCGCCAGCAGCACCCGAAGGAATAAAGCGAATAGAAGAGATAGAATGGTCGTGACCTGGTAGCGTCCGGATATTCTTGTATTCGTCGCTGGGATCCCACAGCCGAATAGTGAGGTCGCTGCTACAACTGGCCAGAAGAGTGCCTCCTCTTGGACCACCAAAGTCGACATCCAGCACTGCCTTCGTATGACCTTTTAGTGTCCTTTCGAGCTCCCCTAGCTCCCAGTCCCAGATCTTGATCGTGGAGTCATCCGAAGCAGAAGCGAGTGAGGAGAAGATTGGATGGAATGCGACGGCGGTAACAGGATCCCGGTGACCTTGTAGGGTGTGTCGGGCGGGGGCTCTGGGCAACCACGTCTGGGGGTCGATTTTTCTGTTGGAGGAGAGCGGTGTAGCAGTCTCAATCTCTTGTTGAAGAGCGACATTCTTGGCTTCGAGATCCATGATCTTCTTCTGTAGGCGGACAACCGAAGTCCACTTCTTTTCCAGCAGGGTTTCGTACTTTTTTGCGGTCACGTCGTCAAAGGTGTCGGCCAAATTCGCTTCACGTCGCAAGGTATTTGCACTTTCAGTCATGCCAATCGAGAGCAAATACGCGACCATCGACTTGTGTCTAGGAAGAGCAGCGTCAGTCTCAAAGCTGGGAAAAATGATAGCACGAGACCTTACAGTTCCTCCGCTTGACGAGAGGTTAGCAGTTGGCTCATTGCTGAATTATTTGGGCTCGGGGGCCCTTGTCGGACGTTTCCAATACTCTAGATGCTCATGCGGTGACCAGTACAGGATCTTCAACGGAATACTTGGTCCGCAGATTTCATCAAGAATTGTGGGTGTTGATCTGCCGTACTGCTGGAAGCGATTGACCGTCTACCACAGCTGCAGTCGACCGCTTCTGTGGTGATGCTAGCACGGAGTAGAGTAAAGAAATGAAGCATTCGAGGGCAAAGACGTGGTAGTATAAACCAGAGGATGGGCTTCCGACACAGATGGCAGTTGAAGGATAGTGAATGAGAAAATGTGCAGGGAGACCGACTTGGTCGTTCTTGTTGTCATAGGCACAAGCCAATGTTTATGTCGCAAACTTCACCCCATCTGCATCTCCAACACCACCGCAATAGTTTTCCCGCATGACACTTTTCATGCCCGCGATATCTGGCATATAATTGATTTCACTGAGTCTTTGCCAGCAACACCACTCCGAACAAGCCATCGACGCGTCGCATACCCCTCGAGACTTGTGGTGGGCACTTGCGAAAGGCCTCAGACTGCGGTCGCGACTGCATCGTCGTTTGAAGACTACCGACCGCATGACGCCAAAACAACAATAACAACAGGTGAGTCCCTGTCGAACCAAGTCACGATGTTCCTGAATCATATGCTCCCGTTGACTTCCTATGGACGCGCTTGACTAATGTTCTCCGATAGCCCGTTTGCGCGTCCCAGGAGAAAGAAACCTTCCGTCAATTTCTTCTCTCGGTTACGGATCTTCTCCCCTACCACGATGGCTGACCAAGAGGAAGACTTCTCACAACTGCCGTTGGTCGATAGATTCGTGCACAAGAATTGGAAGGCCCGCAAGGGAGGATATGAGGCCGCCGCCAAAGTGTTTGAACTCTCGCCCGACGAGTCGGACCCCGCCTTTCGACCATTTTTACAAGACCCGGGTCTCTGGAAGTCGGCTGCTGGCGATTCCAATGTTGCTGCACAGCAAGAAGGGCTGGCTGCATTGTGCGCATTTCTCAAATATGGTGGTCAACAGGCTGCCATCAAATCCCGGAACTACACACTGCAGCCCCTCTACGAGAAGGGATTGTCTTCAACGAGACCTCAAGCTAAAGCCAGTGCTCTAGAGGCTATACTGCTCTATATCGAGCTTGACAAATCCGACCCAGTGATCGAAGAACTGTTGCCTGCCCTCTCTCACAAGCAACCCAAGATCATCGCAGCGACACTTAATGCAATCACCTCTATTTTCCACAACTTCGGTGTTAAGATCGTCGAACCCAAAGCTGTCCTAAAGGCTTTACCCAAGGTCTTCGGTCACGCGGATAAGAATGTCAGAGCCGAAGCGCAAAATCTCGCCGTCGAATTGTATAGATGGCTCAAGGAGGCGATCAAGGTCATATTCTGGAGCGAACTGAAGCCAGTACAGCAACAAGACCTGGAAAAGCTGTTTGAGAAAGTGAAAGAAGAGCCGCCGCCCAAGCAGGAACGCCTAACGAGATCACAGCAAGCCGCATTAGCAACAGCGCCTCCAGCAGCCAGCGGTGCGGACGATGAATACGGGGAAGCGGCTGAAGAGGGAGAAGAGGAAGCCGAAATGAATGCCTTTGACTTTGCCGAACCCGTTGAGGTCTATTCGAAGATCCCCTCAGATTTCCACGAAATGGTCGGCTCGACAAAGTGGAAAGAACGCAAAGATGCTCTTGATGCACTCTTCAACATTCTGAACCACCCCAAGATAAAAGAGGCACCATTCGACGATGTAGTTCGTGTCTTCGCAAAGTGTATGAAGGACGCCAATATTGCTGTGGTGACAGTGGCCGCCAACTGCGTTGAGAAGTTGGCATTGGGTCTTAGGAAGCCCTTTGCCAAATACAGATCTACAATCATGTCGCCAATGATGGAGAGGTTCAAAGAAAAGAAGCAGTCCGTTGCGGACGCTCTAGGAGCTGCACTGGACGCCGTTTTTGCTGCAACATCTCTCAGCGAATGCCTCGAGGAGACTTTGGGCTTCTTGCCCAACAAAAACCCCAATGTCAAGGCGGAAACAATAAAATTCCTTGTCAGATGCCTGCGGACTACCCGAGACGTGCCTTCCAAAGAGGAGCAAAAACGCATCGCCGACGCAGCTACGAAGCTCTTGACCGAGTCAACCGAAAATATCAGATCCGGCGGTGCTGAAATTCTGGGGACACTCATGAAAATCATTGGTGAGCGTGCAATGAACCCTTATCTAGATGGATTGGACGACATTCGAAAATCTAAGATTAAGGAGTACTTCGATGCTGCCGAAGTCAAAGCGAAAGAGAAGCCAAAGCCTGCTCCAGCTCCCGCTAAAGCGACCTCTGCCGTTGGCAGGAAAGTTGTGGGAGGTTCGAAGAAACCTGCACCCGGGGCAAAGAAGCCAGCACCAGTAGCCACACCTGCTCCCGTCGAGGAACCCACGCCTCTACAACCCAAATCTACAGGGAAAGCTCTTCCCAAACCAGGCGGACTGGCTCGACCGGGCCTAGCGCAGCCCGCTGGTCTGAAGCTCGGCGGGCTCAAGAAACCTGCCCCTGGCGGTCTTTCGGTGGGTGTTGGAAGCCCCCAGCGGCGAGTCATCTCACCACCAGCGAGCACAGACGGCGACGAAGAGGCAGCAGTAGTAGTGCCGTCTCCATCTAAGTTTGGCATGGGTCGAGGCGGACTTGCTGGCCGACCTTTGTCTAGACCGGCTGTCGCTGCTCCACTATCGCCTCCATCGACAGCACCACCATCAAATGCGCTTTCGGTGGTGGAGCGAGCAGAGCTGGAGGAATTACGCGCGGAGAAAGAACGACTCACAGCCTTGACCGACAGTCTTCGAAGCAGCAATGCCAAACTCACCGCAGAAATATCAGAGCTTCAGAACCAGAATGCACAGCTGATCGAAGATCATACACGCGATGTTCTGCAGATAAAAGCCAAGGAGACACAACTAGTCCGGGCGAGAGGTGAATGCGATGTCTTGAAAGCAGAGGTCGAGAGTGTTAGGAAAGAAAGCGAGCGTTACAAGCGAGAAGTGTCGCGACTCGGGCGTGAGAGTATTGGTCGAGAACGAGAGGATATGATTCGTGGCCGAGCATTGGATGAAACCTCGACCTTTGGCAGTGAAGGTGGAGCAGGGGGCATATACGAAGACCCTTCCTTGAGCAGTCGATACCCTACGAACGGAAATGTTCATGCATCGCGGCCTACCAGCACAGCATTGCATCGCACCGGAAGCTCAGCAAGCACGCAGAGTGGACGGGCACAATCGCAGGCCAGCAGCGCAAAACCCAGACCGCAGAGCGGATACACGTCCCATGGTAATCGGCTCGACCTCAGTCCTAGTGAGGAGAAAGAAAACAATGGGCTCGGGATTGACCCTCTAGGTGCAACGAGGAGAAAAATCAGTCCGCCTATGGCATCTAATGGGGCTAGTGGGAGGACTAGTCCACAGCGATCTGGACATACACCTGCATACTCCATGAGCAGAGAGGCTAGTGACTCTGGTCTGTCTGCAGGAGCAGGACCTAGGGAGTCAGGGAGCAGGCCGGAAGAGAATTGGAAGCGGGCGGCAGAAGTGACGAGCCAGTTGAAAGCGAGGATTGAAGCAATGAAGGTAAGTCGCCCCCTTGTCCCCCCAAACTCGATGGGCGTGTGTGTCTGTAACTGACATGGATTGCTTCAGGCACGGCAGGGCTTGTCGCGGCATTAATCGGAGCTATCATGGGTAACGGAAAGCGATTCGACTTAGCTGATTAGGAGCACTGTACCGATGATGGAGCAAGCGAGCAATTCTGTTACTTATTTTCCTTGGGACTTTTTGGGGTGTCATACTGTGCTCAAGACAGGGCATGGCACACACGTGGCGGAGGAGACTTTGGAAAGTTGGTTTGTTTAATGTACAGTGCGCAGTTCATCACTCACTGCCTTCGTCGGACGGCCGCGTATTCTTTGTGGTCTTGTCCCTGGCATCGACGACCAAAGGGTTCGTTCAGTTGTTTCCACTGGAGCTTTCCAAATTGGGAGGAGTTGGAGATAGAGTCGATTGGCGTTGTAATGGACCTTTCCCAGGAACGGCCGAGCCAAGTTAGAATCAATTGATACCCAGGGAGACTGTGCCCTCAGACTTTGACATGTCCTGTCTGGCCCGTAGACTCATCCAGGGCTTTGGAGTGCCGCCTACTCGTGGACTGCTCAAGCCTACCTGCCGCCCGTGGGGGGAGGACGACCACGGTCCTACGTAAATGGACTACGAAACCGATTGAAATGGGAAGAGGGCACATGGGTGGCAACAGGAAGCTCCCTGTACCAGAGAATCGCGACGTTCGAAGGGAGTTGCACGAGGCACGAAAGAAAGGCTTGCCGTGGTTGGAGGTAACATAGTGTTGTTGGCATGGATCAATTTTATTTTTACTTCGTCTCAAAAGAGCCGCTTTTGTGCCGGTAGCCTTGACCTTGACCTTGACCTTGACCTTGACGCGAACCATCATCACGACCACGAAGGCCCGGGACACGTAGCTCACACACAACGAGATGGGTATGTAAGTGCTTGCTTGCGCGCAGACCCGGGGGAGTTCGATGGCCGCTGCCTTTGACCCCGGCTCCTTCCATCAGTCCGGCAATGACAACCGCAAGGCAACAGTTTGTTTAGCGGACCATAGCTTCGGTCCCGGGCGTCAATCTCTCTCTTCGTCGACAGGTACCCGGCCAACGTTCAATGACCGTTCTCCTCCTCAACATTCAGCACGCATCCCATGACACGACATGAGCAAATCGAAAGCCATTTGTCTCAGAAGTTGCACCTTGGGTTCTTTCTCCCAGGAGGTCCCGGAAGAACAGGAGGGGCGAAAGGGGAGCGGGTGGCTTAGATCTTGATGGCACTCTCGATGGCCTTCCTCTTCTTATCCATCCTGGCGACGGCCTTGACACCCATGATCCCACCACCCCAGTGTCTCCTATGCTCCTCGTACTTGTTGGTGTAGCCCTCATTGATGGCGTTGACCAATTTGGACAACTCCGACTTGTCCTCGCCCTTGACTTCCGTCAGAGCAAGCACGGCAGCGGTCTTCTTGTGAACCACGGTGCCAAGACGGGCTTTTCCCTTGATGATGGCATAAGGGACACCCATCTTCCGGCAGAGAGCAGGGAGGAAGACGACGAGTTCGATGGGGTCGACGTCGTTAGGGATCAGAACGAGGGATGCCTTCTTGGCTTCGATGAGGCCGACGACGTGGTTGAGACCGTATTTGACCGTGTAGGGTTTCTATTGTGGCATGAGTATCCAGATAATTTCGGAGTCCAAGATGCTCACCTTGCTCACATCCTCCTTCTTCTTCCCCTCTTGCACAGCAGTCGCCTCCTGGTGGAGTCTCTCTTTCTTCTGTGCCTTGGTCTCAGGGCGGTACTTGTTCAACAACTTGAAGCATTGCGCCGCGGTGTTTCGATCGAGAGTGTGCTGGAACTGAGCGATCGCAGGAGGGACCTTGAGGCGCATGTTCAAAATCTTCTTTTGCCGCTGCAGGCGGATGTACTCTGGCCATCTATCCAAGTGTCAGACCACCTGTTCCGGCTGTAGAGATATCAATGGGCGGGTTCGTACTTGACCATGCGAGACAGGTTTCGTTTGGGCTGGACATCTTGACCGATGCCAAAGTTCCGAGGGCGCTTCTCGAGGAGAGGGTTCTAAAACCGCCGCGAGTCAGCAAGTTAGCTCAGCCCACCCTTACCAAAGAGCTCATCCACTGATTTCGCAGAGAATGAAGGGTTCGCAGAAAATACAGAGAGCAGGGACGTACCTTGGCAGCCTTCTTGGTAGCACCAGCCTTTCCTTGCGGAAAAGGCGCGGGCGCGGGTTTCTTCCCCTTTGGTGGCTGTCATTGAGCAAAGAAAACGTCAGTAAACATCCTCCCACTGACACAAAAGTTTTCTTTGAACTCTAAGGAGAAGGGACGCCCAGAGCAGTGGCAAGCTGCATTCTGAGATTCTCCTTCTCCAGCCGGAGTCATCACCGAGAATCAAGCAAGGCGACAAAGTGAGCGGGATGATTCATTGACTGAGCCCTCAGTAAAGAGGTCAGGCTGTGGAATCCTTCCTCACGCTCATGATGTCCCCAGGCAAATTCTGGCGGAAAATATTGCTACGCATCGGGTTTCACCCCATCCGCTGAGGGCGGCCATCGATGCGCAGATTGTAGTATGGCGAAGGAAGACAGAGACGACGGTTCAGCTTACCATTTTGTCGGTTGAGGAAGGGAAGTTTGACTTGTAACAAGTATAAGGAAAAAAGTGGTTTGAGGGAGGAGCGGAGGTCTCGCAATGTCTCAAATCAATCTGTAACTCGAAAATGTGGAAGTTCGCAGTGTGGGCTGGCCAAAAGAGGAAAAGTCGCTTCTTGGCAGAGGCGCTAGGCCTAGCAGAAGACGATTGGCCAGCCTCGCAACAACCAAGCTCGGGACGATGATGCGAGAAACGGCCTGGAGAATAGATCGTGCCGGAACCGTTGCATATCTCGCATGGAGCAGAAGAAACGATAGGCAATCTTTGGTTTTGCGCTATAGAAGCATCAGGCAGCGATACAATGAGAAGGCTATTCATATCTGGCGCCATCTCAGGGAAATCTACGGAGTAGTCGATCGAGCACGCAGCAGTCATGGCATGATGTTTTTATCAGCTAAGCTAATAGTGATCTATCTATGCATTTGGTGTCCAGTGACGGTCTCGACCTGCAACTTGAGATCTGCACATCTCAGCTCAGGCCCAAATCACCACCGGCACGCCGTAGAAATCGATGTTGATCCATCCATTGTGGTCGCCATAGTACTCTGTCAATTTTGCGCGCATATTTGCACCAGCCCGGACCCCCACAACGTCTTATGATGGTGCTCTGTAGACATCAAGGGTCACTCTTAGAAAAGGAAATCACCGGAGAAATGCCTCGCATATCACTGCCCAACCCTGTTCACCATTACAACCCATGCCAGGCACGTTTTGGCCTTCCCGTTATCACACCGAGCGAGTCCGACCGATCATGCGAAACCGAAATAATCAGCGCCGAGATTAATTGCTGTCATCAAGTTGTTCTTGAGAGTATCGTAGTCATCGTAAGCAGGCAAGTCAAGCTGATTGAAACATGTATGGCTCGTTGGCAGACGAGATTGACTTGGATCCCTGTGGCAATCTTGTTAATATCTGTGCAAAAGCTCAAACCTGTATTTGACAAACTTACTTGTGGATACTGAACAAAGTATTTCCTTGCATCCCTTCGAGATCCTTGAAGCCATTGAGAGGGACTTTGCTGGTGCCAGTGACGAATTGCAACAATTTCGCGCGTTCTTCATTGCTCATACCACGGACAATGCGCCAGAACCAGGTCACTTGGGGACTGTTGGCATTGTAGTTGTGATATTCGGTATGGGCTCTCCAATCGTCCACATCAATCTCTGGCAGTCCAGAGATGAGCAATTCGAGCTCTTGTTCATCGAAGATCGCGATGAGTTCTGCCGGGATGATGTCGTGGAAACCCTTGACGAAATTCTCGAGCTGGTCTTTCACCGATGTTGTGAGGCGATAGCGGACCTGCGCATTGACGTATTCTCTCTTGTTCTCCTCCGTGACCGGGATGTTTCGCCCATTCGGAATCAGATCCACGATCTTTTCCTCACCGAACTGCTCTTCAACCACAGAGAAGTCCTCCGTAATGACGTCGGTGATGTCGTTTTCAAGAATCCAAACCAAGCTCTTGTAGTAGTCAAGATCCATGGACTCAAGATCTTTCAAATTAGGTTCCTTTCCGAGGAGACGCTTATAAACAGCCCGGCTGAAGTGGCAATCAAGGACTCGTCCTTCGTGTAAGGCCTTTCCGATGATGCGACCAATGAATTTGAAGTAAAGAAGGTGTTCGCCATTGATCCAACTGAGAGGGTTAGGGTGAAACGTGGTGCGGTCGGCTGCCACAGGCTGCCACAAAGCCCAATCTGGATTGAACATTCCTCGAGCAAGAACTTGGAACCACTCTCGGGTGACACCACCTGCATCAACGCCTTCTTCGCCGTTGAAACGAATGTTGAGTTTGCCATATTTCATCTCCTCGGCGGATTTGAAATATAAGGCCTTGTAAGAATCCAGGAACACTTGGCTGCGGCGGACGTTTAGCTGCAGAGGCGGTTGAATGTGACGTTGCTGGTGCAATCTAGAGTGAATCTGCTTGGTAAAGTAGGCTCGCTTGTTGTCGAAGTCGAGCACCTTGGGGTTCTTCACCAAGAGGCTGAAGCTTCCATTTCCTTGCATCAGCTTAGGAGACTGGCGAATAATATCATTGAGGATCTTCCGGTGTTCAGTGGTGAAGTTGAAAAATAGTTCTTGAAGATCATCCATAGCTTCTGGCGCAGGACTTCCAGGCACTTGTTCTCTGATTTGACGGGCCAAAACCGAGTCTTTCAGAGAGGTGTTCTTGCAGACCACCATCAAGGACTCGATAAGCGGAAGTAATATCGTGGCAAAGCTGGTAATGTTGTCCTTTTCGCGGACAGTTGTCAAACACTCACTCAGTTTGCTCCACAACGGTCGAAGTGCAAGGCTTTCGTACGAAGACGTAAGGATGCTCTTTGCCACGGCATTTCCCTCGGGTTCCTCATTCTCGGCCTTAGGCGCAGATAGATAGTCCAATGCCTGGAGAACTCGCAAGAGCTTGACCTGATCGGAACCCCCATGCGAAAATCTTATCGACGACAGCACATGGAGATCTGTAATTGACTGTGCTTCTTTGAGCTGAGGAATCAAGTCCTCAAGGTCTTTGCAGATGGATTCCGAAAGTTCTTTGACGTAATGAATCAACTCCTTGCTGAAAACGGTTGAGGTGCCAGGAACGCATGACAGACTGGACAGCGTCTCCAAGGTAGAGTGGAAAGTGTCGCTATTACATTCGGGAGCAACAAAGATGCTCACAACGAGTTGTAAGTTGTGGTGCGAAATCTCAGGTGGCTCAAATGCCTTCTTGGCCCTGGCCCCCTCGGTAGTCAAGTCGTCATTGCTAGTGTCGGCGATGTCATTCTCGCCATTCTCCGCCGTCTCAGACTGGTGAGCCGCACTTGCAGAAGCTTCATTCTCTTCGCTCGAAGCAGCAGGTGCTGGGGCGTCTTGAATCTCTACATCCGCGTCTGGTTGAGCTGGTTGGACTGCTTCAGTAGGTGCTCCCGCAGAAACGCCTTCTTCTGTACTTGCCCCGTCAGGTTCGGTCGGCTTCTCTTCGTCGGTAGCTTTCTCCTTGTCCTTCTTCAATAGGTTCGGTAAAGGCTGAGTGACCGCAGACAAGAGTTCAGCAAGTGATTGAAGACAGGATGAACTCTCCACAATCAACTTCCGGTCGAGGAGGCCGATTAAGTCGTTGATGGGATATCTTACTGCCTTCACTTCCTTGGCCTTTCCCTTACCTTTCTTCGAGGCTAGACTGGCGTCACTTTCTCGGATGAAGATGGTTCGGGTGTGATAGTTGCTCTGGCAAAGTTGCCTCAGGGCAGAAAGACACTGCTGTACAACAACAAGAGGAGTAACCTCTTCGCTAATACCACCAGCAGGTTGCATCGAAAGCGTACGTTTGAGTGGTTGAGGTGTCTTCTGCCCGACAGTTGCCTTCGCTTTCAAGGATAGGTTGGCAAGACTGCGTTCAACAGCCGTCACATCTGTTGAGCCCTCTTTGAGAATAAGATCTTTAAGAATAAGCAGCAGAAGATTGACGACTTCTGATCGCGTTTGTCGGTTTCCACAGATATTACGCAGGATGTGCCACAAGTTCGTGCGGAGTGAACCTTGTTGAGGCAAAAACATCAGGCGCAACAATGTCGCGACCCCGGATTTCTCGACCATTTGGATAATCTGGCGCTTGCCGTCGCGTTGACCCGCGTCTTCGCCCGAACGGTCCTCACGAGCATCCGCATCAGTTCTGACATACTGATATAGACGTCTGGCATGTGCTCGACCTTCTGCAGCGTGCCGGGGATCAAGCTGGCGCAAGACCTCCGGTGGTTGTTCTGCTAATATGACACGACGGAACGCTGGGTCGAGAGTAGCCAAGAAGTTATCGTTGTCCATCTCTTCCGCTTGCGCATGTCCTCCATTGGCCGCAGCCTGTCTGCGAGCTTCTTCACGTTCTCGTCGACGTTGTGCGTGAGCTTCTTGTTGCCGTATCTCTTCTCGGATCTCTTCCGGGAGAGCATTGAGGAAATCTGGATCAATGCCAGACGTATTGGTCCCTTCTTGACGAGCTTCTTCACGCCGAGTAGCATACTGCTGCATGATGACCTCCTCGCGGAGTTCCTCCGGCAGGGCTTCTAAATACTCGATGTCGATCGCCAGTCCCGTAATGTCGATTTGCCGGCCTCTGATGGTAGTGAAAACGCGAGGCTGCGCGTCAGACGTCGAAGCCGAAGCTTCGTTTTCGGTGATCTCCTGCGCAAGCCCTACATCTGTATCTTGTACATCCTCCATAGGAACTGTGTTACCATCTTCATGCTCATCATCCTCTTCTTGGGCCTCGGCTTCGGCGGCTGCTGCAGCTTCAGCCTCGACCCGGAGACGCTCTTCTTCACGCTCCTCGGCTTCTTTCTTGCGACGCTCTGCTTCCACTTTCAATCTTTCCATTTCTTCACGTTCCGCCTGCTGTTCCTGTTCTCGCTTAAGTTTGCGTTCTTTCTCCTCTTGCTGAGCAAATGGAACCATGACCGACATGAGCCAAATTTGGACACGCTGGATCTTCTCCACATAGGTAGTGCCGTAGAGAAGTCGTACTTCTTCTTGCCAACGCGACATAGTCGGCGAGGGAACAAAATTGTTACCGCGCTGCGAGTCTTCTCGGGAAACATGACGATGATGGCGCGGATCCCACCCTGATGATCGCCAGGGGTCGCGAAAGTCTGTAAGAACCGGAATGCGAAGGCGGAATTGTTCGCCTTCACTAATCTCGCCACGCTGAAGAGCCGAGAAAATAGCGTCAAGCACAGCTCCATGCCCGCCGCCCATTCCGCGGTTGTCGACTGTGTTGATAGTGGCTTGAAGAGGTTGGAAACCAGGAATTCCTGGAAGCATCTCAAGCCCATGCGGAAGCAGAATGCTGGTCCCAATGTGCTCTGTTCTCTGCCGAGCCTCCGGCTGAGGTCTTCGTAATAGAGGGTTTGTGCCATCATCGCCAGACCTTACATGACCGGATATGCGACCTGAGCGGCCAGATGGGTTGAGGTCGTCACGAACGTCCATCCGCCTAGTCAGGGTATTCCAGACTGAGCCACCAAGTGGGCGATGACGTCGCATGAGGGGCGGATGTTCCCATCTCAAGTGATTGTGCTCGATGATATCGCGGGCGCCACCAGCTAGCAAGCGGTCAAAGTCACCATACTCCATTCCGTCGTTCTCATCCATGTCGTCTCCGTCCTCATCATCGTCCTCATCGTCATCCTCGTCCTCCTCTTCGTCCTCTTCTGGAAAGGTCATTTCTGGAGGGGGGACTACACCTGGAGCTATTGTAGGACGAGAACGACGCATGGCCGCCGTGGGACGAAGGACTGGTAACCCTTCTTCTGTCATTCCTCCCATCGGGCCATCGAGGTCGTGGTCACCCAGAACCCGAAGAAGGTTGCTGAGTACGCCTGCTGAAGGGGGGTTGCCGTTGTCACGGTCCTGTTCAACCGGAATAGGCATCAGGTCCGCAGAGAAGGTGAAATCCTGGTCGAACGCGGAGATAGGAAGTCGTCCCTCGGCACTTTCTGTGTCATCACCGTCGTCGTCTTCGTCTTCCCAATCTCCATCGTCTTCTGGTCCTTCATTGAGGCTGTGATTTTCCTCGTCCCCGTTGATTTCACCCGCGTCCACGTCTTCACCAATCTCAAAGTCTTCACCCTCTTCGTCTTCGTCGTCCTCGTCTTCATCCGAGTCGTCCTCGTCGTCGTCGTCGTCGTCGTCGTCGTCCTCATCTTCATCCGAGTCGACATCCATGTGAGGATCATTGACTACGAATTCGATGTCCATCGGTACATCGCCTGGAAGACCCTCTATTTCACCGTCTGGCCCCATTTCGCCTTCTTCATCGCTGACAGCCTCGTCATCGTTTCCGCCTGCGACAACAATGCCGTCGTCGTACTCCATTTCATCCTCATAGGCGTCATCATACATCCCTTCGTCTTCATCTTCTTCATCGGTCGCGGAATCAGATCCAGGATCCCGGTTAGGATCAAGTAAGCCGAGCGCGGAATTTCGGAAAAGATCAGGGGTTTCTTCCCGCTCTTCATCGATGTCCGAGACTGAAGAGGCAGATGAAATCACGTCTTCAGACATGTTCCCAACCACGGAATTCAGCAGGTCAGGCGACGTGACGCTGAGTTGGATTGCCAATGTGGTGAGTTCCTGTAATGGGCGTAGGATGAACTTGATCACTCTCTTGGAGCCAGGGTATGCAAGATCAATCTCCGTAAGCGAGCTGGTCAAGACTGAGATTAGGTTCTTCTCAAACATCATCCGTGAAAGGACCTTGTAAGAAGTATTTTGGGAGCCAGCGGACCCTTCAGGGACGACGGGCTTGGTCAAGAGACGATTGAACATGTCAGAGAGACACAACAGTCGACTATACTTCATCTGAAGGGATTCATTGGAGGAAATCGCATCTTTGTACGCTTTGATCGCGTGCTCAAGGACAAAGCGGCGCACAAATGTCAGGTCTGGTTCATCATCCACGTCCTCGACTTGCGGCTGCGTCGAATATCTCTGAGCTGAAACAGTCATGCCCGCTTCCCCTGTTTTGGAACATAGGGCGACAATGACCCGGATAGCCCAATCACTTGTGAGCAGTTTCTTCTTGAATTGTAGAGAATCTTCCTTGTCAACATAACAAGACGGAATCAGTCCATTGAGGAAGTAGTTGAGGATTCCAGAACGTGGCTTCGATGGAGTGACTGCCATTGGATCAGCCTTGCGAGAGAAATTGATAAATTCAATCTTCGTGCGGTTATAAGAGTGAAGAAGTTCGGTCAGGTTGTACATCAAGAAGCACCGGTAGGAAAAGATTGGGTGCTCCTCTGGTTTGAACTTCGCTTTCTCTGATTTCGGCTGGGCACCGTCAATGACAGGCCTCTCCGATGAACCTGCAGTAGCAGTTTGTTGATTTGGATTTGATGTCCCGTTTACAGTCGACGTTCCCGACGGCTCGGCCGGAGATTCCTTGTCTTCGACGTCCTTGTAATTCAACAACTCCGACAGGATGAAGTGGATAACTCCATCCGGATGTTCGACAACTGGAGGTTTCAATTCGGGCGCCTTGCCTTTGTTACTCTCTTCGACGTGATCTTGAGGGGTCTCAACGCTGGCTGTTGGTTGCGTGGCATCGGTCCTGCTTTCTTCGGATGTTTGGGTTTGGACGCCCTCTTCACCTTGATCGATTGGCTTAGGTTCCTCGTTCTGCTTCAGCGCCAGAGCGGCAACACCTCCAGCATGTGGTTGCCATGAAGATAATTTGACAATCTCATTTGTCGTTTCGACAAAGATAGAGGGCGAGCGTAGAACAAGGTGGTACAGTTCTCGAATGTAAGTATTGGTGTCTGGTTGTCGCGCCGTGTTGCGAGAGGTGAACAGGAGCTTGATCTCACTACGCATGATTTGTTTCAGGGTTGCGTCGTCCTCGACAATGTGTCGCAAAATAAGCATAAAACAGCTTTGCAATCGATGCCCCACCCCATTGGTAAGCTGCTTGACCATGAGGAAGAGTCTCTGTAGGTTTCGTTTCTCGGCTAATCTGCTGGCGATTTCTCGAGTTCGGGTGAGAGCGACTAGAACTCTGGTGATGGCCAAGGCCATACCTTTGTCCTTTCCTACACGTGGAAGAAGGTTGACAAGTGCTTCGAAAAGTTTCAGTTTATCCTCCATCTCGAACACGGAAACCGTGGTTAGCACAGCCGATGTGACAGAATCAATGTCCGTGGGTGGATCCCATTTGACTTCTGCTGGCTCACAGTCCTTGGATAGCATCTTCTCAATGATCAACAAGATGGGCGCGACCCAGGGAAAGGAGCCTTCATCGGTCCGACCGTCTGCAGCTGGAAGTTGTAAGAATGAAAGAATGCCTTCGAATGACTCTTGGAATATGCCGAGTGTCTCTTTGAACACTTCCCCGTCCTGGATAAGGAGAGCGACCAGGTGTGCTGCGGCGGCGATCTTCTTTCCACGGGATTCGTTGATGTCATCCTCGCCTTGCATCGACAATAATGAACTGGTGAGAAGATCCAACGTAGTTCTCCAAAATTCATTAGCCTGATCTTCGCCCAATTTCTTTGTTGCACTAATGATTAAATCAGACAGCTCGAAAGTCAAATTTGGGTGGTTATCGAGAATGTTGTTGCACCGCTCAGCCAGGTCCTCTCTAACGAGTGCTCGCTGTGCGTTGATTGATTGAACGGAGTAGAACCGTGGCAGATCCACTTCGGAAGACTGGGGTGCCTCGCGTTCAGGTTCACTGTCGCTGTTGAGGAGATTGCTGATATCCATTGCAGAAGAAACACTCGTGGTAGCATGATCCGCAGATCTGGACGTGGTACTAGCTTGGTTAGAAGCAGTGACGTCTTCCATCTCGTTGTCTTCCGTAGCCTGATGCACATTTGGAAGTAGAGTATGCACTGACCCTAGCGAGTTCCAGCCAGAAGATGAATGCGAGTTTGTTGGCGGAGTCACCACATCGGGCATGTTTCCGAGAGCGGTTGTATGATCATTATCTCTCTCAGGAACAGGTAGTCGTCTCCGGCGAGGGTTTGCTAGAAGTGCTCGGCAGTACTCTTCTGCTGGCGTGGAATTGTTTGGCGCTTGTGAATTCGACCGGTACAAAGCCTCACGCACGAGTTCTTCGTTGTAGCCTTTCTCTTTCAGAGCGTTAACCTTCGAAGAGTCGAACTCCAGCTTCCTCGCTAAAAACGGTGCCACGGTAGGGTGTCCACTATCGGACTGCACTGCTTCCATCTCATTGTCACCGGTAAATACGTGCTTCAAGATCGAGACCAGCTTCTGCACAACGTCTTTGGAAGCTTGGTCCGCGTACTCACTCGCCCAGATCAAACGCGTCAACGGGAGTGCTTCCATCCGCAGGTTGAGTAAAATCTGAGCCGGAACGAAGTAGCATTGTCTCATAGGGTCTACGGTCTTCATGTTGTTCGACTGCGCCGACTCAATAATGCACTTTGAATCGGTAAATTCCTCCAGGATATCGAGACAGATTTTGAGACCTGTGTTTGCCGAAAAGATAGCATGCTCGACTTTGCAAGACTTCAATTTGTCGAAGAATTCCGTGCCGATCTCCGTCAGAGTTTTGACACCCCCAGCTTTCCGGAATGCCTCGACAACAAATCCTTGACGGGCTGGATGTGTTGCGACGGGTCCCGCCCCGGAACTACTATCGTCGTAAAAGCTCCGCCGTACATTGTCTAGAGCAATCACAAGGTAAGTGAAGCGGGGTTCCGTATCATCGGCGTCACCGTTCTGCGTTGTCCTCGGATTCAGGAAGTATGGTTGAAGTTGTGTCAAATACGCTGACGCGAGTGCATTTGCCACGAAGGAGGTCTTCTGTTTGGCGAAGGTATCTGGGCGACGCCGGGCAGCAATGTTGCGGCCAAGTCGACACAGAAAGTCTGTGATGGCAGCAGGAGTCTCAATCAACAGAAAGCGAAGAGTTTGGACATTCTTGAAAAATGGCGTCTTCTTGTCCTTACTCAGTGCGGCAATGTCGCCCCCGGGGGCTGCTCTACCTTCTCCATTTTCAGGTGTCAGCTGGCCATTATGGCGAGAGGCGATGTCGCGGACACTCAGAAGCTTGTCAACTTCATCATCACCAGTTGAGAAGTGTTCTGGGCGTGTTGCCGAGATCCAGGATTCGGGGATCGAGCGCTGAAGCGCGACATCTTCGCGACAACAGGCTGCTGATATAGCACCCATCATTTCAGCAATGTCGGCGAAAACGTCCTCCAAGTTCACTAGCCCGAAGAGGAAATTCTGCATGTGTCTCTGACTGTAGATCGGAATGTTGAAAATCTCGCTTAACACCTGAGCCAGACAAAAGACGGCCATCATGCTTCTGACTATGCGCGTCCCATTTGCCTCCACCTCAGACAGCTGGGAAGCAGGACCCTTGCCTGTGCCACCGGTGCCTGGCACAGCTTTGACCAGAGGGCCAAAATAGCAGGACCAGTCCTTGGGCTGACACTGGCTGAAGTGCTTCAGCTCGGAACACGCAAAACGCGCGCGGTCAACAAGAGCTGGGAGGACAACGTGCGGTTTGGTCTCCGCCATCATGTGAACAGCCGCGGCCAGCTCCTGAAACATACTTCCGTTTCGGTCAAAAGGTTGACTTGTAACCGGTAGGCTGGGTAATGTAATGAAGTCCAAGACAAGGTCACACCCACCCTGCTCCAGGAAGCTGGTGCAATGAGCCTGGTGCTCGAAAAAATTCAGCAAGAACGCGATCGCAGGTCTTGCGTAATCACTGGCTTTCAGCCCATTGCCATCTTGATCGCTTGGTGTTGCGTTAACGGTGCTCGGGGGAAGGACCTCATTCTCTAGAATCAATTTGTCACCATTCGGAAGGTCGATCTTTCTGGGAGGGACGGGTTCGTCAACATTAGTTGAGACAGGCGGCAGAATCTCCAACGAAAGAGCCTCTCGTCCACCGCAGGGGACAAGCTCATCCTCTGTACCAAGCCACAGTTTTGCTCCTGCACCGAAGTTGACGGAGAGTGACCTGCCTATGTGTCGCACGCGACCAAGCATAATCATCACTGCGCTCAAAACGGAAGTACGCAAGTTTGGGTGATGTCTGACGAGCTCGTCGAACGTCGAACCGAGCATTGCCAGCATGTTTCCATCGTTGAGCACCTTGACATGTGCTGGTGACTCGAAGATTTCGAAGAACTTCTCCAAAGCACCAGAGGATTTGAATAGGTCGAAGCCAGCACTCGTCAGACAAATAGCGCCGAAGGCCTGGGATACGTTGGCAATTGCATCAAAAACAGGTGGAATTCCTTGCGGTCGATTTTCAGGAACTGAGGATATCGACTTCGACCGCTTCTGATTCGCCGGAGCTTCTGAGGGATTGGGTGACGGGTTGACCGTATTGAGTATGCTCTGAATGATCCCAGCTTCGGATATCACTGTATAGCTTGTTGGCTCGTTGTGGAGAAATCCACAGATCGCCTTGATGACTTCGCTCCATGTATGTGCACCGAATGCGGGGAGGTGGTCGACAATGAGTCGAAAGGCACGGAGCAAAGCTTGAGAATCGACCAGACTTCTCAAGACTCTATCAGCCTGCTGACCTTGATGACCGCTGATGTCATTGATCATATCAATGATGGATCGAATTATTTGCTGGTGCATGTAGGGGATTTCGTAATCTATGGCGCGCGTCTTGTGCTGTGCCAGTATCCCTTCGCCAGCATTCCGAAGATCCCAAGCGCTTATCACAAGGGTGCTCAAGAGATTGCAAATGGCCTCGAAAGCATTATTACTCAACAAAGTTGCCAGGCCATCCTTGAAGTGATGGAAGAAAGTTTTGATGAAGTCTAGCATCGACAGGTGCGCTCTCATGGCCTTTGAGGTTGTGACTCCGAAACCAGACAGGTACGAGGTGATAAAACTCGAAGCTATAACAGCCTCGCTGGAGCGTCCGTGGTGTCCAGCGACCTCGATGAGCGTCCTCGGCAGTGAAAAGATGGCAGCTCTCCAATCATCACCAGCCACGTTATCAGTACTGTCATGCTCTTTAGCAATGTCGTTCAGGCCTTTCTGGATCAGCTGAGAAAGGAGGCCTTGGCTTGATCCTGCACCCAATGCTGCGTGGATCTCGGAAGCAAAAGGTTTGGAGAGTGTCAGGAAAGACATCGTCTCCATTGCCAGAGTTTGCAGATAGATGGAGACACCAGAGTGCCCTTTCTTTGTGTCATGAAGCAGGGCAAGAACTTGTTGGATGAACTCCTGAGGCTTCTCTACCGAGAACAGTTTCTGCGTGAAGTCTGGTTCCTTAATGACATGAGCCAAACTGGCCACGGCTAAGAGTCGCACCGCTAATAGCTCCTTCCGAGTCTTCGATGAGGTCATCAAGGCATAGGCGACACGGAGCTGGTGCAGCAGCTCGTATCGAACCTTGTAGGGCATATCATCAGATAGGTGGTCGTGTAAGATCGTCTCAATAGTAGTGGCTAGCAGATCGGCGGCAGAAAATTCAAGGAACTTCAAACTGCTCTCTGGTTCAGCTGGTCGGTGGACAACTCTACTGCTGTCAATCTCATTGGATGAGGCATTGGCATTCGTCGTATCGGGTCCTGTGGTAGATGGGCGGATGCGTGTAGGCGTGGGCGGAGGCTCTGATGATTGCGATGCATCAACAGAGACAGGCTCAGGTTCGGACGTCGAGGTTTCCCACCAGACTCTGACGTTATGAGCCCACGAAGGAGAATCTCGATCAAGTCCAGCTGATGAGGATTTCCCGCGGTCACCATGCTGTGGGGTTTCCTTACAAAGAGCCCGGAAGTCATTTGGATTGAATGTTGTCGACCCGCGTCTCGGCTTGCCGCCGCCATGCTGAAGTTTCTCTTTGGATTTGGATTTGACTGGAGAAGGTGGCCCACGCTTGACGCTTGCAGGGACTGGTCCAAAAGGCGCAGCTAGCCTCTTGATACGCTCAAAGTCGAAATCGTAAAATTTCAGGCCAGGAGAGGTTCGAATACCTCTGTACTGTTGTGCCAGGGAGAAAGTGATTTGGAGAGTGTGGTGCAGTAGCGAGAGTGAAGTCGTATGCAACAGATCATTCAGGCGGTCTGTGCTGCTGTAGATGGCTCGGTTCGCACATTTTTCAACCAGAAGCTTTGAAAAGCCCAAGATAGCCTCGACCAGTTCTCTGTCACCCTCTGGGCCAAATCCACGCTCTTTCAATCCCTGTTCATCGATCCCAGGGCTCCCCTCAAGTAGCAGTGACGAGCCGAAGGGTATTTTCTGGGGACCTTTGTCCAGGCCATATCTTGAGTTGAAGGACTGGAGGACGCTGTCAAATCGGTCGAGAGGCTCGATCCAGTTGTTGAGATCACCACGAGGATAGGGCCATCTCGGTGACCAGCCGGCGAAGACAGCTGGAAGGTCAGCCAAAGGGACGGTGGAAACTTGCTTGACCAGATCTGATACCGCCGGAGACTGTCGCAGTCACGTTAGCCTTGTCCGCCAAACGCCAAACGCCAAACGGATGAGGCAGCAGAAACAAAACTCACCAACGACGCCTTGTGCTTTTCCTGCGGCTTCCTCGTAACCTTCCCCATCTTCACTAGGCCCCGTAGATAGGCACCATAGGCTGCATTAGAGGAGTGAAATTGTGTTCAGCCTTCCCAGAAGCAGTAACTAGATGATAGACCAGGGTCACAAAATGAGGCGGGCAGGATATGCTGGCAGAGCAATGTGGACAGGAAGATTGGATTCGTGGGATTCCGCTGAATGAGATAGACGATTTGAATCGGCAGGGGAGTTTTGGAGCGAAAGAGTGCTTGAAGTTTTGAAGGGAAGACAGGGCGTTGCGAATTATGCGGCCGCGATCACCTGCGCCCAGACGCAGCTCCGTATTCTGTCTGAGGATGAAATCAGGGACGGAATTAGTAGGTAAAAGTAGTGTACAGGAAGTGAGGCTGCAACAGATGGCAACAGAAGAATGAGCTTTGCTAGTAAAGCAGGCCTCAACTGGAGGTGATGGAGCGATGAAGAAACTGAAACTTGTCTCTCGTGTGGCGTCGATTCTTTTGTGCTGCACTTCACTGCCTGCTGGGTACTGCCGCACTTCTGGCAAGTGAAGATGGTTCGGGCGACTTACTTGACTTTTAGACGCGCTTGGGCCTTGAGACTCTAGTGGGAAATGACGTGCCCTTTTCCCCTCAGGTACTAGCCGCATCCGCCCACGGCTCACCAGGCTACCAGGCTGGGTCTTCCGGGGGAACGAGGGGGGCTAAATAGGCGCCGAGAGCGCCCAGTTTAGCTACAAGCTGCAAAGACCAAAGGAACACCATCCGGCCCGTGCTCATTATTGCCATATCTCCAACCACTGTCTCGACCTACAGTACTACCCTCTTCATGCTTCCCATCTGACTGTCAAGGACGCCGGATACGATTGTACCATGCTCTCTTCGACGTTCAAATAGTTCACCACGTCGCCCTCCTTCAGTCGCCTGAGCTGCCCCGTCGGCCCGACAGCTCTGCTCAACTTTTCAAGACCGCAGAGGACAGAAAGGGTAGATCCTAAAGTTGCAAGCCGCAGTCGAGCCCCAAGGGCTACTTCGCCGCCGAATGGGAGGAGCGGATCTTCGGGCTGGCCTTGGCCAGCATCAGATAGCCCAGTGCTGTCACGGTTCGCCGCAGTCTGTCATCGACTCTTAGCACAAGCATTCTCCCTGAAGCAAGTCTAACTTACCGGATCTGTGTCACAAAGAATACGCTGCCCCGCAGATACCTGGATCTGGTTTCTTCCATCGATCACGGTTTGCGAAGACGTCGCCTCTCTGAAGATCGGCGTCGATGGTCTTAACCTGCAAATTTCACGAAAGTATGACTGAGCTTTGGCCGATGATGAGCCCTCTTGGTCCAACATCTGCTTCAGCTCTGCGATATCCGTCTTCTTGTCTCCTTCACCAAGAATGTGATCCAGAACTTCAGCAAAGACTCGCGACTGATTCACAAATACCCAAGCTGCCAACGGGAGAAGCTGAGACCACACAATATCAGCAGGAGATAGTCCACTCTTCGAGGCTTCTTGGATCACTTGTGCCGCAAGGCTTCGAAGCTGTACGGGCGAGTGCGAGTGTAGACTGAAATTGCCCTTGATGCCGTTGCTTACTTCTTCTTGCAAGCGCGCTGCAAGCTGCAAGATCGCCTTCTGTTTCTTTTTGACAACAGCAAACCGCCGCGCAGGTTGCTCCATGTTGGCACAGCTATATATGGCGGAAAGAAGGGCAACGATGTCTTGTTCGGCGTATTTCGCGTGCGATTTGCTTTTACTGCCCAGAGGTAGAAGGAAAAGATTCGCAGCGAACTGCGCGTGAGCAATGTTGAAGACGTCCCGAACGACATCGACCTGGTGATAGCCTGCAAGCTGATACGCATTGTTCCGGAGCAGAGTCGTGATCGCGTCCTTGTAGAAGGCATCTGCGGCAGCTTGCAGTCCTTCAGTTTGGAGCAGCTTATGGGCGACAATTGATGCCCTTTCCCCGTTATGCTGAAGCCCCTGGGCGGAGAACAGCTGCGCATCCCAAGATGAACGAAAAGCAGACGTACCACCCATGACGGTCCTGCAGGCTTCGGAAGAGCCAAGTGCCAGAGTGGCAGGAAGATTAGTTGGTTTGTCGAAATTGTACAGATCAGCCTTTTTCAACTTGGTCAAGATGGACTTGTTTTCCTCTGGAATTACTAGCGGGTAGTGTGCATACACAGAGTTCTGTCGATAGCTGTTCGGCAACGCAGTCAGCACCAACTTGTAAAATACACAGCCGTTGTTAATGGCTAGGTCATAGTCCGCCTGTGTGAATCCCCAGTTTGTCAGGTTCGCCGGCGTATAGTCAATGGTGTAAAACCGGTCACCTCGAACCAACGCAACTGCGTCCGAGAGGATCGCTCGCGAGGTGGTGAAGTTCGTGCACAATCCGCTGCCAGGGAGTTTCGGCTCCTTGGCCGCCTCGATGACTACGCCGGGGTATATTTCCACGTTATCTGGATGCCCGTAGAGACGTCGCAACTGCTCGACGATGAGGGGGTCGGGATTGATGTCCTCGAACGTCTTATGTGGCTCGAGCTTGAAGTATTCTCGGAACTCGTTCAGGCTCGCCAGGTTCCAAGAGCGACTTTGGATGATTCCCAGCACTTCCACGTTCTTGAGGATCTCAGGTACGTGGGCGGCTCCATAGCTACCCGCAACGTCCGAGACAGATGCAGTCCAGATGGCCGCCAGTTCCTCGTCGGGATACTTGTTATCAGGCTGGCGCTGAAGACCAGCAAATTCTCGCTTGACCGGATCCGGGCTCAATTTCTTGGCCCATTCATTAAGTGCACCGAGGAATTGACCCATGGACAGCGAGGTTTGGTGCCCGAAGAGTTTTGTGTAAGCCTCCTTTGTCCATTGTTCGTCTCGTTCGGAGACACAGGAATGCCACCGGTAGACCAGGTTGAATTCCGCCGAAACAGAATTTCCAGTAGCTTCTGGAATCTTGTGGCCAAAGATGGCATTGCCTTCTTCAGATCTCGGGTCGAGGTTCCATAACGAGTCCACCCGGTTCAAATTCAAAATCGTTCTCACGTAGTCCTTCAGGATGACGTTGGCGTAGAGTCCGGTAGTGATCAACCTTGCCGTCTGGAATAACGCTTCGTCATAGAGCTTTTCGGCGTTGGGAGGCCTCGGCTTCCCTTGTGGATTGAGAATCCTCGAGAAGCGGCCGCTTTCGTCGATGCGAGCAAGGTTTTCTGCTATATGATTGTGGAAGCGATTGAACATGATGAGAAGAACACCAACACCAGGGGGAAAGCCGAGAATTCGCACATCCGAGAAACAATCGGGCTTCAGTTTCCCATCACGCATGGTCCGGACAGCCTCCTGTTCTTTCGCAGAACTGCCGTAAAGAGGAGCCAAGTCCAGATAGGACGAAGTATCGGAGATACTATAGTCTTCGTGGTTAGTGTGGAAGATATCGTGAATGATGATCGAGGCCACATAGAAGAGTACGCTCGATATTTTGTTGGGGTGTGGCCTGAACTTCTTGCGAGCCAAAAGGCTCTCAAAGATAACTCCAGGATCAGGCCTGGCAACGGGTTGCATCAGTCTGGGCCGCACCGTTCGAGCGTAGGGCTGCTTTGCAGCCCCGAGATGCGGCCAGAGAATATTGTTGTTGGTTCCGTCAGCCTTGCGATAGACGTAATCCGCTCCCAAATATGATTGAGGTGGGTGCTTCAGGTCTGTCCACAGCTGGTTCAGGAACGCATTGGTAAGAGTAGCGCTCGTTCTGCTGGAGATGGGAAGGTCCGCTACCAGCTGGACGATTCGTTCCATAAGGTATGTCTTGTCGTCGATAGGCTCGCCGTCAATTTGCTGCAAGGCGACATCTTTGACGGTCCTGAGATTCTTTAAGTTGAAGGTTTTGAGCACGTCCAAGATCTGATCTGATCTCTTGGTTTCACTAGTCGATGCAGAGGTGCTGGAGTCGCTCGAACGGGGTCGCTCTTGGACAACTGGCGTCTTATCTGGCCGAGACTCCCTGGCCGATCTAGACCCTACATCCTTTGAGTTACTTTCAGAGCTTTCAGGGATGCATAGCATACCCTTCAGTTTTGATAAGCTCAATGGCATGTTGGATCCTCCTGGAGCCTCAGACGACAAGGTGCGACCAGCTATACAACAACCGTGGCCAATAGAACCTCAACGAGGATCAAGTACCGGAAGTGAGGCTGAGCTGACAGGTGCGGATAGATATTATGCTCGTAGCTCGCCAACAGTCCCCTCACCTGCGTTCGTCGGTAGGAAAGGAAGCTGACAGCCAGAGCACAAGGGAGAAACAGCGCTTATAACAATACATCTCACTAACAATACTCCGTACTCGTACTCATTCTCACATTCTCAGCCAGCCCCTTGTACGGCTGAATGGGCTGGCGAGGACTAAAAGGGTCCAGGAAGGCGCCACAAGGAGAATAGCGCCGAATGGAGCAGGAAGTCCCTCAAAAGGGGAAAGCGGGGCTGTAAAAGGGGGTTTCGTCCAATGGGCGACTGCCGTGAGGCCGTAGAGCGCCAGACTCCAGACTCGCACTAGTTTGTTGAACACGCAGCCTTTATTTTCAAGGAGACTGCCACCATCCGCCACAATTCGCAACTGCGCTCGCCTTGCGGCTGTGATTCGATAGTCCTTGCCTTGTCCCCTTGGACTCGCTTCTCTCCCACATCTTTTACCCTCGCTTGTTGTCTTGGGTGTCCTCCGAAGTCTCGTATTCTCTCAGCCGCTGGAGCTCGGTCGGCCAACATGGCGTCAAAACCCATCACACTGCAAATACGCCCACGAGGTAAGTAAAAGCGGGCTGGAACCAATACCCGGGCAGAATCTTGCCCTCCTCGACGCCTCCCTGCTAACAATTTCATAGGGAAGCCCATAAAATCCCTACCGGAGTCGGTCGACCTGAAACCCGATGCCTCCGCAGCCGAGTTGTACTCCGAACTTGCACGCAGGACCAAATACTCGATTCACCAGCTGCGCGTGACAAAGGGCTCCGATGGCAGTGTCGTGGTCAACGCCAAGGATACATCGATACATCAAACCGGTCTACGTGATCAGAGTACGGTCTATGTCAAAGATCTGGGGACACAAGTGGCATGGCGGACTGTCTTCCTGGTCGAGTATTTTGGCCCGATCCTGATACATCCATTGATGCTGGCCCTCCGACCGTACATCTACCCATCCGCCAGTAAAGAGGCATCTCAACTACAACAGCTGCTGTGTGTGTTGATATGCTTGCACTTCGCCAAGCGAGAGCTCGAGACGTTGTTTGTCCACCGCTTCTCGGCCGCTACTATGCCTATCCGCAACATCTTCAAGAACAGTTTCCATTATTGGATTCTCTCTGGTCTCATGATTGCAGCTTTCATCTATTCCCCTTACTCCGCCGCAGCACAAGACCCGAACCCACTGCTCTTCTACCCTGGATTGGTCATCTTCGTACTCGGGGAACTGGGCAATCTCCAAACACACCTCACGTTGAAAGGACTACGGAGTGCGGGAGGGTCCGAACGGGGAATCCCACAAGGGTTCTTGTTCAATCTCGTCACCTGCCCCAACTACATGACGGAGACCATCTCTTGGGTTGGGGTTTATCTTCTGAGCGGCCTGAGCTGGGGAGTGCTCATCTTTCTCGTCGTCTCCGTCCTCCAGATGGGGCAATGGGCAGCAAAAAAGGAGCGAAGATACCGCAAGGAGTTTGGTGACAAATACAAGAAGAAGAAATTCACCATGCTACCAGGGATCTGGTAAGGTATCAGAGATCCGGTTAATGTTTCTCAAGGAAAGAGGCAACCCCAGTGACTTGAACTGTAATGGACTGAAGCGAGTTTGAGGCAGGGGTCAGCTACATCTGACAGTAATAAAGCATGACATCGCACGCTGTCTCGCTGCTTCACTGTCTCATCAGATGATACCGGGCTCCCGCCAAGTGAAGTGAAGAGGCTACGCTCCAATGTGCAATCTTTGCCTATAAAGATCTCGAGACGTTCTCTCGACCAAAAGACACGGCAGAATCGATATTTGACTCGACCTCAGCAACCTTTCAACCTACACCTTGCCTTTCCATCTAGCAGCGGCAAAACTGTCGTCGAGATGAAGCTCATTCTGGGGCTAATCACTTACCTTCTACACCTAGTCAACGCGGAGCTTGCTCACTTCGAAGCTGTCATTATCGCCCGCAGCGAAACATCCTCGGACCTTTCACATGCTGACGATGTTCTTACATTTAACATCGACCCTGACATGCCGGACCCAGAGTGTGGTTTGACGTACGAGGCGAATATCAATGTCAAAAATCGCGGAGACCCGTCAAAGACCAGCGACTATTGCAATCTCGTTTACGATTACATCACGGACACAGCCAGCAATGGCCAGGCATCAAAGGATGTTAATGTAGTCTACACCTGCCCTGGCGCTCCAGAGCCAACAGACCCCGAAGGCTATGGTTCTCTCGACATCAAATTTATTCTCAATGCACCTGCCGATTTTGCGCGCGATCAAACTCAAGAACCGGCTACCTTACATCTTCTCAACATCCACGATGCTGCCGACCTCACGATGCCCATCTCGATTAGCTACAAAGTCACGTCCAATTCAGAGATCATCTGGCAATTCATCAACTGCCCATGACCATAACTACATCCAAAAGGCCAACAACAAGCCAACGAGGTCCACAAAGCGACACTATTTTGCGAAGGCTCACTTGCGGATTTAATATGGGAGCAGGCCAAGAATCAAGCATTGTGTGCATCAGCCCTTCAGCTTCATCGGCTGGATCAAGGCAAGCAGACTGGATATGGATGCGAGGTCGAATTAGCCAGGGACAGGCTTCAGAGCGGTGGATGTGATCAGAGTAACTTCAGTTTTTCCGGGAATCTCGATAGCAAGACCAGTTTACCATAGAAACGAGCCAGCCTCAATTAGGCCTTGTGGTCATCTGTAAATGAGAATATTTCCGTTCTGAGCACATAATATAATCCGGAGTAGATTATCAGTGGTTCTTACTGGCAGTGGCATAGACCACTTGATGACAGTCAGACTGCAAGGCTGTGAGGCTGCGAGGCTGCGAGGCTGGCTACTTTGGAGAATGTGGAGTGAGGACTCCTAGGGAAGTTGGCGCCGCCTGCAACCACTTTCTGCCACCATATCCATCTCAGCCCAAGTGATGTGAGCACGAACAATGGCCTGTCGAGCAGCGGCTTGAGATTTAGCCTCCTGATTTGCCCAGAGGCAGCTCACAATGCACTTCGCCCTCCCCCCGCGCAAAACATCCCATCCTCCTCCCTACGTTCGGAACAGCAACTTGACTGCCGCATCCCAGAGACGGCGGAAGCAATTCCAACTCGGTGCCTACTTCGTGTTGGGAATATTGACGTTGTACCTTGTCGTCCGGTTTGTTCTTTCGTTCGATTTAACAGGGGAGCACAACGATGGCGCAACTTCAATTGAAGGGCCTCAAGATATTGTTCTCGTGACGGTGTTTGACAATGAGACCATGAACGAAGACTACATGCGGATAGTAAAGACAAACCGAGATGATTATGCCAGGAGACATGGTAGCGCATGTTGCACTTGAGACACTGGACTAGAGTGAGCTGATGGTGATCTAGGGTACAAGAACTTCTACACCAACACGACGGCGTATTTCCACCTCGTTGACCCTTCTCCGTTATCCTGGTCGACGATACCAGCAATGCGACATGCTTTGACAGAGCATGCCACAAGCACCTTTTTCTGGTCCTTGTCCGTCGACGCCTTCATAACGAATCCTTCAGTGTCACTAGAGTCCCACATCCTCCAACCACTCGAGTCGCTCATGCTCAAGGACATTCCTGTCGTTCCACCAGACTCGGTCATTCACACATTCTCTCACCTCAAGCCTTCTCGCACGCACCTAATACTGTCGCAAGACATGGACAATCTTGCCCATACCTCTTTCATCCTGCGCAACACCCCCTTCAGCACCAAAACGCCAGACAATTGGGCCCATTACTTCCTGGATGCCTGGTTCGATCCCTTATACCGTGCCTATGCATTTCAGAAAGCAGAGAACCATGCGCTCGAGCACCTGGTCCAATGGCACCCCACGGTTCTAGCCAAGTTGGTACTGATCGAGCAACGCTGGATCAATTCCTACAACTACGCCACACCACCGGCGAAAGACCCGTTGACGGGTCTCACCCGCACTCACGACAGCATGTGGCAAGAAGGGGATTTGGTGGTCAATCTAAAAGGATGCAGGGAAAGCGACAAGCGGGACTGCGAAGACGAAATGAGATATTATTTTACCAGATGGGAGAAAGAAGTGGAAAAGCTAGACGGGAAGAAGCCAGAACATAACGTTGGACCTCCGAGACCGAGGGCGGTCAAAGATGAGAGGAAGAAAGCCGACGTGGTCAAATCCGTGGAAAGATGAGACCCAATCCCCGGGTATCTTCCATACCGACGTTAGCCTGGAGTTGCTTGTGTGGTGGCTCATTTTCGGGCGGAGTTCGTATCCAGCGAGGCACGGCAGCGATAGAAGACCACTTGTATAACAGATTTTCCTTGAGGCACAGGCGCAATATCGGAACATGACGAGCAAGGCCATGGGATATTTCGGGACATCAAGATCGGCCAACAGAACCAATAGAGCGATATCTTTTGTGAGAATTTGACAAGGCAGCACAAGTCCCAGTTTCCAGCTTGTCTTCTTGACCCTCCCCTTGGTGTTCCCGGCTTCAGGCGAGGTCTCCTCTTTCAGCTCGCAGTTTGTCATACCTCAGCACCGCTCCGAGCAGTACCTGGGCACCGATGGCGCTGCATGGGTGTCAGCAGGTCAAGGATGTCCAGCAAAGACGATTGACTTACCAGTCTTCCGGGCTGCAGTATTCCTTCGGATTGTGACTGATTCCGTCCTTGGTGACGGTAAAGATCATGCTTGTTGGACAACGACGGTTTGTGTAGCAACTATCATGACCGGCGCCGCTGATCATATATTTCCACAACTGCCCATCGTCGGCAGTCATGGGGAGGTCTTCACACACCTCCTTCGCGCTCGCCTCGACGGCAGCAACACAGTCGGCATGGAAATTGACTGCCGGGCTGTCCACCAGTTCCTTCCATTCCACTTTGCAGCCTTTCTCGCTCTCTTTCTCTGCAATCCTTGCGAATTCTGATCGACATGTTTCCTCAATCTCGGCGAGCTTGGCATCCTCAGTGTGTCGAATATCCAGAGTGAAGGTCACCGTGTGAGCCATGGTGTTGATCGACCCGGGCTGTTGGTTTAGGATGCCGGTCGTTGCAAGACCTCCAAGTTTCTTCGCAATGGCGTTGGACTCGACAATCAGCTTTGCAGCGCACAGCATCGAGTCCATCCTAGCCGTGAAAGGGGTGGTTCCGGCGTGAGTATCGCGCCCCTTTACTGTGATTTCAAACCATTTGAATGCTTGCACACCTGTCACGACTCAGATTGCGGTCTTATCAATATGCTCGACAGTCACTGACCTTTGACGACCCCTACTCTCCTTTTCTCCGCTTCCAGGATGGGACCTTGCTCGATATGAACTTCGAAGTGGGCGGCTATGGGAAATGCTTTGTAGGACGCCGGCTGTGACCCGAGATATCCAATCCTTTCGAGTTCTTGCTTCATTGTCTTGCGGTGTCCATCGTCTCCTGGTGACACTTCGGGCAGATTCCAGGCCGTTTCCAAAGACACCGCTTCAGCCCATACGCCAGACGACACGGCCATCATAGGAAAGCGCGCGCCCTCTTCGTTGGTCCAGTTCACTACCCCAATACTTCCTTCGGTCTCAACATTGTTTTCGTGCAGAACCCTCAGGACTTCAAGCCCGGAGTTGACACCCAAGATGCCGTCATATCTCCCGCCTGTCGGTTGAGTGTCGAGATGCGAGCCCATCATGATCGGAGGCGCTTTGGGGTTCTTCCCGGGCCTCACAGCGAACATGTTTCCCATCTGGTCAATAGTTGTCTTGCAATTCAACGAGGCAGTGACGCCCATGAACCAGTCTCGTACTTCCTTGTCCGCGTCATTGAGACTCAGCCTTGCCATTCCAGTTTCGACAGGGTCACTGGTCGAGCACTGCGTCAGGAGCAGTTCTCTATGGGGGGGTTAGGGGTGACTTTTACACTTACTCTCCATAGCGATGGGCAGCGCCATACTTGCAGCCACTGTGAATGGCATCCATCAACCGCGATTGGTTGACTTTCAAGGCAGAGATGTCATGCTTTGATCGGGTACCATTGACGCCGTTCACTGCATGAGTGCCGTTTACAGCCATTCTTCTGATCGGCCAGCTCCTCAGCCACCTGCTCGAACTTCCCGGACTGAAAGAAGCGAAGGATCTGGAAACAGGAGACGAGGATGGTTTGCACGCGCGAGACGGTCTCACAGTCAGTCGCTGTCCCAGATTCCGGCCAAGGTCAAAGCAAGGTGCTACAAGGGACATGGGCAAATTAATTGTGTGTCATCCAGGACACCCCTAGAGGCATTATTTCTTTTCTTTTCTTTCGTCGGACGATCGCGGTGGCTATTGATTAAGTTCGGCTCTCTGGTTGATACGGGGCGAGCGACGAAGAGGTATCTAAGGAGTTGTCCGCTCGCGAACCTGCCGTGTTCTGAGGGTGTTTAACGACTCGACCTTGCCACTCGCCTCCATAGTAGTTGGAGAAAAAAGATACAGGTGGAGATACCCGACAACAGTCTCACGGCCTCTGCTCGCGGCTCATTGAAGAACAAGATACTGCCTGTATTGCTCTGGCGTGTCTGACTAGAAGGGAAAACAGGACAACGGTCGCGTTCTGAATTGCCTAGAGATGCTTCATGGCCCATTGATGCCACCAGGTCACAACCACAATGCTCCTCTCCTGAACGGTTGTTGGTGGTTGTATATTCGAGACGCGTCCAGTATACTTGGGACCAAAGCTCTAGAGCTACTCATTTTCCCCTTCTTTCTGACTGTCATCACTAAGAGCTGGATGTCGGAGAGATGCTGTGATACTACAACAGGGCGACAAGGCTGAAGGTATGGCATTGCGATATTAATATTGGATGTTTGGGCGTGGTGTCAATGGTTTACTTGCGTCCCCACTTGTCACAGGCAAGGGCAGGGAAGTCCTTCTAGGGGCTTTCTGGGGGTGCGTAGCCGATCACTAGCTGAGACGCTTAGCTGGAGAAACCGCCTACTGGCAGCCTCACCGGCCCCCAGTTGCCCGGTTAAGGGGCTGCTCCGCCAACATCTTGGTTAAAGCTCCAGTTAAAGCAGCCTTCACTCCTTCACTCCTGCTTTCATTCTCCCCTCTCACGAATTACTTCATGAGCCATGCCAACACACGCCATTCCCCCGCCAAGTATGCCACAGGATACAATAATAGAACAAAGACCACGTTCATCCCTCCCCAGCATCTTCAAGATCAATAGCAGCCATGAGTGAATCTCTGTCACTTTATTGCATCCTCAAGGTGGATCACGAGCTCACGGCGAATAGTTAGAAGAGATTGCTGTCACTCACTGTGGCCACCACACCACCTTGCCCACACTTTTCCTTCACCTCGATTTGCATGCCAGCAAAACAAACTCTTTATATGATATCTTTCTATATCTAATGCTGTTCTGCACAAACACCTTTCACTTCTTTCTTTCCGGTATTCTTTGCATAAATAGATAGGGGTCTGACACTTTCCTTTTCTTCTGCTGTACCTTTTCTGACAAGGATTTTCTCTGGTGGAACGTCCCACAACGGTGCTTCTCTATATCCTTTTTATTGGCGACGAATATCAACGTAGAAACAACATGGAGCCTGATGAGACTACGTTGAATCCAGATGTCATTGACAAGAGACCCCAAAGTTCTACGCCTCCGCTGCGGATGAACGTGGAAGACGCCGCAGCAGCAGACATTTTCCGCAACCACCGTCGCCTTGTTGGTTGGGTCCTCGAGAATGATGGATACTTGCACCCGCACGCTCAGATCGCCTTCAGCTCGCGCAACGGCTACCATGCTGTAGTCGCTGATGGACAATCTCTTGTGAGCGGGACGCGTATCGCCAGTTGCCCGATGCCAATCACACTATCAGTGCTTAATGCCTTCGACATCACTCCATTCTCAAATCATGGCACGCGCTTTCCGATGTCTTTCCTAAGGAAGCAGTCGCAGAAACCCGAATCTCTGCAAGCCTTCTTTTTGATGGAGCAGCTGATCCTGGGCGAGAACTCTTGGTGGGCTCCCTACATTGCTACCTTGCCCACAGTGGAAGACATCAGCGCGATGCAATTCGACGAGGAAGCGGATGCCATGTGGCTGGAGGGAACCAATCTCAAAGGCGGCCTCTCCACGCAAGCTGCCAAATGGAAAGACATGTATCTACAAGGCTCGGCTCATCTGAGGGGACTGGGCTGGCCCAGTGCGCTGAACGGATCCTACACATGGTACGCCGGCATGAACTGCCCTCTCTCTGACCCATCATGACTTACAAACAGACCATAGGCCTCGTTTTCGCTGGGCGGCCACCATTTTCGGCAGCCGTTCTTTCACTTCACAGGTTCTCGATGCAACCCTGCCCGCAGACCTTGCGACCATCCATCGCAGCCAACAGCCGTACAACCTCGTCAAGCTCTTTGGAGACCGTTTTGCAGTACTACTTCCACTCCTTGATCTCCTCAACCACAAACCCGCGGCTCAGATCGAATGGCAAGCCCAGTACCATTTCGTCGGGCTACAGATTCTCGAAACCTATGAGTCGGGGCAGCAGCTTTACAACAACTACGGTCCCCGGGACAATGAGGGTCTCCTGCTGGCATACGGCTTCACCATTCCAGGCAACCCGTTCGACCATTTTGTCGTCAGCATCAAGGCGCCGCCCGGGTCGCCTTTGGATGTGGCTCGCCGGGCGTGGAAACAGGACATCAGATCAGACATTGAAAGGAGATGCTTCATATTCAACCACAAACATCCCGAGTCGACGTCCGCGCTAGTTCTAGAGTCGTCGCTCTTTTCGTTCGATTTGTTGGACAGTATTTCCATCCTGTGCGCCAATGACCGTGAAATGCAGAGCATGACAATGAGAAACCAGTCGTTGATGAGCTACTGTCTCACCGACAAGCCCCGGTTCCAAGACCGCCGTATTATATTGGCGACCTTGAGCCAACTTCTGAGAGAATGCATTGCGCGCGCTAAAAGGCTGAGGAGCACCGATCCCCGTCGAACCATTCCCGGACTGGAGCCTGCCAATTCGAAACAACAAAATGCCAAGGTCTACCGCGAGAGCCAGCTGGAGATTGTCGAAACAGCGGTTGCACTTTGTACCTTCGTGTTGAAATGCGCCATCAGTGGGACCGTCGACCCCGAACGGATGTTGACCACCATGCAGGACCAAGTTTCACGCTCTGCTTTGGCGAATCTGAGACTCCTAGGTAATAGGCACGTTCGGCTTACTCGCCCGTCCGAGCTTCTTAGTCTGGATGGCATGATCGAGATGATTCCGAATTCCGAAGGCGTCCGAAAATGCTTGGTTAGTTTGAGCCAACAACTTCAGAGCAACGCTCATGGTGAAGGATCAATTGATACGTCGGGTCCAACGAGCGTCATCAAAGGTCAACTTGCCGCTACTCTTTCGGCGCTGTACAGCGAATATGCTCACGGAGTCAAACTCCCCCAGAGAATCACGGAGTGGGTCAAACAGCTAGTCACATGGTATCCACCGGATAGCGAGTCCTGGGCATATGTACCGACTCCTGGTCCTTGGGAATCTGGAGAAGAACCACCAGCTGAATTAATGAACCTGCTTGCCGCCCGGGCTGCCCTGTCTCCGACAATAGCGGTGGAGTCGAGCGTCAAACGATGGCTGAGACCAGAGAGGATATGCTGGGGATGGAATGTCATGGAGGAAGAGAAGGTGATTGTCCCATCGTATCTTGCAGAGGCAGATGCCGATGGAGCGAGAGATGGCATATCGGTTTTGATTTATTGGCAGCAGTACTAGGAACATTGGGACCAGCTCCATCCGGCCCTGGATTCCGAACGACTCTGCCCAGAAGCATTTGATGAATATTCAAGGGTAAATAGGTGTTGCTGCTCGCGTGAGCCTGAGTTGTTATTGCCGAGACTTTGGTATTTCAGACGACCGAAGCCTTCTCATGAATAAGACATTCAATAGATGGTTATTTCTGCGTAAATGCTGTCAGCATATCAGGGCGAGGCTGCGGTTAATGGAAAGCCGAAGTATTGCCGACCGAAAGGCATCTATGACGAGGCCAAGCTTCTGACCAATCAGCGGAGCTCAATATCGAAGACTTCAACCATTGATTTCGTATTGATTGACGCCTCTCCTCTCCACGTCCGACGTCCTTGCTTCCTCCCTCCTCCCTCCTTTCCCGCCGCCACACTCGTTAGGAGTGTCCCGTCGTCCTCACATCCCTCCCAAAATGATTGTCCGGTCGTCTGCCGCGAGAAACGTGGCCCGCGCGGCCTCCAACACAGCTTCACGGTCAGCCAACTCCTCCATCGCCGCTACCAGCTCCTCCACCCTCCAATCCCGCCGATCCTACGCCACCGTCCAAGAAGGACAACCCCAGCAGAGACGCTATGGCGGTCTGAAGGACCAGGACCGGATATTTCAAAACCTCTACGGCCACCATGGCACGGACCTGAAGAGCGCCATGAAATACGGCGACTGGTACAAAACCAAGGAGATCCTACTGAAGGGCCATGACTGGTTGATCAATGAGATTAAAGCTTCGGGCTTGAGAGGAAGAGGCGGTGCGGGATTTCCGAGTGGGTTGAAATTTGTACGTCTCTGGCGCAGAGCGTGATGGGCAAACGGAATGCTAACCGAGGGAATGATAGTCGTTCATGAACTTTAAGGGCTGGGAAAACGATAAGAAACCACGCTACCTGGTCGTCAACGCCGATGAAGGCGAGCCGGGGACTTGCAAAGATCGAGAAATCATGCGCAAAGATCCGCACAAACTCGTCGAGGGGTGCTTGGTGGTTGGTCGCGCCATGAACGCCACCGCAGCGTACATCTACATCCGCGGCGAATTTTACCACGAAGCCACTGTTCTCCAGCGCGCCATCCAAGAGGCATATAAAGAAGGCTTGCTTGGCAAGAATGCCTGCGGCTCAGGCTACGACTTTGATGTCTACCTACACCGAGGCATGGGCGCATACGTGTGTGGAGAGGAGACTTCACTCATCGAATCACTCGAGGGGAAGGCTGGAAAGCCTCGCCTCAAGCCACCCTTCCCTGCGGCCGTCGGTCTTTTTGGATGTCCCTCCACCGTCACAAACGTCGAAACAGTGGCAGTTTGCCCCACCATCGTTCGACGGGGTGCGAAATGGTTCGCCAGCTTCGGTCGCGAGCGCAACCAGGGCACCAAGCTGTTTTGTATATCTGGACACGTCAACAACCCGTGCACTGTCGAGGAAGAGATGTCTATTCCTCTCCGAGAATTGATTGAGAAGCACTGTGGCGGTGTCCGGGGCGGCTGGGACAACTTGCAAGCCATTATCCCGGGTGGTTCGTCGACACCAATTCTACCCAAACATGTCTGCGACGATCAGTTGATGGACTTTGACGCCTTGAAGGACAGCCAATCCGGTCTAGGCACCGCGGCGGTGATTGTGATGGATAAATCTGCTGATGTGGTTAGGATGATTGCCAGACTGAGCGCCTTCTACAAGCATGAAAGTTGCGGGCAGTGCACGCCCTGTCGAGAGGGGAGTGCGTGGACAGCGAAGATTATGGAGAGATTTGAGAAGGGCCAGGCAAGAGCGCGCGAGATTGATATGATGCAGGAGATCACGAAGCAAGTTGAGGGGCATAGTATTTGCGGTAAGCGTTTTCTTCCTTTCTGTCCCTTTCCGAAGCCTCCCGCCGCTCTATATGGACATGGACACTAATTACTGTGTTGCAGCCTTGGGTGAAGCTTTCGCATGGCCTGTCCAAGGTCTCATTCGCCATTTTCGACCCCAGCTTGAGGCACGCATTCAGGAATACTCAAAGGCTGCCGGTGGCGAAGCCCTGGCGGGTGGATGGGAGCCTGACGCTGCGAAGAAAGGGTTGCTCATCGCGCCTGGACAATAAATCATAAAGGGATCTGTGGAGGAGGGTGGTTGCCCGATGAAGTCTCAGGAGGAAGTTTGCAAGGTCGAGTTTCCGATCCGAATATCATGGGGTTGATATTACTCTCTGAGCAGCACAAGGCTGCGTCTCTGAAGCGTACGGGCGTTTCCTTCCATTGCGACTGAGAGAGACGACGTGGAATAAAATTGTACATATATTTCATTCCAAACACTACCGTTTCGTCTTTCCTGGTGATTGATATTGATGACGAACCATCCCCGGGTGTTTCGCCCTCCTCTGATTCATCCACATGTGCAATCTCCGTTCAAAACATCAGGAGGAGTCGATACCATCCACCACTTCCCTCACATGCCTCGTCCCAAACGTTACATCGACACAGCTGGAGGATCCTCCTGGAATCCGGTCAGCAACGAGTCCCACTGGACGTCGAGGACCCCCAGTGACTCGGGCCGGTTGCCGACAATGATGGCGGCAAAGGTCTTTTCCGCCCTTCACCATCACGGCGATCCTTTTGGGAGTGGTTCTTCTAGAACGAGGCACCTGGCCTTGATGTCATCCGGTCATTATTGCGTTCCCTGGAGGCGGGTGAATTGTCTGTGAAGGCTAGTCCGTCTCTCATGTAACGGCTTCTTCCAACGGGGCCAGTCAGATGGCAAAGGGCCGATTGCACCCCGGTGATTGGGGCGCAGCCTTTCGATCTTCTCGGATGGTCCTTAAAATGCTTTGATGGTTGCGGCTCTACATGTGCAATCAACCATATGTCCTTCGACTGTTTATTGATGAGAGAGAGCATCTCTCCCGATCATACGAGAGTAGCAAAGAGTCTCACAACGCTGCAGTTGATTGAACGCCATCATGGGTTCACGGTTCATTCCCACCATGGCTTCCCAGTCGCTAGGCCGAGCGTGGTACCACAGTCTGGAGCACAAAATCGAGCTCTGCGAGAAATACGGCTTCGAGGCCGTTGAACTCTTCTTCGAGGACCTCGAAGGCGTGGCAAAGGCTCTACCTCTCTCACATCCGGCCCTGCCACCCGGTTCCTCATTTACCGACTCTACAGCACTCCAAGAAAGACAGCTTGCGGCAGCGGAGTACATCCACGACCTCTGCCTCCACCACCAGCTGGAAATCCTCTGCCTGCAACCGTTCATGCACTACGAGGGTCGCCTGGACTCGTCATCCCACGAGGAAGCCATCCAGAGCCTGCACTTCTGGATCCAGCTCGCCCAGCGCCTCGGCACCGACCTGATCCAGATCCCATCCAGCTTCCTCCCTGCGTCACAGTGTACCGGCGACCGGGACAGGATCGTCGCGGATCTGCGACAAGTTGCAGAGATTGGTCTTCGACACGATCCCCCCGTCCGTTTCGCATACGAGGCTCTTGCTTGGGGAACACACGTCGACACGTGGGACGCGGCGTGGTCGATTGTGCTGGAAGTGGACAGGCCCAATTTCGGGACATGCATCGACGCCTTCAATCTCGCCGGGCGAGTCTTTGCCGATCCGGCGTCGCCGTCGGGCCTGAACCCCACGGCCTACCAAGACACCCAGAACGCACTTTCGAAGCTGCGGGACGAGCTGCCGCAGGCGTTGGAGAAAGTGTTCTACGTCGAGGTCTGCGATGGCGAGAGACTGGATGCTCCACTGAGAGCCGGCCATGAGTGGTACGACCCCGAGCAGCCTGCGCGAATGTCCTGGTCACGGAATGCCCGGTTATTCCCCTTCGAGAGCAAAGGATACCTCCCCGCCCTGGAGATTCTGGAAGCGGTGTGCGACGCCGGATATAGGGGACACATCTCCTTTGAATTGTTCTCCCGGACAGCAAATCAGCCCGGCAAGGACGTCCCTGAGGACCACGCCAAAAGGGGAGCCGTGGCATGGAGGAGACTGGCAGAGCATATGGGCTGGCGCAAGCAGGAAACCAGTGCAGACTCTGAACCGCGGAGCGATCGTCGGTATGTGTGTTCCCTTCAGGCTTTGACGATGTAGATATTGACTGTCTCCTCAGTGTCAGTATCTCTAGCGCTACCGACTCCCGCTCAATCGCCTCTGATGCCTCTCCCTGTTCGAGTCCGCGGCTGTAGCAGACATGATGCAAGAGGTGGATCGTGTTTAACCTGCACTCTTGAGATGCATGCACAGATACGAGTTGGCAGTTGGGGCCTGTGTATGGTCCACCTTTTCGACGCTGTTCCACACGTTTGAGATACCCCTGACATGATATAGAGATATAGAGGGATACATGATGTACATGAAACTTTGCAGCAGCGACGTATCGAGGGTTTCTCCTCAAGCCCCGGGCCTAGAATAGTCCAATCTCCTGACCCTCTTCCACACTTCCCTCACGCACCTCTCCTGGCCTTGCCTGGCCGTCTCGCCATCTGGACCGTCGCTGGCGGGCCGGATGGCAAGATACAGCCTCCCGCCCAGCTTGGCGTCGACAATGTCCGCGGTCTCCCAGTCGTCCGGCGGGTTCGCCGTGGTGACCAGCCCGCCGGCCTCGGTCAGCAGACAGATGCCCGCGGCGACGTCCCACTCCCAGCAGCCGCCCTCCCACCAGATGTCGAAGCTGCCCATGGCCGTGTAGGCGAGGTCCATGGTCGCGCTGCCCAGGCTGCGCATGCCGTGGACCATGCCGCCCTTGCCGCCGCGCGCGCCCAGCTCGGCGGCCATGTTGACAAAGCTGTCGACCTTGCGGTGGAGGTTGCCGTTGGGCACGTCCCGGCGGTCTTTCCCCCACTCGAAGGCGAAGATACACTGCGCGGGCGCCGCCCGGGGGATGGGCCCTACGCCCTGGCGGCCCAGCAGCGGCAGCCGGGTGGTCTCGTTCAGCCAGGCGCCGCGGCCGCGGCACGCCGAGAACAGCTGGCCCAGCAGCGGCGCGTGCACGACGCCCACCACGGGCGTGTGGCCGACCACCAGCGCGATGCTCACACAGAACATGCCGAAGCCGTGCGTGAAGTTGACCGTCCCGTCCAGCGGGTCGACCACCCACGTCGGCCGGTCCGCGCGCACCAGGTACTCCTTCGACGCGCCCCGCGAGTACATCTCCTCGCCGACGAAGGCGTGCAACGGGTACCGCCGGCGCACGGCCGAGTGGATGAACTCCTCGACCTCGGTGTCGGTGGCGGTCACGATGTCGACGGCGTTGAGCTTCTCGTGCATCACCAGTTCCTCTTGGGGGGATCCGGCGTTGGCATGGTCCTTGTCGCTGTTGTCCCTGTCGTCCCGCCGCCTCCGCTGGAGACTCTTCAGGAGGATCTGTCCCGCGTCTCGGCCCAGCTGGATGGCAAAGGCGTAAATCTCCCCCAGCTCTTCGTCCGAGATGGTGTGCTGCCTCGTGTCGTCGGGCATGTTCTCTTCGGATATCCGGGGGGGGGGGTACAGGTTGGAAATCCCCGGTCTTGTATAGGGGTCACGAGATTACACTTCGAGAATGTCCCGGTTCCGGAAGAATGCTGCAGGGGAAGGTAGATGTGTCTGTGTCTATGTCCGTCAGTCTATCTGTCAGTCAGTCCATGCTACCAGGAGTCAAGTCCCGCTCGACACGCCCCGAAGGATTCGAGGACCCGGGTCGGTTATCCACGGGCTCAGTTGCCGATCAGCCCCTCGTCGGAACCCATCCCCTGTTGAAGGCTCTGTCTGACCCGGGCGAGTTCTTTGCCGACGAGCAGAAAGGGCATTCACCCGCTTCCAGCTCTTTCGCAATGCATCTGGCGGCGTCAGAGGAAACTATCCCGTCCACGTCGGCCCTGCGCAGTGGTCGATCATCTTGTCCGCCGCTGGCGCTGTTCAGGCGACGGTCTCTGTCCCTAGACTCTGATTGCATGTCTGACTGGTTTTGGGGTTGCGGTCGGAGTGGGGAAATGGCAGCATGACACTGTCTGTATACAATATCTGCTCGACTGCTGTTTAGAATAGTGTGTACAGAGGTAAGACTATTATATTATATCGACAGCTACCAGAAACAGCCTCGCCTCTGCTGCTGATCTGGCTCAGTGATACTTCTGCAGGAGGCATGTGAGACATTCATACCACTTTACGCCTGTCTCTCGCTTTGCGGACTTCAAGCCCAGAAGCTGGTCGTTGATCAATATCACGCAGTCGTCCAAAGCAAAACCCCGGGAGAGACTATCCTCTTCCTCCTCATCAATCAGAAAAACAATCCCTTGTTGCATAGATTCCCCTGATATATCATATCTTATTTCCCATCCCACTCACTCCTCTCCTTCGCCTCCAAGTCAAAACGACACTGCCAACGATGTCCGGTACCAACACCACCAATGTCCCGACGTCTCTTCCCGCACGACCCAAGCGGAAACTCCTGCTCATCAACGGCCCCAACCTCAACCTGCTCGGCACGCGGGAGCCGCACATCTACGGCTCGACGACGCTAAGCGACGTGGTCACCTCGATCGTGGCGCGGGGCCAGAGGCTCGAGATCGAGGTGGTGGCCTTCCAGTCGAACCACGAGGGGCAGATCGTCGACTTTATCCAGTCGCATTTCACCCCGCCACCAGTCCCAACATCAGCATCGACACAGTCCACGCTCCCTAGTGCTACCACTACCACCACCACCCCCCGACGCACGAGGACAGGCGTGATCATCAACCCCGCGGCCTTCACGCACACCAGCGTCGCCATCCGCGACGCCCTGCTGGCCACCGCGCTGCCCTTCGTCGAGGTGCACGTCTCCAACATCCACGCCCGCGAGCCCTGGCGCACCCACTCGTACTTCTCGGACCAGGCCGTCGGCGTGCTCCTCGGCCTCGGCGTCTACGGGTACACCGCCGCCCTGGAGTTCTGGGCCCAGCGCTGGGACAAGGAGGACGCGGACGAAGGGTTCGAGACCACGGGGGAGGTGGAGGGGGAGGTACGTGCGGTTGAGGGAGGAGAGGGAGGCGAGCGCGAAGATAGGGTACAGGAAAAGGGTTGGACGGTGGCATTGACAAGTGTCTAGGTAGGTGGGTAGGTGGGTAGGAAATGACTCGAGCGGGAGGTAGCTTTCCTTGGATCATAAGGGCGTTATCACTTGTGGCTCTTTGCACCTAGCAGGGAGGTAATCATATGGTCCTAGTATATCGAGCTTCACGGTCTAGGTAGGGGAGAGCAGATTGCTGTTCTCAACTCGCCTCCTTTTCATTCCAAGGACTCTTCTACTAGATCCAGTTCTCGGGACAAGACGCTACAGATTCTCCGTTCTCAATCATCGATATCATTGTGTTAGGACCACTATTTGCGTTCCGTTCCCGATGAAGTGCAGAGGAAGTATACCGATCCTTTCCACCACAGAACAATACAGTATTTGCACAAATGGGCAATCTCCCCTCATCACACGAATGCATCCAAAGCTATACTAGCATAGTCAAAAGCTCATCCTTGAGGGCTGGCTTCCGCTTCCAAGTCCATCTCCAGAGCGGTATGTAGCCTTGGTTTTTCAATCTACACCTTCTCCACGGCAACCTCGCGTTCCTCGACAGACTCCTTTTCACCACCAATACTCTGCCGTCGGAACTCTTGGTCCTCCATGCGGATCTGGCCGAGGACGATCTTGTGTGCCCGCCTCGCAGGGTATTCTCGGCTAAAGAGGCGGTCCATGGATTCGAGAGGGATGCCCTTGGTCTCGGGTACCAGGAAGTAGACATAGACGGCGGCGCAGAGCATGAGGGAGGCGAAAAACATGTATACGCCGTAGGACATTGCGGCGAACATTTGAGGCGTGAAGCTGGGGTTGCTAGCGTTAGCTACAGTTTCCGTTTCGGGGCGTGCAGAAGTGTATCGACTTACCGAGCAATGATAAAGTTCCAAAACCAGTTGTTCGCAGCGGCAAATGCCTGCGCCAGAGTTCTAACGTTCTGATCGAACATTTCCGAGTTCAAAACCCACGGAGTTCCGTTCCATGATGGCGTATAACAAACTGTCCATAGGTAGAAGAAAGCCATAGCCGAGATACCGCCCGACGAGAGCGTATCGCTTGGATGGTCGGCAGGTTTTGCCACTGCGATATAGCCTCCAATGTACCACATGCAGAGAGAGCCCGCGACGGCCCCGTACATGAGAAGCGCGCGGCGGCCGAGTTTGTCGATGAGAATGAAGAGCCAAAACAAAGTAACGACGGTCTTGATGACTCCGAAGATGCCGGTAGTTAGGAGGGAGGTATTGGTGCCGGTGACCCCAATCGACTTAAATACCGTGGGACTGTAATAGTTTATCGCGTTAATTCCTGTCGCGTTCTGCCACAGGAAGAGGGAACCACCAAGGAGGAAGCGATAGGTGACTTTGCGGTCGGTGAAAACTGCTCGGAACGGTTGCCAGAAGCCCAAGCCGACCGTGGAACGTTGAAGCTCGATGGCGTTGTCGAGGACAAAAATCTCTTCTTGCATATAGATATGATCGGCCGGAAGCTTTCGCAGCCAGCATAAGTTCTTGACTCCTTCTTCACGGCGTCCGCGGGAGAAGAGCCATCTGGGCGATTCTTTGATGACCCATGCGCCCAAGAACAAAAGCCCAGCCGGGATGAGTTGGATGGCAAACGGAATGATCCATTGCTCATGGGAGGGTGACATGGTCTCTGAGACGCCATAGTTGATCCAGAAGCCAACAAGCCCTCCAATCTGCCAGGCCATTTCGTATAGTCCAACCAGCCTGCCACGGATGGCCGGAGGGGCGATTTCAGCGCAATAGATCGGCGAGAGGTTTGACGCCCCACCAACTCCTATCCCAGCAAGCACACGGCCTCCATAAATGAGACCCAGGCCACGGGCTCCATTGGCTCCTAACATCATCCCTGCACCAAGAACGAAGACGGCGGCGAAGATGAGGAGTCCGATTCTTCGTCCAAGGAAGTGGCCGGCGGGATAGGCGAAAAAGGCGCCAAAAAAGGCACCTGCTTGATAACAGGAGACAATGTTGGCTGAAAGGAGGTTGACTGCCGACTTGGAGAGGTTGTCGAAGTGGAATTCGTCTTTGAACGACGTCAAGGCGAGAGTACCCCCGATGAAGGCGGAGTCGTACCCGATCATCATGGCAGCAGACGCAGCCACCGCCGCGGAAAAGTAGACTCTCCAGTTGTAGACATCCTTGGGAGTGGGACGGTCTTCGACCAAGTGAAGGAGACCCATATTGAATGATGTCGTTGAGAATTCAAAAAGGGTCGAAGAAGATGTGTTCTGGAGTTGCGGATGGAGGAGTCTGGGGAAGCACCAGAATGAGGCGGAGTATATGTATACAAAAGGGCCAAGAGGAGGGAGCTGTGAGATTGGACTACCAGACAGCCTGTTGGATGCTCACAACTGCCAAATACGACCACCGGAGAAGAGTTTTTCTCCACGAGCTTATGGTGGGCTCTCCATCCGGGGTCCTCGATTGAACTCTTCTGCTCGTCGTCTATCATTGCCGGTTACATCGACGGGGATCAGCCCCCAGTTGTGGAGTGAATCCTCCTGGCCATTCGGCTTTTTGGCAGATGAATAGCCGGTGAAAGGCGACATGGCGGAAAAGACTTTATCCTGTAAGGATTTTGCCTCCGCCACCTTCCCAAAGGCTTTTTTCGCATCTGCGGGGGACGATCCGAACGTGGCTGGCCAGCATTGTCGGGGTTTGCATTGCTATTGCATCGGCAATGGACGACACGATTGCAGGATCAGTGAGCTCGTCTTGGTGCCCATCAAGCTAAACGCCAATATTCGAGGATCAACGAAGAAGGAGGCGACGTTCAAGGGACCGTTCCATTCCAGAAGTTGGAGTTTGTCGTGAATAGCTTCTAAGGGCATCGAAAGCCGTCTGACAGTCGGATTGACAGGGAGCTTCAGTGTGCCAGAAACATCAGATCTCAGCAACCAGCAACCAGCATTAGATGCAAGGCTTTCCCTTTCAGTGTACACCCAGCCATGGCACAATTTTCACCTCCGGACACCTCTTCTCTTGATCGTGTTGCTTATCTTGTTGGATATCCTATTGCCCATTCAAAATCGCCCTCATTACATCATGCCATCTACTCCGCCGTTGGACAGAGATGGGGCCAAATGCTCTGCGAAACGACCGACCTCGAATGTTTCTTGAGGTACCTCAAGAGTGACCCAAAATGCATGGGAAGCGGGGTGACCATGCCGTTCAAAGTTGCTGTCATCCCCTATCTCGACGAACTCACAGATGAAGGGAAAGCGATCGGGGCAGTCAACACAATTGTATTCAAGACCGGCCCAGGTGGATCAAGGATATATTGTGGCACAAATACTGACTGTCTGGGGATCCGGGATGCCTTTCTCACAAATGTCGAAGGCTCTCCCTACCGAGGGAAGCCTGGTCTCGTCGTTGGAGGCGGTGGCACTTGCAGAGCAGCTTTGTATGCACTACAGCAATTCATGGGCTGTTCGCCGATATACATAATCAACCGTGATGCTGGTGAGGTCGAGGCTGTGCTTCAAGAATGTCAAGCTCGAGGAGTCGGAGATAACCTGATATACGTATCCACGACGGACCAAGCCAAATCACTGCCATCACCAGCAGCAGTAGTCAGCGCAGTCCCGGACTTCACCCCTGTGACAGAGACAGAGAAAATTGTCAGAGAGATCCTCTCCATATTATTGAACGGAGGCGAGAAGGGTGCTTTGTTGGAGATGTGTTATCATCCCTCTCCTGATACTGAAATATCCAGACTAGCTCAAAAAGCGGGTTGGCAGGTGGTCGGCGGTATTGAAGCCATGATAGGACAGGGACTTGCGCAAGCAAGTCTGTGGACTGGCATTGAAATCGACGACAGGCTGCGTGATGTGGCCCGAAAGGCGGTGCAGAGACAGATGACCAACGCAGACTGAAAAGAAATTGACAGCAATGTACTGAACATACCGCAACTTGTACTTATGTCTGAATAGATTTCCATCGGGCGGGTTTGGTGACGAAAACCCTGACCAATTTGTTGTCTATGTGAAAAACTCCTCCCCGTCGATCAGATAGGACGTGTTCTTCTGAATTGACGCATGGGCGGCCTCTGCCATGCAGCGCTTAGGCGCTTTCCTTCCAGTCATTGATTCGAATTGACCGACAGCTTGCTCGATCAGGGCTTCGATACCATCAATCAGAACCCAGGGTCTTTGCGTTGACGCTCGAAATCTCTTGATCTGCCTGATCAGTGGTGTCTCCTTGGTCATGTATGCCATTTCAACGACAACACCACCACTTGGTGATTGCATCCACTGCTCTGGCATCTCAAAATCTGCGCCTGGATTCCCATCTAGCAGCTCGTGAGTAACACATGACACCACGATAGTCGGAGGCGCAAACTCTGGAGGCCAAGGGTCGCTAGTACGTTCAATGACTTTGACTGGTTCTTGGACATTCGCTGATACGAGCCCGTTTGTCTGAGACCGAGCCCAGTCATTGAAGTGCCGGGCGAGAGCTCGGGTATTTGAGACAGTTCTGTTGTATACAAATATGTGTTTGCAGCCTATCTGCAGCATGGCATATACCGCAGCTCTCGCCATACCTCCAGCACCAATCACGAGGCTGGTAGTCTTCGGCTGGATTGCATTGCGTGGAGATAGGCTTCGGCTGACACAGTTCATTATGCCTATGAAATCAGTGTTGTCCCCGAACCAGCCGATGATTTTCCCTGCACGATTCCTCAGCTGGGCTTGTATGTCTAGTGATGGGGTGAGGCCTGCAGCTTGTTGCCGCAGAGGAATCAGTGTGTTGACGGCCCCAATAGCTTTGGCGTTTCCGCTAAGCGAATGCATATGAGGAACCAGCTTGACCTTGTATGGTTGTACCACACTTAAACCCCCTAAAGCGTCATCCCGCGCAAGAATTTCAATATCCTCCCAGGTGTTGATGGGTTTCGTGCTATAGCGGTGTTTCAGGCCAAGGAGGTTGTAAGCAGCATTGTGCATTGCCGGTGACAAAGATGCCGAGACGTTGGCTCCGACGATATAGAATTGGAGAGAATCGAAGACGTAACTGTCAAAAAGAGCGCTGACGATCTGCCTGGAGGATAGTAGAGGCCGGAAGCTATATTCACGACCTGTTTTGCCCTCGGGGAGACTGGGATGAGTAACCGTTGTCAACACAGGGTTCATTATCTGGGATGTCCGACCCAGGAATCCGACATTGTATATTATTGCAATAAGTCGAGGTCCGGGAACGTCTTTCAGTTGTTCGGCGAACCATATCGCTGCGTCATTCTCCTGGCGAGACGTGGGAACATTGAGAAGACGGACCATATCAAACTTGAGATCAAGTGCTCTGTTGTACGAATTTCGCAGTTTTATGTCCTTCCAGCCATTCTCCTTTGAGACATAGTTGGTATAGTTGCCAATCAGTTTAGTATAGCCTTTGACGGCTCTGAGACGGTCAATCTGGCTGGTGTCTAGGTCAAGATCAACGGAGATGAACTGCACTCCGAGTCGAAGTCCTTGCAATAGGACCGCCATATAAGTCTCCATCGTCTGGGATTCAGATAGTCCGCGACTGGCTGACATGAGAATAGGTACGGCCAACGTTCTCCGAGCAGTTGCCACCATCTTGCTCAGCACTCTGGTCGTATTCGACTGCCACTGGTCAACATAAATCTCCAAGACGTCGCCAGCAGCTTCAAGAGCGCCAAAATCCACTCGCCCGTCGGCAAAGTCTGAAGCCCTTATGAGCAGTGCGTGAGTGTACGACCGCAATTCGACGGGGCCATCCAGAGAGAACGGAGATAGCAAGGTCGGTTCAGTCAAGGAACAACCAGTAATAAATCGAACAAAAGACGAAAAATCGGCCTGAGCACTTCTGAGTTTAAAGGAGTAGTTTGGAGATGCGCGGTCTGCCATTTCTGTATCAGCAGAGCCGTGCATAGAATCATCTTCCAGATTATAGAATTCGAAATTGGAGCATTTTCGATGTGTGAAATTACCCTGTTCAAGCAACTTTGCAGCTCGATCGTCCAGGTTGAGAATTGCTTTGATCTGGTCCATGTCTCTGAGCACGAACACCACCGGATTTGTCCGGCTGAAGAGTCTCAAGTATTCTTGAAGTCCGCTTGTGAGGCTTCCGAGACCGCAGTCGATGACGCATCGGTACTTGTTGTCCTCCAGCATTCGCTTGGAAGTCTCAATATCTTGCCGATGGAATTGCTCACTGCCGTGGATTTTGAGATAGTCTTGTCTCGAAAGACCGTTGAGAGTCTGGAAATAATGGTCTTCGGTGACGAAGCGCCGTCCAAGAGCAGTGGCAGCAATGAGACCCAGGGATCGCTTTCCAGACGCCCTGATTCCAACCAGGACAAGAGATGCTTCAGGGTGAAAGAGGCGCCCAGAGGTTGAGCCATCTGGGACTGGTGTCTTCACATAGCGATTTGGAGTGTCTTGCGAGGTATACTCGTCCTGAACAGCGTCGTGCAGCTGCTGGGCTGATGATGTTCGACTGGTGGCCGAACGCGGCGAGGCTGTGCCAGACACTGGAGGTCGAGGCCGACTGTGGCGTGAAGCTCCGTTGAGCCCATCCCCTGCAACTTGACTAGATCTGCTCTGGGAGTCCATAGTGACCATTCATCTTTCCTCAATCTCGTGTGGAAAGTGTTTCGCCTGAGCGTGTACTTCTGGGACCTCAATGGTCATGTTGGTAGTCGTTTTGGAAGAAGCAAAGCAGTGCTACGTCAAATGACCACAGGGTTAGGGAGACGTGAGAGTAGAGAAATCGGTCGGTGCGCCTCTTGTGTACCTAGGTACAGTTGGAGTTTGGTGGGTGGGAAGATGTTGCTTTAGTGGGCTGGTGAGGCGCAGCTTTCCCGCCCCGCAGACAGCGAGCAGGTGCTTCATCCGATCGACATCAGTCTGGGCAACCACCGAGACGTTCAACAGACCAGACACAGACCAGGATGGAATCTGCGACGACGCTCCTATGAGAAAGCATTCCCCGATCCTGATGTGTTCGACTCACCTCTTCCCACAGAACATACGCCCCTTTGAACATGGCTGTCGCACATCTACCTCCTTGTGATGGCTTCACGTAGCACGGACGCGGAGAGACGACGGACCCGGACGAGCGACGAAGAGGACGCTTCAAAGCGATCACGAGCCCGTGTTTCACGCGCCTGCACCCGCTGTCGAGCCCGCAAAGATAAGTGCGATGCGAAGCAACCAGAATGCACAAATTGTATCAATGCTGGACAACCGTGCTTATATGTCGCCGGGAACAAAAAGAGAGGACTACCAGAGGGATATGTCCGTGGCCTGGAGAAACTATGGGCTGTTATGTTACAGAAAGTGGATGGGCTAGATGATACGGTACGGCGTGTAGTCGACCAGAATGAGGAAGAGTTGCTACAGATATGGAATCATCAGAAGATTGGTGACGATCTTCACACAGCATGGAAAGAATCCAATGTGCTTGCAGACCTGGAAAAGCTCCTCTCTCGCCTCGAGCATGGCCCTACAATCCACCAAAAGCGTAAGCGCGACTGCGAAGACGACAACGAAGCAGCACAGCCTCTGAGCGATACTCGAAATGATAGAGCTGTACTCGCGCCAGATTTTAAGGTCATTGAGACGTCAGGAAGTAACGAGCCTGTGAGCAGTCTCAATATACGCGATCTTGGACCTGGCTTTGGAGAGCCTCTGCTTCAGAACAGACCCAGCACTACGAACCCGGAAGAAGTGCCTCTTCCATCTTCAGCCGCGGGACTTTTAGATCAGTATTTCACCTTCACCCACTGTTGGTTTCCCATCTTGGACAGGCCTTCTACCTTACGAAAGTTCTACGAGCATACCAGGCTTCAGAAAGGGCATCGTCTCGACACTGCCGATCTTGCCTGTATGTGGGCCGTTTGTGCCTACACCCACCAACAGACCGGCCACCTTTGGTCGGCGCCTGATGCGATACCTGGACAAACCGTCACCGAAATGCGCTCTTTAGCGAGGAAGATGATACCATCCGAGAGTGGCCCTTTCTCGATTGGTCATGTTCAGGCTTTGTTGTTACTGGTTCTCCTTGATATTGGAATTGGCGACTGGACCTCCGCCTGGATGCTAGTGGGCTCTGCTATACGAGCTTTGCTGATCTCAATGGAGCCGGAATCGGTCTTGTCCAAGAATCTCATCGGTCCATATTCAGATTCTGGCGCTACTGGACACGAAGGCACATCGGCATCTGGACATGAAGCCCCTCGTCGGAAGGAGAAGGGTTGGCAGGCAGTTCTACAAGGCTGTTTTATCTTGGATACCCTCATTGCAGTCTGTGTAAAGAGGCCGTCACATCTTCGGAGTGGTCATTTGGATCCTACTCAGCTTCTCGAGGAAGACGGACACGAAGAGTGGGAACCGTGGAAGGCAGCAGCTGGTAATGATGGCGCCGAGTCCAGAGAACCAGCTTTTGTGATCAGTTGCTTCAACCGATTGACGGAGCTCTGTATGGTTGCCAGTGATGCCTTTTGCACCAAAGCCTCTCAGATGACCAGCGGAATGCCAATAAGTCAGCACGTCACATCATCACTGGGTTCGCTGAGCGGGGAGTACCCTTTCACAGTCTCGGACGTAATACGACGCCCACCACATCAAATGATTCTGCAGGCGTGTCATTTTGCAATTCAAACGATTAGCTCTCAATCAAACGTTGGAGTTCAGCCGGGCCTCAAATGGAAATTCATTGAGAACCTGGAATTATTTGAACATTCGTGGAATCTCTTCGACAAATGTGGCGTTCCATCCATGCTGATCCCACTTTGCCATCTGATCAATGCACAAACCAACACGGCCTCATCGTCCCTGGGCAGTCATGATTTGTGGCAGGAAAGGTTGGACCAGATTCGGTCAAGGTTGTCCTTGATTTGGCCGGGAGCGAAATCTTCCAACGATGGTGGTATGCGGATTTCGTCCAAAGGCCGTTATGATGGAGCTCCAGTGTTGCCATCCAACAGTACCCTGCAGACGCCACCAACATACACCAATTTTGCGCCCGTTCCAAGCATTCGCAGAAATCAAGGAGCAGTAGGAGCTGGCGCAAGGGAGCCGATCCTCTTTCAATACCAGGACATACCTCAATATGCAGGTGTACTAGAGGAGTCACAGCCGAATGAAGCGACATCCGTGGATTATAGTGCTATGAGTATCGACCTGCCCGAGGAGAATTATGAGGCTAGCGTTGGTCCGAATTTCACGACGAAAAAAGCCAACATCTCGGGGTTGGCGACGTCTCCGAGCTTTAACGGAGACGAGATCGATGCCTTATTCCACGAGATGGCTCAACTGGATACAACACAATGGACTGTTGACAGGACCCAAGGGCTCAAGGACTTTGGGTTTGCGGATGACACCACCTTCGAAGCCTTTTGCAATGATCCGGACCGCTTGATGCTGTCGGATGGGTACATGGGTCCTGTTTTCAATAATCATAACAACATGGCCCCTGGAGGTCAAGCTACCATATCGAGCAATGATGGTACTCGAATCGGAAAGATGACATTTGACGATATTTTCCGATGATTAAGGTCGGTGAGAGAGGAGTTCCTATATCGCCTGTTGGCTCTCGGGGCCCTACTCTACCTCTTGAGTAGCCTGGCTTCAGAAATGGTCTACATATAACCTGTAGATTTATTTCAAGATACCATTAACACCGAAGATCTTCTTTTGGCTTGAATTGTTATGTATTCGACTGAAATATCAAGGCATCTCGTCAAGGGGTCTATCTACATCGCAGCCTTGTCTGTCTGCCTTTGAGTCTCGAACGCGAAAGGCTGCAGCCTCGTCGCCGAGGTTTTGCCGCAAATTCCACTTTTGCTCAATGCGCCAGAACAGTTTTCCTTCATCTGCAGCTTTCTGTCTCGACAGCTTTGAGTTACTGGTCACAGCTCCAGATCCTTGTGCCTCCTCAAATCCTCAACAAGCGCGTACTTTCACCCCATAGAGGGTGCTTCCAGGGGCACGTCGCAAATATTGTCCATCTCCCCAAAGCCGTGGAGCTTCCCTGCCTCCGCTGACCATCTGCCCATCCTTACGCTCTCGACTCCTGTTCCCGATATATACTCTACCAAATCTCAGACAGGATGCCTCCCCGTGGCTCCTCGACAGCAATCAACCCAGTCCGCCTACAGACCGTCTCGCGGTTAAAGATCAGACATCCGGACAAACAGGAGCCGAATCCGTGTCTAGGACCCATGACTGCAATGTTGAGTACGTCTCTACCTCGTGCCCAAGGAAGTGAAGGGAGCTCGAGATATTCTAGAAGATACTAGAATCCCACAGGTACAAGAGCTGGGACGATAGAGCGAGACTGTGCGCAAAATGCATTGTGCCGCCACGGATTCTGTGCAAAGGGCCGGAGAAGTTTTATAACACACGCAAAGCATACTGATGTGATTCTTTACAGACTGTTGGGCCGCGGGCGCAGCCTCTGGAGGTTGCGGACACCTTGAGAAAGCATTGAGAGACTGCATGGATGCACCCGTACGTTGCGCATGTTGCACCCTCGGATTGGTTTACGACCACTTCAATACAATCGTGCATTGACTGATCCATGCGCTGCCAGAAAACCCCACCGAAAGGCAAATCCACGATAAACCACCATCTAGGCCGCTTATACCCATTGATCTCGGGACCGAAGAAGAAGACTTGAGAGCGCCAACCATTCTGACAGGACAACTTTCTGATGACCTCTGCCACATCGTGTGTACAATGCTCAAGGGGAGTTCATAAGAGGAGGTCGGCACGGTGTTTAGGGGGGGCCTGGCCCCGCTCAGGTTTAGAGCGTGGACATATGCAGGACTCCCTCGGATTGTACAAACACATGTTCGCAAGAACACGGACGCAAGGTCGCCGCCCGTTCTTTCAAAGCAGTGGTAGGCAGCTCAATACCTCGGGTGCGGTCTAAAGAGGAAGGATTTCAGCATAGCGCGGAATAGACTGGGTGGGCCGCTGTCGACGATTTTGTACATCACAGACTTAGCTGCAGGAAGGGGGCGAGCACGGTCGATGCACAATCGGCAGGCTGAGAGCGCGGGGGTTGATGTCTTGAGCGAGTGCATGGTCAGAACACCCCGCATGGCTGTATAACACGAAGAATAAGATGACTCTGGTGCCAACAATGCCCAAACTTGTCTCCTCCCCATCGATCGAGCCGCTCTCTATTTTTGTCGAACTTGGTCAGTGTAAGACTGGTGGCCTCAGTTTAAAGCCTGGTTAAAGGGCTTCACCAAGTGGTCACCTCCCTAACCAGAACCACCTCGCACCTGCATCGAAACGAGGAAGTTGAGTTTGGTCCAGGCCCAACGAGCGACGCCCGGTGTTGCAGCTTCTTCCACTCATATTCTCCCACGAGCCGCCAAGTATGCAATGCGCTCGACACCAATCGCCTTGCGCTGGCAGGGTTGGCCCGATAACAAGTTCTCTCAAAACCGCCATGTGGAATGCCAGTCCTTCTACCGCGCCCGTACAAGTTCCTCACCTCGTTGCTATTGGGCCCTCTCCACCTCCCAAAGGCCTCGCTAGGATTGGGGTGGGAGGTGGTCTGGCGCTGCGCCACGCTGCCTTTGAAACTGATTAGAGGGAGGGGGCCGCCGAATGCACAAACTCACTTGGATATCTGCCTTGAAGAGTTGATATATGCGGGACACTCCAGAGACACCCCTCCTGCGTTGCGTGACAATATTTAATGTGAGTGTATACTACTATCTCCTCGCCTGTGGCGATCATGGCGGATGGGAGGGTCATCAACTGCCAGAGCCTCACCTCTCAGCCTTACGGAAATTGGGGAGAGTCTCAGGACTTTTGCCGGAAGTGTGCTTCATTGCGGCTGGAAAGAGTGTTTTTCCCTGCCCAAGGACACACCACGCCCGTCACTGTGATCAAACTTCCGAAGAATTATGAAGAGTCATGTCCCCTGTGTCGATTCCTGGACCGAATCTCAAACAACAGCCCTCAGAGGCCGAAACCCATTCTGACCTTTTTGATGGCATATCATCTGTATACCCGCCGTGGTGTTCCGACACTTGACTGTCCGCACCCAGACGTGGTCTTTGGGGTTGTCGGTACAGATCGAGAATTGCCGTTGGCAAAGTTCCTGAATCGGCACGAGAATCTCGAAAAGCGTCAATTCATCTGCGATTCCACCTGTCTCTTGCGAGATGCTGGTCTCATATTACCCATAAACCGGAGCGTTGCCCCTACCCGATTAGAAGGCTGCAAGATAGACGCCAACTCTATCAACCTTGAAGCTGTAAGCAGTTGGATAGCGACCTGCAGGAGACTTCACCCCCAATGTTCAAGACCTTATGCCAATGCTACTGCTTATCCGCGGTGGTTGTTTGACTGTCACGACAGGAGGCTTGTCCGTAATCACGGTAGTGTTGATTACACCGCTCTTAGCTATGTCTGGGGCTCAGCGTTAACCTCTTCGTGTCCGAGTGAGATGCAGGAAACAAACGATGATCTACCTTCATTACCACGGGTGCTTGAAGATGCCATCACTATCACCAAAGCTCTCAACTTTCGATACCTGTGGGTTGACCGGCTTTGCATTCGACGGAATAACAAGCATGAGTTTCACCGCGAACTGAAGAACATGGCCTCGCTTTACCGAGCGGCTCAGTTGACCATCATTGCTCTACATGGGAACAGTGCAGACGACGGTCTCCCAGGCATCAGCACTGCCCGTCGTGATGTGCAGCCTTGTCTTGAAGTTGGAGGCTGTCGGTTGGTTTCCACCATGGGCACGCTAGAGTCGGCGAGGAATCGCTCAAAATACATAACCAGAGCATGGACATACCAGGAAGAAGTCTCATCTAGGCGACGACTGTACTTCACCCACCAACAATTGTATTTCAAATGCGGTACATCGTCGACATGCGAGACCATCGCTGCTCATGGCTCGCTTGAGGAGTTCTTTGTTGAGCCGACGGTCGCCTACTTCGGCGGTACTAAACACGAGTTGGACGAGTTTGACAGAGCCTGGGAACACATCTCCCAAGTGTCAAGAAGAAGCTTAACGTACGAGTCTGACAGGTTGAACGCTGTTCTCGGCCTTCTCGAAGAGCCGTTGTTGCTTGGAGGGCGGACCCGTCTACAACATATATTTGGCATGCCTATCCCGCCTGGCAAAAGATGGAGGGAAGACCGGCTCGCGCCTGATGCACTGTTTGCTCTCTCACTTCTGTGGACAAGGCGTCAAACCGATAGCCGACAACACTGCTTTCCGAGTTGGTCCTGGATAGGATGGAGCGGCGGCAAGGTCATCCCAATTTCCCCAGCCCAACATGCCTCGGAGGGCTCTTGGTCGAACGACGTGGAGGTGTCAGTGCAGGAATGCGACACCGGGAAATTGGGGCGCTTGAACGACCTTTCCATGTTAGCGGAGGCTATAATCGACGAGATGCCCCGAGTTCTGTGCGTCAGGAGTCGAGGCTGTCAGCTTCGCAACCTCATTTTCAGTCCATCGTCTACTCAGCGCGTAAGGGCGAACTTCGTTTCCGGCTTGACGGAGAGATCGGTGCCCATTGACACTGAACTGTGCTCAGACGACGAGTTAAGACGCCTTGAGACGTGCGGGACGGTTCTTGCTTTGGACTTTGTCGACCGGTCGAAAGGACATGACCTGGATCGCTCCGCACCCCTGCTGGTGGTGGCGGCATTGAACGGACTCGACCAGCCGTTTGAGCGTGTAGGAACAATCAGACTGTCGGCGGTTCTGTCGCTCACATACCTGGAGCGGCTGAGACTGGACGACTTTCTATCCCAATGGGAAACTGTGACCGTGCAGATAGGATGAGGAAGAATGTGGGCATCACAGGGCACATTTGCCTTTTGCCTTCACAGAGACAACTCTTCCATACGACTTATATAATGTCCAGTCTCTCTTGTACTGAGGACATCCCGTGGTATGCCCGAGCATGGAGGCACGAGTGTAGCACTGATGATGATCCGAGTAGGGAGATAAAAGCGCAGAAGAGTATAAGTGACTGGCATTCATCCGTCCCAACCAAGCAAAAGGTGCCCTCATGCTATTCGAATCCACAGAACAATTCCACCACGTGTACTTAGTTAGGTACGACCTCTTTCACCATGATCTGATTAAAGTGCTTCGACCAGAGGAATCCAATGTATATTGCTAATCTCTCCTTATTTCCATGTTTCCGATTTCCACTATATAATATTACACTATGCCGCCCCCAAGCCCGATACGCTCGCTCCCTTGGAACTAGGACCGCCTGCGTGAGTAAACCCGTGACCATGACCATGACCATGACCGTGACCGTGACAGTATAGTATAGTAGAGGAGTATATAATCGTAATCGCATCCTAGGACATATTGCCGGCAACAACCCAGACTCCATCGCTCAAGTTTTGCCGTATTTGTGTGTTGTGCTGTGCTGTGCTGTGTTGTGCACATCGCGCGCAATCATTTCATTTCGCATCGTAGTCATGTCATGCCATGCCATGTCGTGTCTCGTGGTAAAAACCAAGGTCCAACGCCTCGTATGACCACGACCCATGCACCATACACCATGCACCATGCCATATGAACCGAACACCCAACAAAACCCAAAACCCAAAACCAAGCAAACGCCATCGAGAAATGCCAAAGACGCTATGGAAACCCTGAAAAGCAAAAAGAGAAAAGGCAATCAAGATCAAGAGTTGAGGGTGGTCGATTTCGCCCGTCACGACCTCTTGAACATGAAATACCCGTACATGCCACCGACATCTTGCTCGACCATCGGGATCTTCCTCATCCCCCACCAGCGCGCACCCATCTTCCACGCCCGCGCGCCGTTGTCGACGCCCGTCCCGGGCAGAGGCTGGCGCACGTACCACCCTCGGCGGCCGAGCTCCTTGACAACCCACTCCAGTTTCCCGCGGTTCCTCGCGTGCGCGGTGCGTCGCTTGATCTCCTGCAGCACGTCGCCGCCGAGTTCGATGACCTCGAGCGGCAGGGTGTCTCTGTCCGTGAGCGAGGACGGCGAGTAGGACAGAGAAAGTTGTGTGACGGAGCGGACCGACGTGAGGTCGAGGTAGCGCAGTGTGCTGTGCTGGGGAGACGGCGCCGAAGTGGGCGATGAGTCATCGTTTGCGGTGGCGACAGAATCGTTGTGCGTGACGTGATCCTCCGCTTCGGAGGGAGCGGAGGGTGAAGATTTGAAGAGGCGCATGATATCGCTGCCGAGGCTGAGGTCCGCGCCACGCAGACCGAGTTCCTCGAGATGCGTGGCGAGACTCCGGAGCACCGGAATGTGCGTGGAATTGACCTTTGCCCCACCCAAATTGAGGGATCGGAGACTCGAGGGCAAAGATTCCAGCAGTCTGGTGACCTCGTCTTCGGCGAGCAGTCTGTGCCGCGACGCGTCGGCCGCGAGGTTCAGGTAGACGACGTTGCCCCTGACGGCGGGATGGGTGGTGAGGAATTTGACCACGCCCGAACCTGTCAGACGCGTGCAGCGTTCGATGTTCAAGTGCGTGATTCTGGCGGTCGGCGGGATGGACAGCAGTGCCTTGTCGTTGATGAGGGTATGCGCGACGTCCAGATGCGTCAGGTTCGTCAGCAGCGGGAGGAGCGATTCGAAAACGGGCTCTTGCAGCGTGGTGCATTCGTGTAGCGACAGGCGTTGCAGGCTTTGGAGTGGAGTGGAAAGTTGCGTCGTGACGGCGGTGAAGGCCTCGGCAAAGGGCCGAGAAGAGCAGGCGCAGAAGTCCAGCGCCTGCATCAGGGGCATGTTGAACACCTTGGAGATGATGTTGATGTCGAGTTCCTCATCGACATGCTCGTGGACCAAGAAGGCCCGCAAGTTCGGCATGACATCCAGGCATGCGTTGAGCGTCTCGGGCTTCAGGAAGGGAGTCTGGTTGCGAGTGCTGCGTGCGCTGCCAAAGCCCATGTTGGAGTAATGGGAAAAGTCCAGCCACTGCACCAATTCTCCGAGCTGGGGGGTGGTCTTGAGACTTCGCATCAATTTGGCGAAGGCCCTCGACTGTGGGATCGAGACGTGTCGGTACAAGACCCGCACGGCAGCCGCCTGGATGGTCTTGGACACGAGTGAACAACTCGCCAGATCGACATGAGGGCGAGCATAGGGATCTGCCGTGTGATCAACCGTCACATAAGAGAGGATGAGCTCCAGAATTTCCTCCGGCATAGCCTCCAGAAACGGAACGCCCTCGTTGCGTGAAAAGCTCGAATCCTGCGACAGAGTCTCGTCCGAGTCGTCGACAATTGCCGTGTCTGCTCCTGTGCGATCGAACTCGTCGGTCAGGCGAATGGAATCTCTGACTTTCTCTCGCCATACCTCGAGACTGAAATCGGCCGGACGCGGGTGGACGCGAGTAATCTCTTTGGCGAAGGGGAGGTTGAACAACTTCTGCGCCGCTCTCCGCTTCTCCAGCTCATCGAGGATCTTTTCCAGCTTTCGTGGATTGCTGCGAGCATATCCTTCCAGCCTGGTTCTGACATGATCCTCGTGGGAGCCACTGAAATGATACGAGCACAACCCCTTGGTCTTACACCACTGACTGCAGGGCCATGCAATCCACTCCACCTCCTCTAGATCCTGAGATGACAGGGACGACCCAAATGACTGTGGGAGGCCATCATCTTTGGGCCATGGTGGTCAGCGGCGGGGACCCATATCCGATGTGGTGGTGATAACGTACCTGTTTCTTCCTTGACTGACGCGTAGGAGAACTTTCTGGAAGCGGTCATTTCTTCGGGCGGTTCGATGAGATGGTGATAATGTGCTTTGAATAACAGCAGTTCCTCAGGCCTTTCGTGTTTCTGGGGAGTAGTAGTAGTAGTAATTTTGTGGTCTGGGCACGGGCCACGGTCTGGAAAGTCAGAAGGCAACATGATGGCTTATTTTCCACCGTGCTCCCTCTTAAGAATTCCTCTAGATTTTACCAGATGACCAAAGAACGCAAAGTGTCCAAGCGAACTCCACCAGCAATCCAAGGGAAAGATGCAGGGAAACAAACAAAGGTGTTCAAAGAGGACCAGTTAGGAAAATATTATGAAACATGGGGGTAATAGAAACATGGGAAAGGGAGGAGAAGGGCAGGAAGATTCTGTGTCACTGCTTTTCAGTTTCCGATGGACGAGTGACATTGGCAGGCCGGAGCAATAACTGTGAGTAATGCGTACCACCGCTCTGCAGAGCCTTGACTTGTCGACTAAGCAGTTAACGGAAGGCTATGAATCATTCTGCCCCGGATTAGTGGACTTTTGTTGTTTTTTTTTCTTTGGCCCCTGCTGGCCCCAGGGTAAAAGAGGACGGCGGCCAGATTTCCGAAAGCATGAATGTTCGGTTGAGGGAGGGATATTCACGGATGGCCAGACAACGAGAACAAAGACCTGAGGTTGGCCGGAGGCAAAGGGATCTCGGCCCTCTTTCTGGAGGTCAGGTGGCTGGAATAATACGTGGCGTTTCCACGGAATGCTTACTTGATGCAAGTGCTTGTTAGATTGATCCAAGGGGGCAAAGCCTCCTAGCATGGCTCGGGGCACGCAAGGGGTCCCAACGATGACGGCGATTGACGCCACGAGGGGGAAAAACTGGCCAGCAGACCACCAGGGCCGCAGCAGCTGGGAGGCGCGTCCGGGAATAACGTGTTGTCAACAGGAGGTTGAGATTACGTAGGAGGAAGAGTTTTCGCCTTGACAGATGGCCGGAGGGCGGGACTCGGCGGGCTCGGCAGACCAAAATCTGGGGTAATAGCGCGCACTAGCCGCTTGGCAATTGGCTGGGAGCCACTCACGTGCGGCATCAAAGTTTTCACCCTTTTTAACCCTGGCTCCGCCCCGTGGACGGAGGATGCCTCCGGTCTGACGAGTACTTGAAATGGCGGAATTGCCTCGACCCTTGACGCCATGTCCACCACTGACCATCAGCGCGGCGGTAGTATTCATACGCAAAAACTATGGTACCCAGGCATTTCCCATGACAAACATGTACAACCCCAAGACGTCAATCATCCGTTGCTCTTCTCCGCAACTAGGCCACATCCGTGACCGCTGGCGCCCTGATGGTTGCGACCATCTCCTCGGCCCTCCCCCGGACTCCAGATGGGACACGTGTAGCTCGAAAAGAGGGGGAATATAAAATAAAGACGGTGAAGGTCCATACTTCGTTGCTGCAACCCGGCCAGACGCCACATAACCCAGGACAACTCATCCTTCATTCATGCATCGACCCATCCTCCCTGGGTGACATCGAACCGCTTGAGCACCTCACCAGTGTTTTGTCTCGATGCAAAAGGCGACTTCAAGCTCAATGCCTCGAACTCGGCCTTCTCAATCCCCGGTGTCCTTGCTCTCCCCCGCAGAGACTCTCCATTGCGCACTCGTTCACACAGTGTTTTCAGCACTCCTCCCAGCCACTCAAAGTCCTTGAGTTCCAGATAGATTTGGCCCGAGATTCGAGTCCACAGTTTGCCGTCGTATTCATAGATGGCGACGAACGTGTTAAACTCGTCCACCAGCGTCTTCTCCATCCAGGCAACATGGGTAGCTACGTCTGCTTCCTGGATGATGATCGGACCCGCCGAATGTAGACTCGGAGAATTGAGAGGCGAATTGGACCGTCGGGGTTCGCCGAGGTTTCCTCCCGAGCTGGCAGAAGATGATCGAAGCTGCGAAGCAACGCTGGCACTGGGGAATCCGTACGACGACTGTCGGAAAGCGGGAGACAGCCCACCTGCACTTCCGGCTCCACCAGGTCCCATGCTGAGGCTTCCCCGAGAATAGGCGCCAATGATGGTGATTGGCAGGAGCACGTTGGCCATGGCACAGTCCCTGATGCCGCCAGCCCAACCAATCCGTCCTCCATCGCGCTTATCACTGGCTTCGTAGCTTCCCATCGTTCGCAATCCATATCCGGCATCCAAGTCGTCCATGACTTCAGTCCCGAGAAGCATGGCAAGGAGGTCGGCCCCTCTTTGGGCGATGTCCCGGATGTAGTTGTAGATGGCTTCCTCACCACCGCATAAATTTTGCCGGAAGTTGAGGGCTGCCGGGACACAATAGTAAGGGGTATTGTCTGCAGTAGCAACAAACTGAAATAGATTGATAAAATCTGATTTGTCGCTCGGTGGGAGAGGGTTCCGAATCGGCGATGATGCCTGGGGCACAAAACCATGTGAGGTCGGAAAGGTGGTTCGAATGAGGTGTTGATTACGCTTGGGCACGTGGAAAACGGCACAGCCTCGTGGGGTAAATAGCCACCTGTATCCTGTCAGATACCCGCAAAGAGTCCTCCCGTTGCGAGAATGCTGGTCTCATATGCCGATTCCACTTACTTGTGGCAGTTGCTGACGAAAAAGTCGGCGTCGAGCTGGGACAAGTTCAGGGGTATCTGGCCAACCCCGTGGGCCCCATCGATCAGACTAAGAATACCATATTCTTTGCACATTTTGGTGATCCTTTCAAACGGGAACCGCACTCCGGGCAACGACACTATCGTCTCAAAAACACAAACCTTGGGATTCAACCCATCGTACAAGACTCGCGATATTGTCTGTGACAGAGCATTGAGGATCTCGGAATGCGTGCAAGGTAGTGAGTAGGCAAAGTCTTGTCCATGTCCGACCTTGCGAAGCTGGAGTTGCGGGTTTGTCTCGACAATGGAAGCCAGCGTCTTCTCAACGGCCCCGTAGATGGTATCGAAATAGATGATGCAGTCCTTCTCCTTGTACTGCAAATTGCGCAAAACGGTGTTGACACCTGCAACATTAGACATGCTCGATGACCAGTCCAATGTTCTGAAGCACCTACCGGATGTAGCATTCTGCACAAAAACGCACTCGTCTGCGGGCACGTTGAGAAGCTTCGCTATCCGCTCCCTCGACTTATCCAAAAGATCAATATATTGGTAGCGAAGGAATTTATCTGGGGCGGCCTCGGCCAATTTCTGATACCCTCGTAGCGCATTGCGGACAGGTAGTGAGTAACTACCGAATGAACCTACAGATCTTCAATTAGGTCCTGTTTATCCCGTTCGAGATCTGAGGCCCCATAATGTCCAGACGACAGTAATGGACAGGCTGAACTAGCAGCAGGGCTTGGCGTTCAGGAGAAGACCTTCTTCTGAAAGGAAGCGGTGTGGATGAGCATACCATGATTCAAGTTGTTATATTTGGGATCAAATAAGAATTGAGCCTTGAAGCCGTGGCCGAACTCGGTGACCTCACCAAAAGAGCCCATTTTGGCTGGCAATCGAAAAATGGATAGCGAGGGATGTCGTGTCGAAGGCGCATTCAGGAGCAACAAGCCCAAAATAGGGGGAACGAGTTAGTAATGAAGCTTCGGGAACTGAGTCCGTACCCCTCCCCTCTCAGATTTTCAAGGCAGCTCGAACCCTGGTATTGGGGCGCGCCAGCAACAAAGTATATGCGGTTCAAAGAAACACAACTGACGGCAGGGAATCAGTCTTTGTCGGTGCCAATGTGGCAGTACCGCTGCGTGACTCAGTCCAAGGTTGAGCTGAAACTCTGATTTTTGAACGGTTACGAGATTTCATGGGGGGGCTAAAGGGCGTGTCCGGGGCGGGAATAGCAATCCAGCCGCAGTTTCTGCAGAGCCAAGGACATCGATCGGGTCTTGTTCGCCCAGGGCGCCTGTGCGTTCCGCGCGGTGCTGGCCACTGAACAAACATCCTTCAACGCTTGGGAGCGCACACAAGAGTTTTTGTTAGGGAGACGAGGACCCATCTCGAGCCCCTTTGGTCGTGGCTGGGTGCTGTCGCTGGGCTGTTTCGGGGTGCGATGGGCCAATCATGGGGGCCGCCTCTCTGGCGTCAGGCCTCTTTGTGATCCTTCGTTGATGGAGTCTCGGCGTGCTAGTCCAAAGCAACGAGAAAAGCAACGACGATCGCGGACCGGGCGAGCCAACTGTTCCTCCTCAGGCGTGCCCTCTTTTTGAACCCCAAAATCGAGAGAGAGCTGAAGCCGGTGGAGGCGAGGAGGTGTGGACAGTAATATGGATTGAGATTGAATCGAATGAGGATGCTGACAGGCTTGCAGCAAGCTGACTGGCCTGGCTGGGAGAAAGATATTCATCCAGGGAATGATCCACGATCCTCACTTTGCATGGATCGAGCCTTGTTGCATTGGGGGAGTAGGGGGAGCGCGGGTTTACTCCCTGTGCCTCTCTTCTCTTTGTTCAGGGGAAACCACGTGCCTGCCCCTCCATGACCGATGGAGAAACTGTTCTTCCAGTTCCGATATAACCTTCTTATTAAGACCGCCGCTGATTGGTCCGTATAAAGTACCGAATAGGGCCCACGGCTTTACAACGGCGATAATGACTTCATACCTCGGTCTACTCGGCCACGGCTCAGGAAATCCCCCCATGAGCCCCCGTCATCCCCCCATTGTCCACATCTTGAGCGAGATCGGTAACAGCTCCGCGTTATGAGAATTCGATACTCGCGATACATTTTGTGAAGCTGGTCAAATACTGCTAGTAGAACACCGACTACCACTCACCGCGAGATATCGCCGAATCTGGATTTCTAAGCTGTACGACTGGTCTGGGGAAGGAGGAATCCTCTATAAAATATCTCCAGTGGCTTTGTGCTTGCTTGACATTTGAAGACTAGTGCTTGGAGATCCAGTGCCGCGACGGTCCTCCACAAAATGCCGAAATCAATCTCCATATCAAAGGTCGACGGCAAGCCCGGACAGGTCTACTACCCGCTTTCACTGGATGAAGTCCCAAAGCCTTCGCCAAAGGGTAAAGAAGTCCTCATCAAGATCCACGCCGCCGCCTTGAACCACCGCGATCTTTTCATCCGTCAACACTTGTATCCGGGCACAGCGTTCGGCATTCCTCTCCTGGCCGATGGGTGCGGCACAGTTGTGGCCATTGGTAGTGAAGCCAATCCGAGCTGGAAAGGCAAGCGAGTTGTCGTGAATCCCGGGACCGGCTGGAAGGACAGCCTTGATGGACCAGAGGACAAGGGCGGATACAAGATTCTAGGAGGAACAAAGACGAATGCAAATGGCACCCTTCAAGAGTACATGTGCATTGACGAAGGAGAACTCGAAGAGGCGCCTGAGCACCTCTCCTCAGTTGAAGCGGCCGCCTTTATCCTCACCGGTCTTACTGCATGGCGAGCAGTGATGGTCAAGTGCGGCGAAAAGAATCTCAAGCCGGGCAAGAACATCTTGATTACAGGGATTGGTGGTGGAGTGGCGTTGATGGCCCTGGAGTATGCCAAAGCGGCCGGCGCCAATGTCTGGGTCACCAGTGGCAGCGAAGAAAAGATCAGGAAGGCGGTCGCTCTGGGAGCAAAGGGTGGAATCAACTACAAGGAACAAGGCTGGGACAAGAAATTACAGGCCATGTTGCCGGCAGAGAACAAGCAGTTGGACGCAATTGTCGACGGTGCTGGTGGGGATGTCGTCTCCGTCGGGGCCAGGCTGCTCAAGGTATGATGGGTCCCAATTCTCTTCTTCGTTGCATGCTAACATCTTCTGTAGCCAGGTGGTGTGATCGCGGTCTACGGCATGACAATAGGACCGAAGATGCCCTTCCTCATGCAAGCCGTCTTGAAGAACATTGAGGTCAAGGGATCGACTATGGGGTCCCGAAAGGAATTCAAAGACATGGTGGACTTCATCAAAACCAAGACGGTCAGGCCAGTGGTGTCGCGCGTCGTCCAAGGCTTTGATCTGGACGCCCTCAACGGCTTATTCGACGAAATGAAGAAAGGCAGCCAATTCGGCAAATTGGTGGTCGAAATCTCCAAAGAAGGCGCTGAGAGCAAACTGTGAGTATTATTAGCAGTCGATTCAGAAACCAAAATTAGCCTTGAATCCACAGATAGATGCCAGATGTTGATTTGTCTCCTCCAACCTTCGCTGTGCCTTGCCGTTGCTAGACGAATCACCGGGGATTGGTGTTTCGATTTGTATGGATGGGCTCGTGTTTATCGCACCTGTGCATTCCTATTTTTATAATTCATGCAGCAATCCTTGCGCAAGCGACCTTATTGAAGCCCGACTATTGTTTGTCGTGCCGAAGAAAGGGGAATCGAGCTGGTTGGTTCCGAGGGGCCAGGGACGAACAATGTCTTTGGTTCACAGGACGATAGGCAACATGCATGTCCTGCAGGTCCCGTGCGACCTGCGGCATCGATCCAAAGATGAGGCCTAGGACACAGGCGATCCGGTCAAGTGGTTTGATGCTACTTTTCTGGTAAGCCACTGATCTTCCACGTCATAGGGAGAGGCGGTCAAGACGACGGAGGACGAAGTAGGGAGCACAAGAAAAGGTACAACCGTCCTGTTGGGGACACGGAATTCGTCATCTGGCCCGGTTACAGACCTCTGTGCTGCAATTAGGTACTGCTTGGCGCAACGAGTGGTGTAGAGATGGCCAGCAAGTTTGCTGTGCCTGCTTTCCAATTGTCCTGAAATGCCACAAACAGAACCTGCAGCATTCGACAACGCCGATGCCCGATAGTCATGGCAGCACCAACGTCAAGAGCAGATCACCCATGGCAGTCGATTCATCGAGGTCGAACTGACTTTGAAACAGGTGACCTGCCCGAAGATCACTGAACCGCCTGGGCGATCAGATCGGCGGTCTCTGTGCCTGAAAACGTCGCAACGGGCGTCTGCCCATCCCTTTGGTCCTGGCCCAGGGGTCCAGAGAGTCTGGATGTTTGTGATGCAAAATAGCAAACTGCGCGGTGCGGTGATGGGCGAGCCCTTTGGTCGAGTGGCACATATCATTCCAGCGGGCCGCATCTGGACAAGGCTCGGTCCCTGGTTTTGGCTTGCTGTGCACCCGCAGGCCCAGGCGGAGCCACATCCCGCACCTTGTATCATGATAGGCCAGTGCAAAGACATTTAATTCGCTCGCATCAACACGGCCACTTTGCCCATCACCAGTCCTGGCAAAAAAGCTCACTCTGTGACGGTGCCTCTGCAAGGGGAAAGGGACCCTGTTTAAGCGAGCCAGCCAGGAGATGGTGACAAAAATAGAAATGGGAGATCCTATGCCATCCCGAGAATGCTAGACGCTAATGGAAAATTCACAGCCTCACAAAATATTTTCTCGCATTCGCTGTTTGGATGGGCGCGTCCTCCACGATCACGCGCCTCTGCTATGGTGGATCGCTCTGGATAACTGGTTGGTCAGCGGTGCAACCAACAGTGTTGAGATGTCAATCAATCGCCAAGGTCACGTAAATGTCAGCCCATGCGAGGTTGAGCGGCGCGATATCATGGAGGATGCAGAACAGAGCCGCGGAGACCAGCGGAAATGGAGATGGCGAAACAGATCCAGTGCTTCGTAGAGAGACTGGTCAACCTGTTCAGGCCTCTTGTAGGATGGATCCACGACGCGATTGACAATCTCAACGGCGCTCACTAACACAACGTGACAAGGAAGTGGGGACCGGGCCTCTTTGGATGCCCACGATGGAGTAGGAACATTCTCCCATACAAGTAGCTCTGCAAGCAGGTGGTGGAGTCTCGATCCGGCATGGACCGGAAGTAGGATGAGCAAGTGTCAGAAAGTTGGTACGGTACGAGCAGTAGTAGTAAGGCTGGCGGAGCAAACAGTAGCAGCATGAGATGTCCCTAGCGCTGTCGAGTGTCTCCCAGCCCAAGTTTTTCAGGCCTCAACTACTCGTACCAGTAAAGCATTGTGACCCAGTCATGTAACGGGCACATCTTTCGCTGTTGTACCGGGTTTAGACCGCGCCGCATCCGCCCCCTGGCTGCTGCACGAGGGTTTGGCGGGCTTGGAGGACGACGCCGGCGATGAACGGCCGAAGTTCCCCAGACTCAAGCCAGTATCATAGTGAACACTGGCTTGTGGGCTTGCTGGTCATGGTGGCCACGGAGTTGCACGACCATGAATAACGTTCTTTCCAACCTCGCTTAAGCTGCAGTCGAGGGTCGGGAAAAAGGGATAGTCCAGCTGAAGTGCCGTGGCCGTGCAACCAGGATATGCAGTACCTCCATTTGCAAGCATCGTTGGGGTCCTTCTCCTCAACGATCCAGGATTCGCTTGGTGGGAGGGGGGCCAGATGTGAGGTCTTGCATGAGCTGGGACGACTCCCTCTAGAGCGATTAGCCGGCAAGAACCGGCAGAATGGAAGACCACACAGACAAAAGAGCAGTAGTAGTCTCAAGGATAAATTGTTCGGGGGAGGTGGATGTGCAGCGCGTGGTGGATTGTGGCAGTGTCGTCTGGAGTGGCGAACCCTTTGAGGCACGATGACCAAGAACAAGACAATCACCGAGGATCAATTCTTGCAACCCCAAACAAACAACGCGAAGAGGGAATGGTACCCGTCCTGCGTAGCATGGACGTGATCGGGACGGAGGACCTACACATCCAGATGTGTTGCCGCAACGTGAAACGCTGGACAGATATCCCATTGCAGAAGCGATATCGACAAAGGCCACAGCCAATAGCCCAAGGTCGCTTCGTAACGTTGAAGAGGACGAGGTGCCTCCGCAAACGGCCAATGCTGCGACGGGCGAGCCGGATGAGAGCGTGTCGCTGGGGGCAAAAGGGCCAGCAGAGGCGAGTAGAGGCCAGCCTGCGAAGAGAGGACTAGAACTCGTCGGTTGGGCGGTTGGTGGTCTATCTTTAGAAGACGGGGGGGCCACCAGCGCCAGCTAGCAGGGGGCAAGTCATGCGGAGATGTGGGCTTCAGGGGCAGGGATAGGCATGCAAGGGCTGGCTAAGGGCTGCTAAGAGCCTGCGAGTCGTCGGTACGGCACAGGGACTCATTAGGGGGAGCAGGCTCGAGGCTAGGGCTAGGGGAACAAGGGCCCTTAGGGAGACCAGCGCACCAGTGGTATCAAAGTGTCCCCTCTCTAGCTCTCCCGGGTTTAGGCTGGGCGATAGGGACGTGATAGGACGGGCGGGTTGGGCAGGGTGGGCAAAGGGTGACCTCATCCCTCGCCCTCTGCTGCAGGCTTCAGGGAGCGATTCTCCATTTCTGTGCCCTTCTGTGCCCCTCTCTTTCCTGCTTCGGCTTCTTCTTACCCATCCGTTGCGGCTGTGCAAGCCTCACATCCACCCTCCGGCAAGGCTTGTTCTTTGGCTGCCACGCTTTTTTCGCTCACGACTTTTCCCTCCCTTGGCCTTTCAGGGTGGTTGATCCTCTGGGGGGGCCCATGGTGGATCTCCCTTTTGGCCCGGTTGGTTGTTTCCTTTCCATCATGATCCCTGACTCCAGCTTGTCATCGCATCGGCTCGTACGCACACAACACGTATCAATACACAATGGGCAGAGGGAGCAAAAGGAAAAAAGAACCAAAGAGGCGGATGGATGTCCACTATGCCGCCAGCTGCCGGCCACACACAGCTCACAAACGCACGGGAATCTCTCTGCCTGCTGCGCACCTGCACGTCGCAACCAACCAACCAGCCCTAGCCGCCTCTGCTTTCCTCACTGTTTTCTCATTGTGTTGGACAAGTTCGGTTTGGTAACAAGAGAAGGGAGAAAAGAGCTAGCTGTTTCGACTATCTCGTACAGACTGTAGGAGCTGAAAGTCAATTGACTGTGGCCGTGGCCGTGGCCGTAGCCGTGGTCGTGGCCGTGACCTGGATGGCCCGCGCTGGTGACGACAACGTGACGGCCTCTTCAACCCACAACTTGCAACTCCCTTTGTCAGAGAAAAGGGATGTTCAGATCAAGGGTAGGAGCCTTTGTTGGTGAGAAGAGATGGGCAGACGCTACTCAGCACATCACTCCACGCTTCATGGCTCTTGTACGAGTCAGGAATTGATGGCTGTACCGTCCTCGTCCTGTCTGCTGCTCGCTGCTCGCCGCAGCTCAGCGATCCGTGATCGAAACCTTGGGTCGTGTCAGCCACTCACCATTTGCCCTTCCGGCTGGACTCCGCTTTTGGTGCTAATCCTGGCCTTTCCGCTCTTCTCTTTCCTTTTCCCTCGTCCCCTCGCATCCCTCGACAAAGGACGAGTGGCAGCAGGAGAAAGTCGTGCCGTCGTGTCCATCCTCCAATGCTCCATCCACCCTCACCCTCACCTGGCACGCCCTGGGCTCCATATCCACCTTGCTAACTTGTCCATCACTCCCCCCCCGGTAAGCCCCTCTGCCCACCACCTCCACCACCAACTCCCTGCATCGGTTTTTTCCACACTGACCTCTTGCGCTTCTCCATCAGCCCACTAGTCGCTCACTGCCACCGAACCTGCCTCAACTCGCGCACAGAAACCTCTCCCGTTCACTCGCCGAGCACTTCTGCGTGACCTGATTGATCCGTCTTTTTGCCATCCTCGCCTTTCGCGGCTTTTCACTGCCTCTTACCTGTTGGGCCTGTCTCCTGCTGAGTCGAGGCCGATATAGCCTTTTGATTCCCCCCTCCTGGTCCTCGGCTCCTCTTCTTCCATTTCCGCTCCACTTGCTTCATCATCCCTTCATCCCTCACCACCTTCGCTCAACCCAAGTTTTCTGGCTCTGTTCGCAGACCATACTTTCGTTTACTTCGACTTGAACACTCACACTCGCTTTTCACGACTTCGAATATCCCCGTCGTTGGACATCAATCGCTCACGTCCTTCGCTTTTCGAATTGGTTCGCTGAAAAGCCTCGCCCCCTCAAAAAAGACCGTTTCCCAAATCCTTCGAATCCACCTCCCTCAATTTTGCAGCAGGGGAAAAACCACCTTCGCTTGATCGTGGAACAAGAGATCTGTCGATATTTACTCAACTTTTGTCTCGCATCCGATTTATTGTTGGTACATTCGTGGCGTCTCTTGTGCGTTTTCACTGCACGAAAAAGGTTGGAAACCCCGTGGGCAACTTCACCATCCCACGACCCTTTCGCTGCGCAACCACCCGTCTGGTGACGACTCACCCGGGAAAACTCGACGGATAGACCCGTCCAAAAGAGTACAAAGGGAAGACCACTTTCCAGGTTCCTTGCCTCTGGTTCAAGTTGAAATCCAGCCTTCTGGGTAAGTGTACCGTTTGTTCGTCAAAAATCATTCGTTACCAATCTTCGGATCCCTTTGGGAACGTCAAATATGACGAGACCCACGACAACTCCTTGCTTGCACATCGTGTCCTTGCCTGGGTGTTAAAAATTGTCTTTTTCATTTTTCTCTCCCTGGATTCCTGGATGTCTCACTGACGCTCTCCAACAACAGGTTACTTCTTGCTGGTGGTAAAAAGGGTACGCTCTTCCAGTCGACCCACCCTTGGAAATCCTTCCAGATATTTGCCACAACTCGTCTCGATCTACCCTGACAAAGAGGTGAGAATCCCTAGCATAGGGAGATCCTGGTAACTGGATTTCCATCTGGTCTGGCGATAGTTCGGCTGATCAGTGTTGATAGTTCGTTCCAACCGGTTGGAATTCTTTGTTCTCAAGATTAAATCTGCCTCACCTTCCCGACATCCAAACCTCTTCGGGAACGAGGAGCTCTCGGTCTCATCACAAATCGCCCAAGCTGGCAACATCGGCCTAGATCGCATCTCATTTTCGTCGGCCCTCTCAGCCAGCCGTCGGCTCCTACGCTCCAGGAGTCCCAAGTCAGCTTCTCAAATTCTTCGCCCATCTTCGAATGTCCCCCTGGAGAACGTCGATATTGACCTCCCAGACATTCGAATCTCGATAGCATTTTGCAATCGTCACTCGCTTTGATCCGAGGCATCATTTAGCCTCCCACCACACTCGTTTAGCACACAGTCGCTCGCTTAGTGATTTTTTGTTTTCAAGAAATTTGCCAAAATACCGTCAACCTGGCGTCCATAACTTTCAACCACTTTCAGGTGAGTCCAATCTTGCGCCCCCCCTGCCCTTGTCTTAGCCTCCACAGCCAAGGTGTTGGGACCCTTCTCTCGGAGTGATTCAAATACTGACATGTTCTCAGTCTTTCCCAGACTTCCGCACTCCATTCATAGTCGACGACTCGTACGATCCCGCAGTTTTTGCTGGAGAGCACTTTGCAAGTCAGTTCCAGGACGGCCTCGAGGCCAAACCTGGCCAGCTCTTCTCCATGTCTGGCTATGATGGACCGGGTCAAACAGGGCTCATGAGTACGTTCTCCTTTTGTAGAAGAGCATGTATTTGTGACTGACGCGTCTGACAACAGAGTTTCAATCTCCTGTCATCGACAATCAGGTCTACTACGGCAGTTTTCCTCCTACTCCGTACGATCATCATCCTCTTCTCCAACCTGGAAACCCCCAGGAAGCCGACTTCCAGTATCTGGCTGGAAGCGGATATTCCTCCGAGAAGAGCTTTGTGCATGGCAGTGCCCCTTCCGTGGAGTCTAGAGAGCGGAAAGATAGAGATCTGAGGGTGGCCAACGCGCATCACCAGCGCATCCCCTCATCTCACAGTGTTCAAACTCTCCCCCGGAAACGCAAGGCTTCGACTGAGTCCGAGTACGACCTCCCAGCTCAGAAGAAAGCAGTCCTCGCTCAAGTCCACGTCCAGGACCCCAATGGCGACTACTACGACCTTAGCGGTCAAACATCCCCTTATTCCCCTTTCGTGCCGACCCCAACCGGAAGCACTGGCCTTCCTACGTGCGTTAGCCATGGCGCGTCACCTCGACCTTCTGGTCACCACTATTCAACTTCAACTGCGTCTCAGGTCTCATTGGCTGCTCCGTCGCCACATACGCCTGCCTTCAGCCCCTCCTTCACCACCGTCAAGAGCGAACAGAGCCCGGCAGCGCCCATGACGCCCATTCCCCGTCCTACAACAAGCTCTCCTTTGAAATCGTCAGTCCCCAAGCTGGTTCGCACGTCCACTATGCAACAGTCGCCAACAGCCCCTTGCTCGACGATTGCCATCGGACAGACTCAGACCTTCAACCCATATACCTTGTCAACCCTCAAGGCCAATCTTAAACTCAAGGGTGATCTGGACAGCATGAAAGAAGACTGGACTGCCGAGGAGAAGGAAGCTCGCCGACGCCTGGTGGTGTTCGAAAGAGACCAATCCGGCAGCACTATTACGGCGAACTTCAAGGGTGTCGCTCCCCAGGATCGCCAAGCCAGCAGCATTTGCATCAGCTGCATCTGGTGGAAAGAGAAGAACGAGTACTACGTCACCTCAGTTGACACCATCTATCTTCTCGAAGCCCTGGTTGGAGTCCGCTTCACCGTTGAGGAGAAGAACCGCATCCGCCGCAACCTCGAAGGCTTCCGGCCTCTGACTGTCTCCAAGGCTCGACCGGACAGTGAGGAGTTTTTCAAGGTTATCATGGGCTTCCCTCACCCAAAGCCACGCAACATTGAGAAGGACGTCAAAGTCTTTCCATGGAAGATCCTGGCGACCGCATTGAAGAAGATCATCTCCAAGTACTCTGCAAGTTATTCTTCGACTGCGGCTCCACTTCTTACGCCCGCTTCTTCCATTTACAGCGGGGAAGGTCTGTCCGAATATCAATATCCTTCTTCGCCCCATCCAGAATACATGGCCGCCGCGGGGTATCCGATGAACTCCGAGATGGGATACATGCCCCAAGCTGTCCAGATGCGCGTGCCCAGACCTGTCGTGACTGGACCACCCGAGTTGCAGCTCCAGATGCCTGAGTACGTTCCTGCCTACGACGTCAACGGCCAATATATCTACCAGAACGGAGTTCCAGTCACCCAAGCGACGATGGGTATGCCAGCCCACCCGATGACGGCTCCAGTCACGCGGATGCCTACATGGGAATATGCCAATTTTGTCAACGACAGCCCGGTCACCCTTGCACCACAAAGTGCACCGCCTACGGCCTACCCACGTGGACCTATGGTGGAAGCGGCCGAGTTCATGCCCCATGTGCATTACCAACAACACTAAACGTGGGCCCACAGATCCTTTCAAACATTTCCTTTCTTGACTGTCCTTAGCATTATCCTTTGTGCATGACGCAGGATTTACACCACGCACACTGGGATGACATTTTCCTTTCATGTCTCTGGCGCCTTGGAATATCACGGAAACAATTGGGATGGGGATTTGAATGAGTCATGTATACACAAAACCTCCTTGTACACCAGCACGAGCATGTTTTGCATAGCGATTGACACTTTGCGGAGGTTGGGTCGGGGATGTTGCCTATGCGAACAGACTCGGAGAGTCGGACAGTTATGGCTGTCGACTTTGGTGATAATAACAGAAGGGAGAATGGGAAGGAGGCTTTCAAAGGAGGGTCTGGATGGGTATGGTCCGAGGGTTACGTTCGTGTATATGATTTGATGAAAGCTAGACTTAGTCATGGCAAACGGCCTAACGCAAGCTGCCAATGCGCAGAAAACACATGATTAATTGCTCTTGAACTCGATCTTTGCTCCGCTCCATTCTTTCTCGTCGGATCTGATGTATCGAGTAGGAGGATGTGATTGTTAATAGGGAAAGTGGGAGCTGATTGAGGCAAGTGCGCCGGACACGACTAGGCCCTTTCCGTCACCATAAACATCGCAGGTCGCGCGAAGCCAATTCAGTGCGCAATTGCAACACTTGGAGCGGCGCGCGAGAGGCGTCGTTGCTCTCTGCTGCTGATTGTCTATGAGCCAGAACTTGTATTGCTTTGTTATCTGTTGTCCACGTATCTAGACGCTTTATTGACCTGTCCGAATTCTGGCGCAGCCTCAATCAGCAGAGTACCCGACATATCATTATGGCTTCGGCTGCTGCTATCGACACTCCTCCGCAAGAACCTCATACTCTGGGCGAGGGCCCATCGATGGCATTCTCGAGCTCACCGCATAGGAAGTCACCTCGACGGTCAACTTACTCTGGCAACTCTTCAACGCCGCTGCAAGCACTAGACGCGTACAACGACTCTACAAGCCCTCCACAGCCTTACACATTTACTCCTCGGCAAGTCAAATGCCTACCTAGAGCGTGGGAAAGACGACCGGCAACGCCATTTGTGGCGCGGAACGACGCACAGAAGATATGGAAGCGCGTTCCACTAGGTGCCATCAGGTCCAATATCGGGGAGAACTGGAAGAAGGAAACCAAGAGATTGAACACACGACCGGTCAAGAGATTGAGGATCGCTCATCTCGGCGGAGAAGAGGATAAAGAAAATGTTGACTACATTGCTTCTCGATGGGACGAGGATGGATTGACGACAGCCAGCCCGAAACGAAAATTGTTGGAATGCGGGGGTGTCGCTGACCGCAAAATAGACTTGGAAGATCAAGACACCCCCGATGAGGCCCACGATAGCATCGAGGACGACGAAGACTGCGGGAAACCTGAAAACGGCACAGCTTCACCTATCCTCGGAAGCCATGAAGGGGCTGAGCGTTGGATTGAGGGTGAAGGTGCTGATATTGAAACGGGTACTACAACTGTCTTAGACAGCGACAGTGCTTCCTCAGAGGCAGTGGGTTTGCCTCAACCTCTTTCGCCGATCGTTGGTCCATTGAAGATTTCTCGTGCCTCTTCGCCTTCGCCTACAGCTATGCAATCTTCGATAAATACACCCATGAAGCCCACCGATGGGGACACCGCCTCTTGTGGAGAACGAGAGCAAGACTCACATTCATCTTCAGCAACTGTGTCGAGCGCCCAGGACACTGGAGAATCAGTTAGCACTCCGCTTGATGATGACGACGACACGGCCTTCCTGCACGACTTCCTGTCCCGGGCTCGAGCACGGAAAGCAGCCAAAGAACAAACGCCCCACGAAAGCCCAGCACAACCGAACGAGATGGCGGAGTCAGCGGATTTACAGGAAGAGTCAAAGTTCTCTCACATTGAGGAAGTGACTGATCTTTCGGTACCAATAGCTGATGATGAAGAAACACCAACGAATCTTCCTGCAACCCAAGAGCCGGAAGTCAACGTCTCGCCTCGAAGAAGTTCTCGGCTCATCACCCGACTCCCGAGACTTCAAAAACCCGTCACGAGTCTCCCGAGCAGTATCTCCCTCAAGCGACTCGGCGGTACCGAATTCATTGCTGGCAACCACGAAGCTCAATCTGTTGCCGTGGCCACCCGCACAAACACTAAGAATAATAAAAATGGAGCGGTGCCGGCGAAGGTCAGGTTGATACAATTGAACGCTGAGCTGAAAGCCAGACAGTTCTCGGAAGAGGATGGGGCTGAACAGCAAGACCCAGAGATTGCGTCCAAGAACAAGAATAACAAAGGCAAGGAAGTGACTTGGGCCGAGAAGCTTGCGACCTTCCAGGACGGACAAGTTACGAAGGGCTCGAGTGAGGAAACAGACGAGGAACGAAATCAGGAAGGCAAATCTGATGGCAACTCCGTGTCTGAGGGAGGAGGTGAAGAAGGGGCCGAGAAGCGGCGTTCGCTCCTTCGGCAACAAAATAGAGGTGTCAGAAAGGTGCGCAAGCTCAGGAAATTAAATGTTGGGAGCGTGAATGGGACGCCGGCACCCAAAAAAACCACCAACATTCCGCTGCCCGTTGGATCGACTTCTTCTTTGTCGGCGAAGGTGGTCGGACTGGCAGCGCAAGGGGAGAGTGGTCCCGAAGGGGAGAAGAACATGATCCAGACGAGGACAAGGACTAGGATTTCCAAAGCCGTCTGAGGTTGAAGCCGAAGTTGCGACGTGGTGATTATTTGGCGACTCTTTGCCCAAAGCCTCGCTCGGGCATACGTGGCTTGAAGAGGGTGATGTTGAAATATTAACAATCAAATATGACGATGCGTTCGAAATTACAGATGCGTTGTGGTGTTGGGTCTGGAGAAGAGGTTTTTGATCTATCCCTTGCTGTAGGTGAGCAGGAGTTGGGCAGTGACAAGGACGAAGTCATGCCTTGAAGTGCTGGCTCCGTGCTGTCTGGTGCTGCCCACTGCAGTCTATAGTTCCAGCATCCTTCCAGCATATTTCCAGCAGCCCCTACGCAGCTGCCGCGGCTCTCTTCAATGTGGTCGTGATGGACAGGGGCCCAGCCAGCAGGGCGAAATAGTTCGTCCGATGCCCGTGTGCTCGATTCGTGGTGTATGTAGGGCCGTCGTGTGTGACTGGCTGGAGTTAAGGCCGCAATGTCCAATGTCCATATCTCTCTCGAACCTAGAAACCGACCTATCCAACGCCAGCCTCGGTGCTAGACTTGTTGTACTGCACACGAGTCGATGTAGTAAGCCTCCGCACTCCATCCCCCAGTACTGGAGATACTGCCTAGGTCCAAGTAGGTACTGGATGAGTAAGTTGTTGCATCCCTAGTCCCGCTGGTTAATGGTCCTAGCTCCCCTCCCCCCGATCGGCGCCAGCGCTAAACCGCATCCATCGGAAAGGGTATAGATCCGTGCTCTAACGAACATCTCGCGGCTGTGCTGCAAGTTGTTAACATCGTTAGTGAGCGACGAGTGCGGGAGTCGTCGGTGGTCTTATACTCGGAGAGATTCTCGATTTTCTCCCCCGGGCACGCACGTCGTCGGAGTTAGGAGCGAAGAGGCGCGGTGTTTGCGTGGATTTACCACGCTGCGCGCACGGCGTGCATTGGAATCGGGTCTTTGCATTTGTGTTGGTGTTTGGTGAGTAGCGTTGTAGGCGTGTAAGTGTGCAAGTTTAGGGCGCCCGGATCTTCGATTTCGGGGATTTTGATGCTGATGGTTGGTCAGGGTTGAGGGATGGCTGTTCATGTTCATCCAATCCAGCAGGTCGTCTCTCAGGCCTTCACATCCACGGGTTCATACGTCCTATCAGAGACGGATCCTATCAGAGACGGAGTCGGGGTAATTCAATGGAGTGACACTTTTCGACCAAGTAACTAAATCATGGGCGGAGTGGTGGTGGTGGTGGTGGTGGTGGTGGTGGTGGTGGTGGTGACGACATGCAGAAGCGGAGGGGTGAGATTGAGAGAGCACGGTCGAAAGAGAGGTATATATTAAGACTCTCGTCTCGTCCGCTATCTCTCCATCAGAAGGGAGGGATAATCACAACATCCTACTCCCCGTATAACCATACAGCCAGCCAGCCAGCCGTATACAGGCAACAACAACAACCATGTCGTCCATCCCGCCCACACACCGCGCCCTGCGCCAGGATGTCTACGCCCAGCCCCCGACCGTGCAGCAGATCCCCACCCCACAGGTAACACCCGGCTCTGCGGTGCTGCGTGTGCTCCAGGCCTCGGTGATCAGCTACACCAAGGACATCTACAACGGGGTGCGCCAGTACCCGTACCCGACGCCGCTGACGCTGGGGCAGACGGCGCTGGCGCGCGTGGCGGCGCTGGGGCCGGACGCGACGACCCTGCGCGTCGGAGACCTGTGCCTGCTCGACGTGACGATCCGGGGCCGCGACGACATCGACCGCGCCGCCGGGGCCACGTTCCTCAGCGCCATCGCCCACGGCCACACGCCCGCCGCGGCCCGGCTGTTCCGCGACGCCTGGCGCGACGGCACCTACGCCGAGTACGTGCGCTGGCCGCTGGAGAACTGCTTCGTCCTCGACGAGGACCGGCTCCTCACCCGGCTCGGCTACCGGCTGGGGGATCTGATGTTCATCCCCAAGATGCTGGTCGCCTACGGCGGGCTGGGCCCCCTGTGCGTGGACCTGAAGCCCGGCGAGACCGTCGTCGTCAGCCCCGCGACCGGCGGGTTCGGGTCTGCGGCCGTGCACCTGTGTCTCGAGCTGGGCGCCGGGCGGGTGATCTGCATGGGCCGCAACCAGGAGATATTGGCCGATCTGAAAACAGCGATCGCGCCGGAGAAGAGGGGCAGGATCGAGACCGTCCCGCTCACGGGCGATTGGGAGGAGGACTCGCAGGCGCTGAAGGGCCTGGGCGGCGTCATCGACGTCTTCTTCGACATCTCCCCGCCGGCGGCGGCAGAGTCCCGGCACCTCAAGGCCGGGGTCATCGCCTTGAGAAACGGCGGCCGCATGTGTCTCATGGGCGGAGGCACCCACGACGTCGTCCTGCCGCACGGCATGTTGATGCGCAAGGACATCACCCTCAAGGGCAAGTGGATGTACGAGCCCGTGGACGTGAAGCGGCTGATCGCCCTCGTCGAGACGAGCGTGGTCAAGCTGCACCGAGAGGCCGACGCCGTCAATCCGCTGGGGGCGCGAGTCGTGGCCACGTTCAAGTTGGAGGAGTGGGAGCAGGCCTTCGACGTGGCTGAGAAGCAGGGGAGAAGCGGCGGTATTGTCGTGATGGAGCCATGATGGCCACAGAGTGGATGGGGAGATTGACGGTGCAAGCATTATACTGCAGCTTGTACACCGGTCGAGTCGCTTGAGATTCAGGGGATGGAAAAGGGCAGGTTTCTGACGGGACGGGCTCTCAACTCTGTGAGCACGGTAGTCCAACGTAGCCAACGCGTCAACTCCGTTCATGCTCTTGAGATCGCCTTTTGCATCTCCCAATCTCCTTGTTCCACCAGACGCGGTATTCCTCCACCCACGCGTCGAGAAAGAAGAATCGCTTGAGGCTTTTGACCGTCTCCTTCCACCTCCTCGCTGCGGGGTGTCGCCGAATTAGCTCTTCAAAGACTTCGGCGCGTTCATCTTCGGTCAGGCCGATCCGCTCCGAGCTCTTCTCGACCACAAGGATGGCCACCCCCCAAGTAACATAGTCGGGCTTCGCGCCTTCCAGCGACATGAAGGACGTCGCCGTCTCCTTGATCCGGCGCCGCATGTTGTCCAGAAACTGTCCGTAAAACTTCTGGCTCTCGTTCCGGTCCGGCTGCTCCCTCAGCACGAAGAGCCAGCAAAAGATACAGACACTCCGTTCGAGAGGGGAGAGGTTCGTTCGCGTGATGAAGGTCAGAAGGTCGACGGACACGTTGTAGATTTCCTCGGTCGTGGCGCGCTTGGTCAGGGGCGTCTCTTGGGCCATGTGGGCGAGGCGACAGAGCAGTTCGATGATCTGCGTGGAGATTCTGCCGTCGAGTGCAATGTCGCTGATGCCACGTGGCAGGGTCGCAATCTCCGTGCACAGCTGTGGCGAGAATGGATGCTTTGGGTAGGTGAGTTCGGATTCTGGCTGGACTGCCAGTGGCGAGGACTCTTGCAGGCGTTGCTCTGCAAACGAACATAACGCATGTGTACTGGGGAAAAGTGTCATCAGCATCCTCGCCTCTCGTTACAGAGCAGTACAAACATACCCCGCCAGGTTGTATTTCGTCTGGCGATCAAATTTGCCGTGCTCGAGTCCGCCACGGAGCGAAACGAGCGTCTGAAGGCCTTTGAGGTGAGTTGCTGCATGGTCATCGTGACCGGCGAAGAACTGGAATCTGGTTAGCTCCAGTCTCTCCACCCTGCAAAAGAGGAGATTCAACGAACGTCTGCAGCTATCAAACATATCACGGTGTGGATGGTTGTGTCCGAGGTCGATATCTCCTTGTCCTGGGAAAGCGTCCGATGGAGTTTCCCAAGGACGCTGGAACGGAGATGTGCAAAGTGTACACCGCCTGGCACGAGCGCGTTGGCACCCGCAGGGTGAGAATATCTTGCCATGGAAAGGATGAGGGCCTCGAAGAGCATGTCTGATTGTAGGGCCAGGGGGAAAAGCGTGCCAGTGAGCCAGTTTCTTCCCGACTCGTCCGAGTATAGCGATGCATTCATGGTAGCGTAATCCTGGAGGACTGATTGATGGGTAGCCGTTAGCTTTGGGCAGGAAAAAAGATTGAAGGATCTCGTCCCGGTAGCAATGCATACCCCGGATCCAGGGCACTTACAGAAATCGGCCGCCCACTCAACCTGTCCGGATTGAGGAATGGGGAACGATGCGAATGGATCTCTGCGATGGCCACCGAGGCCATACTGGAGCGACAGCTTCGGCAGACGCCGTCTTTTCAGTAACGCGTAAATGATCTCCTCGGTAACGTGAGGGTCGCGAATGTCGGCGACATGCTTCGCCTGTGCCAGCAACTCTGGCTCGACCTTGGCGGGAGTCGACGTTCGAATGGGATGGCGCGCCTGCCACTGTAGAGGCGGGCGTGACGGTCGTTGCGTCGAGGATTTGACCTTGTTGACCCTCCGACCTCGGTTGACGTAGGCGTTGATCTGCGAGCGCTTGCGGGCATCGCGCATGTCATCCAGGTCGTTGTAGGTGATGAACATGGCGGGCCAGCCTTACTTCGACCTCTCAGCCTGCCTTTGTGTGAGCTTCAGACATTCTGCCCCCAAGGCAGCCCTATATGCGGAGCCACGGATGAGAAGGTGAGATCTGGTCAGCATGACGGAAAGGGGGATGGGACGTCCAAGTGAGATGGTCGCCCCCCTACTCGGTATTTCTCCGACGTTGGCGGGCCTTGAATGACTTAGCGAGGCTAGGCGCCTCGTGTGAATCCACTGTCCCAATCCGGCTGTCTACAAGTGGGGCATATATTATTAATAACCCCAGCGTGGAGTATCTATTTGGGACTTTTGTTATTTTCAATCTCCGCCATACCATTCCTCAACTGCTTCTGTGAAATGGAACACAATCCTGGAATTCATTCGAGCTGGGTCATGACGAACGGCGTATATGCACCAGTAACACTAATATCCTTCTCGGGGTCATATCGCTCGAGGGTGTCTAGAGGTCCATATTTCTCACAGAGGTACAGCATCTCATTGTATGCTCTGTGAATGTTGTTTAGTGGCATTTCATTAGGCTAGGAGGGTTGACTCACATCTGCCTTGATATACTCCCTGGATGTCCAGCCGAGTCGGTCAAGTAGGGGTGGATGCTATATAGCCGATTGCGGTCGTCCCACTCCTCCACGGGTTCCGAGGGGGGAATATGTTGTTGATATAGTCGCATGTATGTCGGAGAATTGAAGTGAAACGCCCAGGAACATCTCCATGTGCCAAACTCCATCTCATTGTGGGCGTAGGTGCATCCGGGATCGAAGACAATTGTATTGCCCGTCTCCTTGTCTATACCGACATTTTGTTCCCACAAGTCGCCATGCACCAATGCCGGCGTAATATCACGGCCATCTGACTGCAACGCACCCAATAGTCGTGGTATCACAACTTCGATAAGTTGCTGGCAAGCAGCGTCGTATTCCGGCCAAGGTCCGTTTGTCTCATTGTCGTACTTGATGGCATCTTTCAGTTGATGGGTGAATGACTTAGCCCAGCTTGTTTCCCAGGTCACAGTGCGTTCCATAATGCCGATAACTGTTGGGACAGGAAATCCAAACATGCCATTTGGAGACGTGCCTTTTCGATGGAGTTCTGCTATGCGAGCCGTGAAGTCAAAGGGTTCCGGAGCGGCAGAGAGATCCATGTCGTGGAAGTCTCCAAGCAAGAAAAACACGGGTGATCCATCAACATAGTACTCGCCCCATCCAGCTGGTTTGGGCACCAATCCCGTCACCACAGCATTGATGGCAGATGCAGAATGATATTCACCTTCAGCCAGGACCCGAGCACCTTTCCCCATGGCGCACTGTTCGACACCAATCAGTTCTGAGGAGACATCACACAACCGGAGAGTGACTGACTTTCAAGAAATATCTCTTGGGATTTCCATTAGGTAGAATGGCCGAGACTTTTGCCGTCTTCGTCCAAGCCGAGATACCAGAAGTCTCTGCGGACACCACTTTGGTTCCTGGAGGCATGACTAGATTTTGGGCATCAATCTCAGCCCGGCCAACAGTAGTGGCGAGATATTCCTACCTGCAGCGACAGCTTTGTGGACAAGGAAATTCCCTTCAACGCCATTTTCCCATATCGACGAATCTCCCATCTCTCACGTCTGGAGCGAAACCAGACGACTTATGGGCACTGGCTGGGCAGAACCGCTCAATTGTTAGGTTGCCGATCTCTTGAACTAAACCACGGTAGAGGGAAAGAGAAGCACACCCACGTCGATATCGATGCATACCAAGCAAACCACTTGCTAAACGACAGAAGAGGTGATGGATATGGTGTACAGTGTGACGATGGAATGTGGTAGGTTGCATACGAGTAGAACTGAGGCGGCGCCATGCTGTTAGGTACGCCGCTGAAAAAAAGGGCGAGCCGTGGAGACAACCACTCAAACGAAGAATGCAACAGACATTCCAAAGAGTAGAGGGCTGACATCAACGCAAAGTGGTGACACCAGCGGACGAGAGAAATATTCAATTAGGCAAGTTCGAGTGCTCGCTCTGCAGACTTGATCATACTTTCTGATGCGTGGTGATAGCCGACGACGTACTGCTTCTAAAGACCTCTATTTCAAAGCCTGAACTGTCGACTCTGGTGCTGAGATCATGGCTACCGAAAAGATGAACGGCAATCCTGAAATTGAGGCAGTTGAGCGGTACTCAGTCTGTACCACGGCCGAGAAATGGTGCATTCTCGCCCTGGTTTCGTATGCTGCCTGGTTTTCGACCTTAAGCAGCTTTATATACTATCCGGCTTTACACGCATTGTCTCAGGCCTTGTCTGTCTCCGTTGAGAAAGTCAATTTGACCATCACAACCTACATGGCCGTCGCCACGGTCGCTCCTACGCTGGTAGGGAGCACTGCTGATGTATTAGGTCGACGGCCAATTTATGTCGCTACTTTGACATTATATCTTGTTGCAAACATGGCCATTGCTCTGTCGAAAACATATTCAGCACTCCTCGGGCTTCGAGTTTTGCAAGCTTTGGCAATATCTGGTTCGACTTCCCACCCGAGGCTCGCATGAGTTACTGATGGGTTTAGGCACCTTCTCGATTGCGTATGGAGTCGTTACTGACGTCGCGTCTCCCGCGGAGAGAGGTTCCTTCGCCAGTGCGGTCTCGTTCGCGTAAGTTTGCAACCCAGGCATATCGTGTCCGAGACTGAACTATGGCAAGCATAACTATCGCGCCGAGCATCGGTCCCATACTGGGCGGAGCTCTGACCTACGCAGCAGGTTGGACTTGGATTTTCTGGTTCCTGTGCATTGCTGCAGGGTCATGCTTACTTTTGATGATTTTCTTCCTCCCGGAGACGTCACGCGAAATCGTGGGCAATGGATCAGTCAAGCCGCCCAAATACCTCAGATTGCCAGTGACCAGCCTGATGCGTCATTGGGAATACGTGGACTCTGTTTCCAATCACAACTGGCGAATACCAAATCCAATGAAATCGCTGGCGATACTTCTCCGTCTCGACAATGTCATTGTCACAACCGCTTGTGGCCTTCTCTACGTTGTGTACACCTGTATCAACACATCACTCTCGACGCTCCTCATTGACATCTACAAATTGAACCAGTGGCAGGCAGGCCTCATATACCTCCCATTCGGTATAGGTGGAACAGTTTCGACTTTTTTTTCCGGTCCGCTGATGGACAATGCCTACCGCAGAACTAGAACAAACCGCGGTCTTTGCACCGACAAAGTGGCCGGAGATGACCTGGACAACTTCGCCATCGAGAAGGTGCGACTCGGTGTTATATGGATACCCATGTTCGTGACCATATGCTCGGTCCTCGCTTTCGGCTGGGTCTTGGATTATCATCAGGTTAGAAACCCTCACACGCCTTTGCCCACCCCGTGAACTAATACCATTCCAGCACATTGCTATTCCACTATGTCTACAATTTGTTGCGGGATTGTGCATGCAACTAGACTTCAGTGTAAGGAGTTTTCCAAGGCATTGATCAGCCAAGCTAACTAAGGCATTAAAAAACCTGAAGATCTATAACACACTTCTGGTGGATAAGAACCATCGAACTCCCGCTGCCGCTCAGGCTGCTAGTAACATTGTGCGCTGTACAATGGCAGCAGTTGCCGTGTCCTTTCTTCAGGACCTGATAGATGCAGTGGGAATCGGATGGACGTTCACGTTCTTGGGCGCCCTCTGCTTGGTGGCTCTTTGCCTCTTCGTCTTTGAGTATTGCAAGGGCACGGCGTTGAGACAGAGAAGGATCAGTTCGCCAACCATCCCAGCTACTGACTCGGAGCTGAGGAGGTAGGCGTCGATGAAGACGGGTAGGAAGACAGATCTGCGGTAATAAGCCATGCCTCAAACCAGGATGTGAGTCGAGTACCCGTCACATTGAGCCTGAAGTTAAGATCAAGTGAGTGACGTGTTGTTGCTGCTGCACACCTCACATTGGGTGTCACCTCACTTGTATAGCGCGGCTCTCCGATCGCGGCCTCAGCTGCGCCATTTCTTCTCATATAAAGGCCCTCTGCGTTCTCCCAATTCCAGTTCTCAACCTCTTCTGTCTTTGTCTGCAACCATCACAGAGTCAATCCTCAATCCTCAGCTCTCCAATATCATATCAACCGACACCGTCAAACACTCACTTTACTCTGTGAACTGCTTTTATCTGCGCCCATCTCTTTGGAATGTGGCTCTCCTTTCCTCCGATGTCTGCACGGCCGGCTACCTGGGGGAAGCCTAAGAAGAGCAGCGGCTCAATGAACTATATCTGCTCACACCGGATGAGAAGGTTGCAGACCCGTCGACAGGAACAGTATTGGCCTCTTTAACCATGGAACGCTCTGGCCAGATGTGCGGTGGTAGACTTTACGGAGTCCTCACAGCAAGATCTGAAGAGCCCGATACTTCAGACTGTACACGACCTCTCAACATTGCGTGAGTGAGAGCACAAGGAAGGCATGGCGTCGGAACAAAGCATTTGCCATGGAAACTGCACAAGCTTGCCGTCGGATTATTTCAGCGTTGTCATGAACATCCAGGACCCCGAACGCTTTGCGTTACACAACAGGACGGGCTCGATTCGGGAACCAAAGGACACGCTAACGACCTTCCGAAGGGATGTTTGCTTTGGCACAGCTTCCTTCCTCAACAGTCCGCATCGCTCAAGATGCCCAGGCCTGCGACCAACAAGCTCGTCCAGTGGAGAGCTATACCTAGGGCTGAATTCTCTTTCAGAGTGATCTAGAGCTGCCTTCGCTTTACCATCCACAAACAGTCCATGAGGATGAGCAACCCCAAACCTCACACGTCTGAAGTAGACGCACTCAAAGTATATATAAATCAGCGTATCGGGTAGCACGCGACAGTTGAGCCCGTTGTACAACGCGAGTCAACACGAGCCAGCACCTCCTTGGAGCCACAAGAGCAGACATTCGTGGTCAGAGACAAGACCTTGCTTTAAGCAGGCCAGTCCCGACCCCGTCACCTCGGGATCCAAGCTGGTCTCGTGCTTTTCAGAGCGCACACCTCTTCAACCCTTCTGCCCAGGCTGTGCTGGCTCGCGCCTGGCCTTTGGAGCGTGCCTGGGAGCCCCGCGACTGGCAGTGGGACCAATATTAGCGGTTGACGGCACGGACACGGTTACTCGGTATAAACGCCTTCTTCGCGACCTCACTCTACTCCACAGGCACTACCCGCTTACTCCATTATCACGCAACACCATCTTACAATTCTCGAAGAATTCGATTGCTCTTCAGGCAAGAAGGTAGAGAAAAACCGAGAAAGTCTGCAGTGCTTCAGAATTACGATGAAGGGGTGGGAATTTGCCTTTGTCTGTCTGTCTGGCATTCAATGTAACTTATTACTATCACCTTTCAGATTCATCTGCTGCAAACAAGGACGGTCCACTACCATATTCACAAGCATCCTCTCTGGGTGGAGAGCCCATCGTGTTCTGTGACCCAACCTTCAACCCCATAGCTCCCAAGGATGCGTGAGGAAGGACAAAGCCTCCAACTGTTTCACAGTGGCGTGCCCCGATCCCTCCTCCGCAGCCTCGCCTTGGTCATGTCATCCTGTTCTCTGCGGAACAGACGCTTGGTCGCGGCCTCGCCGACGCAGGCTGGGAACGGGTAGTAGCAATAGGAGCCGCCGTCGCCGGCCACGCAGTAACTATTCGACGAGCAGTCCGAGTCGTCAGTGCAGGATGTGGTGCTGCCGTACTGATCCGTGGGGAGACAAACGCCGTCCCCGTCGGTCCCGCAACCCGAGGCGCGCGAGTAGCAGGTGCAATCTGTCACTCCGTCGAGACTGATACAGTCGGAGCTGCCGGTGCAGGCAAAGTAGTTTCTAAGGAAGGGGGTCAGTTGGATGCTGTACGGGATCGGGCTTTTGGGGAGGCCGCAACGCATAGCGGCATACGATTGAGGCCATTAGGGGGTGGATGACGGGAACTTTGATGGATGTGGCGAGGGTTGACAGTGAGTGGGAGTATACTTACTGTGTGCAGAAAGGAGATGGTGCAGTGCTTGTCGTGGTGGTGGTGGTCGTCTAATGAGTGTTAGCATTCAAAATAATATGCTGGCTGAGCTCGCGCTTACCGTTGTCGTTGTCGTAGTTGTAGTAGTGCTTGGTGTAGTGGTCGGAATGGTGCTTGTGGTGGTGGTGGTGGTGGTCGTCGTCGTCGTCGTAGTTGTGGTTGTGGTTGTCGTCGTCGTGGACGGTGTTATTGTTTTCTAAAAACCGGCAGTTAGGCTTCAGGCCCTCACGTCGCAAAGATGACCCGCGTACCGTGCTAGTAGGGATGCTCTCTATACAGGAGCAGAAAGTTGAGGCGATGGCGGCTGCTTCAGACAACAAAGTCGAGAAAAGTGCCGCTTTGGGATCAACAGATGTTGTTGTTGACTTTGTGGTTGTGGTAGAAGAAGGCTTCGTGGTCGTAGTAGAGGGAGGCTTTGTGGTAGTGGTAGAAGGTGGCTTGGTGGTTGTCTTCGTCGTCGTTGTGGTTCTGACACCTCTCTTGACCTTGACTGGGGCCGAGCTGACCAATGTCACAGTAGTGACCACCGTCGAAGGCGGATAGTGGCTAGAGCAGAAGGATTGAGCAGGGGCATATCCGCTAAGAGGCGCGAGCAATCCGTAAATTCCACTAGAGCAAACCGAACCGGCTGCGGCGACTGCCGCAATCAAGCAAGAGAGCAGAAGAGGGAAGGACTTCATGTTGAAAGATCGGATGAAAGACCAGGAAGTCGAGGAGTTCCCTACACTCGCGGAACGGAATAGACAACGAGGAGAAGGGTGTACAGAGCTGGTTTTATAGCTCAGCTCCATCCTTACCTGCATGTGCTCCTGGAGTGGTATGGGCATTTCCAAATTCCCATGTCGATCTCAATTTCTGCACAGAGCAGTGATCTTCAGTGGTGGCTTCACCCCAGACCGGCTGAACCTCCTATCCACAGGTCGTTATTGCCACCAACGCAGGAATTCTCGAGCTGGTTTGCACGCATCTGGCCAGCAAGTCGTGAAGAGCATTGCGATCATGGGCTTTGGCGCGAGCTGTGACCCTGAATGTTGTCCAGCTCCTCCTTCTCGAAGAGGAAGGCCATGAATTATTCCCACGGTCGAGACCATGCTGGACGACAACGGCATCCCTACTAGTGCCCAGAAGAGGCATGCTGGTTGCGCTAACGTTCCCGTCCTGGCATGGACTCAGGCCCATGGCTGCGGTCAAGTCTCACCTAAAATCTCCGCTGGGTGCAAGATACGAGTAAAGGGTAGGCAGCTAAGGGAATAACAGTTACGAGAAAGCGGGTGGAGGATGAGCTGTGGAAAAGTCTGTCAGGTACAACTTCTGGGGTTCAATTCCGTCCAGTAGCGGGTGCAGACAGATTCTCGACGCCATAATGTGCGAGTACAGATCTGGGTTCGAGATTCTCCGTGTTCATTCGTGGCGTTTCTCTGTGCCTGCTTAGGCAAAGTATGTAACCGAGTCCGTCTGGAGATGCTGGAGATGATGGAGAATCAGGGATCGACTGCGGACGTTGATAAAGGCCAAGCTCTGGACCTGCCGCTAGCGGCCTTGGCAGTGAGCTTATTTTGTGGCTGGCTGAAGCTGTGAAGCCATGCCGTCTTTCCTACCTCACATACACATTCCCACCAACATGCTCGGTACATACCTAGATGGCCAGCTCTATTGATTCTAATGACATGTGTGATAGTATGGTCTGAGTTCCAAGTCTAATTCCCTGCGCAAATAGCCAGAAAGAACACCCAAGGTTGTCTGAACCACATTCCCACGGAGCCATTTGCATCGACTCGCGCATCTATAGTCCTGCACCTGTCCCTCCGATTCCTTCTCCTCCTATTCGACCTCTCTTCAGTCATGTCCATCTCATCTTGTCTCTCATAGCCTTTCCATACATTCCCAACCCCGATTCGAGTATTCCATGGCTGTGGTATGACCCGTTGCTCGCGGCGGCACAGGGTAACCCCGGACGAGCAAGCACTCGTTGAGTCCATAGGCGCATATCGGGGTTGAGAAGGGACGAGGCCCCCGAGTCTTTCTTTCTCAAATTACCCCGAGCAGGTACAACTTTGGATTGAATGTTGGTAATCAGAAGCTTCCGGCAAGTCCATTCAAATGCCAGGTCTGGGAATTTCTGTATCCGTAGAAATCGAAAGGAAGGGACTGGCTTCCAAACCTAGCGAAAATAGGTAGTTCATCCGAGTAACAACGTCTTCAAGGAGATGGCAGCCTTGATGCCTAAAGCTTCCAGCAGCATTATCCCCGCGGCATCTCAAATCATCGGCTGTGAAGAGAACAGGAATGCACCATCCGTCCATGCCACGTCTGCCGCGGCGAACGTGCCATGTGCGACATGTGGCCTCCAGCCTATGACACCGGATTGTTGAACAGATAACTCACGCTTTCACCATTGTGCGTCCGCCTGATGGCCTCTGCCAGGACAGGAGCAATGTCAATAAACTCCAGCCTGCATCCTTTCTGGCCTTCGGGAACCCTGAGACCTTCGATCTTGTCCTCGCTGACTGGGACGGTATTTGTCATGACCAAGCGGCTCAGCGACGAATTCTTCAGAGTCTCGACGGCCTTCCCGGACAAGATCCCATGAGTCACCAGCGCAACCACATCCTTCGCACCGTGTTTGATCAGTGTATCGGCGGCCTTTGCGAGCGTGCCACACGTATCTGCCATATCATCCACCACAATGGCAACTTTGTCTTTCACAGTGCCGACGAGGGTCATGCGCGAGACTTCGTTAGGTCGAGATCGTTCCTTGTGGATCAAAGCGAACGGCAAATCGAGTTTGTCGGCCATGGAAGTAGCTCTCTTCGCTCCCCCAGCGTCGGGGCTGACAATGACGCACTCCTGCCTTGGTCCGTTCATCTCCACGCCGCTCTCGCTCGCATGCATAAGGTTTTCTCGAATCCATTTCACACTATTAGGCTCCGCGTAGAGATTATCCACCGGGACGTTGAAGAAGCCTTGGATCTGCGAGGCGTGCAAGTCCATCGTAATGACATGGTTGCAACCCGCAGTCTGGAGCATATTTGCCATGAGTTTTGCCGTGATAGGAGCTCGCGATTTGTCCTTTTTATCTTGTCTCGCATATGGAAAATTCGGCAGGATCGCGGTGACACGACGGGCGGAGGCGGTCTTGCAGGCGTTGCAGATGATGAGGAGTTCCATGAGGCCGTCGTTGATGTCGTTCGGGCGGGTAGACTGAAGGATGAAGACTATTTCACCATGGATTAGGCTTCTGCAGACAAACCCGAGTACAGACAGAGGGTGCGATTTAGGGTATGATGTTCGCGCAGCAAAGGGATGCTATACCATCTTCGTCTCTGACAGATTCGCCGATCGTGACACTGGTCTCTTGGTTCGAGTATTGCAAGACCATGATCTTGACGAGCTCGATACCTAGCCTGAGACATGGGCGACCAAAGAGTCAGCTTCGCGGAAAATGAACCCAACTGTGCGCATCTTAACGGTCGTGGGAGGCAGCAAATACCTTTTGGCGACGGCATGCGCCAGCTCGGGGTGACTGTTCCCAGTCAACAGCTTGATGGAGTTTGACGCCATGGCTTCAGAGAAGTTTTGAGGAGATGCGGTCACCGAAGATGCATTCTGGAGGGCGGCAGCGAGAGCAGGAGGAACATTTAAGTCTGGCATAGGTTAAAAGTTAAGCTGAACCGAAAAATTTCGCGGATCAGGATCCCCCGCGAAACTGACTCAGGCGCCTGGTTGGCGGGGCTCCTCGGGTTGGCAATTTGCAGCGCTGTCACTGGTCTGCCACTCTTGAGCAAGATGGGAACCGAAGGGTCACCAAGGGACGAGACTCGCGATGGCCAGAATCGTACTTCGGTCTGCGCGGTGAGGTGAAATCTCATGAAAACGAAACAAAAGAACAAGTGGAGGAGATGTAGAGTAGCACTGGCGGAAAAGGACGTAGTATTTGATCTTTCCTTTTGCCCAGTTGAGCTTTTCACCTGGTCTATGAGTCTCATGCCACTTGCGAAACTGGATTTTGATGTTTGACTCTCCACCAGTATCAGCGACACCACACCACAGTCCGTGTTCTGCACTATCCATTCCCCGTTCTCCATGTCTCTCCTCAACTTCAACCCCGAGATCTTTAGTCGTTGGGTGGCAGTTTATGCGTTTGGCCTCCCGGAACCACCACGTCAGAACTTTTCTCCAATAAGCTCAGATGATACCCTTCATTTTCCATGATTTGGGCGAGGTGGTATGCATGAAGCTTTTGTGGAAACGGTATCTTGCTGGGACATTTTGCGCGTTTACTCCTTCCTCATCGAGGAGGCACGTCTCTTCCTCAACTCGGTCCTCTTCTCACGCTCCTCATGCACACGCTTAGCCAACAATTGAGCATAGTCGTTCGCAGCGTCTTTGGCGGCCTCGGCGCGTCTTCTCTTGAGAGCAATGCGGTGTCGCTTGTGTTGCATGCGTTGGGGAGTGACAAGTCTCTGAATCTTAGGGGCCTTGGTGTACGGCTTGGCGCCCTCTTTCTTGGGGACGACTTCGCGGCGGATGACGAATTTCCTGTAAACAACGTGTTGGCAACTGGGCGGTGTAAATCCAAATAATCTTTATCAAGGCACATACCTGACATCATCTTGCTTGCTCAAGCCAAAGAATCTTCGGATCTTGGTGGCTCGCTTGGGACCCAGGCGCTTGGGGTTGACCACATCGGTGAGACCAGGAATCTCACCATCGCCTTGCTTGACGATGGAAAGAGCCAGAACGGAAAGGTCTTGGCCAACAATGCAGCCACGGACAGACTTGCGCTTGCGTTCGCCGGTTCGTCGAGGTCGGTAGCAGGAGTGGCCGTCGGCAAGGAGGAGTTTGACACGAGTAGGAAGCATCTGTTATGAACAAGTCTCAGCGAGGATTCTTCGTCGGGATTCGCTGGCGCTTTCACCAAGCTAAGGGATGGCAGCACGTACGACACCCTGCTTCATGGGAAAGCCTTGCTTGTCATTACCACCGGTGATGCGGAAGATCTGTTTCGCACAAAAGCCGTCAGTTCCCTTTCATCTGCCGTATACCATGAAGAAACATGAAAAGCTGCTCATACATAGCCCTTCCATTCATCTCCTAGACTGTCACCTGGGACTTCGTTGCCCATGCGCTTCTCCATGAAGACGCGCAGCTTGCGGTCATCTTCGACTTCGATCAGTTTCTGCGACCCGTTGGCCGGGTACGAAATATTCAACTTCATCTTGTCGATGATATGCTGATCAGGACTGTCAAGACTAAGGAGAGCCTTGACAGGTACCAGCGGTTGAGGATTGTCGAAGTTAAGACGGAAGTGTTGGCTGCAGATGCTACCAAGTGCAAGTTCAATCGACCCAGGATAATTTCCTCTGTGCGATTTCTCGCCAAGCCTCAGTATGCTAGTCCATAAACGGTTTAGCTCACGTTCAAAACACTCCTCCGTTTTCAGAACGCACATTCTCCAGCCTCGCTATGGTGGACTCAGGGCCGACCCACCGTTTTCTACTCGGCAGTGTTCGATGATGATAGAGTCCCTTGAATCTGTGGTATTTTCTGGTTTAGATGTGCACTTGATCTATACAGCGACACCATTTGGCTGCGTAGCCGCAGCCCCATTCCGCAGCTTTTCTAGCTCTAGATACCTTTTCTCTGCTTCTTCAATGGTCCTAATATTCGCCCCCAGCTTGTTCATCGTCTCGATCCACTCATCTTCTTCCACACTATCAAAGACAATACCTCCGCCGGCCTGCAAGTATGCAACGCCATCTTTCACCACCATTGTGCGTAGCGCGATGCAGGTATCCATTGCCCCTTCATCTTCAATCTTGGATCCGTCGAGCGACACGCGGGAGAAGCCGAAATACCCAACCGCACCGGCATAGACACCTCGTTTCTCCTGCTCTAGTTCTGCAATGAGTTCCATAGCCTTCACTTTGGGCGCCCCCGACACAGTGCCCGCAGGGAAAATACTCCGAAAAGCCGTAAAGCGATTCTCGCCCTCCCTCAGGACGCCCGAGACTTGGCTAACCAGATGCTGGACGTGACTGAATCGCTCCACGACCATGAGTCGGTCGACGCGAGTGGATAAGGGGTCACAGACGCGGTTGATGTCGTTTCGGGCCAGGTCGACCAGCATGACATGCTCGGCACGGTCTTTGATGCTATTGCTCAGTTCCTCAGCCAAACGCTCGTCTTCTTCAGGAGTTTGACCTCGCTTAACCGTGCCGGCGATGGGATGAGTTATGATCCGACCGGCTTCTTCTTTTACCAGCAGTTCCGGTGATGCACCAACAATGCTGAAGTCCTCGCAGTCGATATAGAAAAGGTACGGCGATGGGTTGACTGTTCGTAAATGCCGGTAGATATTGAACGGATGAAGCGTCGTAGGCCGCGATATTCGATGCGAGGGAACGGCCTGAATGATATCTCCTTTGCACACATGCTTCTTAAGCCGTGTAACATGCGCCTCGTATCCTGTCTTGCCAAAATTCGATTTCGAAGGCTGATTCAGGGCTATAGGTGGCTGATATGGCAGAGGTATGTGTTCCGCCTGCAGGAGGGAAATCGTTCTCTGCAGTGTTCCGCATGCTTTCTCATACGCCGTCTGCAGATCTGGGGCCGACCCTGATGATGGTACCCTCAGGTATGTAATGACCTTGCAGACGTTGAAGAAATGGTCAAAAGCCACTATTGTGTCATAGAGCATGAAAAAGCTCTCGGGTAGCTTCAAGACGTCTTTCATAGGTCGAGCGGTCTTGGGCTCGAAGTATCGGACACAATCATACCCAACATATCCAATAACCCCTCCCGTCAAGGGCGGAAGTCGAAGGGATGGCACAGGCGCGACTCTGTACTGTGACAGCTCCTGCTCGAGGCGGGGGAGGGGATCTTCTTCCGGTCCATGGCCCGGGCCAGATTTGATGACTTTGAGGGGATTTGCTCCGACAAAACTATACCGCCCGATTGTCCCGGTAGTTGCAGCACTTTCGTACAGAAATGAGAGTTTTGAGCCCTCTGATACTTTTAGATACGCTTGTGTAGGGGTAAAAAGGTCAGCGGGGATTTGGGCACAGAGCGGCACGAGGTTCGGAGGGAATTTGGACGATCGAGATTTTGAGAGGATAGAGGAGACCTCCTCAAGGGAAGGCTGAACTTTCGCCTGGTATAGGTGAGCCATAGGACAGGTGGAAAGAGTGGTGCCAACGAGAAATACCATGGAGGAAATCACCACAGGTAGAGGGATATTGGGGTGAGTCACTCTAGCAACGGGGCATGTCGGATCACAACCCTTGGTTCTTCAGGCCCGCGGTCGGTGAGAAGCTATTCCTCGGAGACGAGGGTTTGCATATCTTGTATCCTGACGGAGGGGCTGCGGTAAGCAAGTGGAACATGGACTATGCGTGAGACTGTCGTGAGAGTCACCGCTGTCTTGAGTTTTGGAGCAAGTATGGGCCCGGCATATCCTCGGCAGAAGTGAGCAGGGCCCTCATCGCATTCCAAGGCCAATTGTCTGTCAGTTACCAGCCACTCAAGCACCAGCCACGACCAGCTGCGGCACATGCACATTTTCCCATCTGCCCTGACGATCGGGATTCTGCTCGAGCTGGCAGGCTGCGCTCATTCTCTACATTCGAACAACACCAGAAGAAACATTACAATCGAACTCGGAGGTTTATTTACACAGTCGCACATGTCACTTAAGCACAAAGCATCCCCAAAGTCGCACAATTATGTCCCCCGCGGACAATCAGCCTGACAGCGTCGCCGCCGCATCTCCAACCCGACCCAGTTCGGCCTGGACCAACAACTCGCTTTTCGCCGACTCCGCCATCAGCATGAGGACCCGGTCACCGGCTCCCCATGAGAAAGAATCAAACCCTTCGCAGCCAGATGGGACACACGACGAAACCGCAATTGCCGACCGCCTCAACGGCTTGGTCTCTGAAATTTGGGCCTGCGAGCAGGACGGAGCGATTCGAGGTGGAAAGAGACGGAGAATTGAACAAGCCGTGGACGAGATTGAGGCTGCACTGGAGGACGAGTCGCTCTCTGACAAAGAGAGTGATTCCGAGACGACGCAGCAAAGTCAAGCTGCGCCCTCACTTCTGCCTCAGACGTCGGGTGCCACAGAGGCCGATCTTGAGCTTATCCGCACACACTTGACCTCCACGGTCGAATCCATGCGCATGAGGCAGCAGGAACAACGACACCTGCACCAATTGACAGTCGAAAAGCTCGAGGCGATCGCGCAGCGGTGTATCCAACAAGAACGGCGGGTACGAGAGTTCGCCGAAGAGATAGTCACCCTGAGGAAGAAGAATCGCGCCCTGACCCAACAGAATGAGAGTCTCAACATCCAGTTGAGTGAGGTCCACTCCGAATCAGCCAAGAAGGAGACGGCGGTCAAGGCCATGTCGAGCGCGGTGAGCGGTCTGGAAGGATGGATTAATGGTTCTCCCACACCAGACCGAACTTCTCATCCCCGGAAAATTGTTACCAGAGGCCGAGGTAGATTTCGTGGCCGCTATTATGTGGAAGAACCAGTTGACGCTCGGGGCCACTATAATCTCGATGGCGCTTCCGATGCGAGAGCCTTACAGGAGGGTGTCACAGCGTGGCTTAGAGGTTTCCGCGATGTGGAGGAGGAGTTGAGATCGTCGCAGACTGCCGCTAGATTTGCTCCAGCCAAGGACTTCAGAACAATCCCAGAGGACAGCGACAATGAATGGGGTGAATTTGAGACAGCCACTGGAGCATGATTAATGGGTGTCCAACGCTGATTGGCATTGCCCAACCTTGGATATTTCCTGTCTTCGTTGCATCCACCTGTACCTTCCATGATACCATGTTTTAATTCCTGCTGATCACGGCGTTCAATCATCCAGTATAGCGCCAGCAACAATTGGACATGCTCCGATACCCTGGATGTTGATGGTCATACATATTAGTAGTACATCGATTCTTCAAATCCAGTCGACGCTGGCCAAGGCGAGTGAGATATTTCACCGTTGGAAGCCAATGAGAGCGACCTGAACATGTGAGCCCAGCACGAATGAAGTGCGTAAAACGGACAACTCTTACCTGAGATCCAAGGCCAAAGGCGAGCCTTCTGCTCTGGCCATCCCAAATCAGTGCGTGATCAGAACTCGTTTGCATCGTATCGCCATTAACACTTGAAATGCCGCCGGTGCTCATCATGTCATCATCTTTCAGTTGCGACCCTCTCCATAAATTCTGCTCGTCCTTCCAGGTTGCCATCAGGTTGTGACCATGCTCGGCGTTCCAGATGCGAGCAGCATCGTAGCTGGCTCCAGCTAAGCAGAACCCATCGGGAGAATACGACAGCGCCATGATAGGTGAGCCGTGTCCAATGATGAGTTTGCACACTGACGTGATGGAATTGCTTTCCCTATCGTACTGCCAGACTTTGATAGTCCCGTCCATGGAAGAAGTGGCAAACTCTTGTTTCCACGAAGGGTTGAACGTGCTGGTTAAGCGAGGCCGAAGTTCAAGCCCTGTGATAGGTGTATCATGTGCCCCTCTCTTCAAAACGTTCTGGGCCGGCATCCACACAGAACCAGTCTCGGCGGATGCTGCAACCAAGATGGCGTCGTGTTCCCCGTGCCAGGCGCATCTGATAAAGGTCCATTGGTCGCCGTCGCTAGGTCCCGAAGTCCACCTCTCTTTACTCCCGATGTCTGTAAAGGCCCGAAAACAGTAGACTGCATTCTGCCCGGCAGCGCAGATGATGCCATTGCCGTCAAAAAAAGCACTGTCCACGTCGACCAGAATCTCGGGCACAGGGACCGTTGACGGTTCCGCAAGGCCCGACAATTTGGACAGATCCCAGAGGAGAATGGAGGAGCCTCCAGCTTGAGAAGGATCCGCAGTGTCGGAGTCGTAGGGAGCAATGCCGAGTAAGTGCGAGCCTTTTCGGTGCCACAGGAGCGATGTGATCGCTCTTTGCGACGCCGGTAGCGCCTCAAGCATGGAAAGTTCTTGGCCATCAAACAAATGTATCTGTCCAGACTGGTCGCTAAAGGTTGCGACTGCAAGAAGCTCCCCATTTGGCTCCCAGGCCATCGCACTTATCAGCTTCCCGTCTCCGGATTCTAGTAGCTCTTGGAAGCGAGGTGGTCCGATGGCATCTGGAGCCTGGTCGGCAGCATTCCAGAACCCGCAAAAATCGTCTCCCATTGCTGTTAGCAGTTTGTCGTCTCTGGGACGCCATGCAATACGAGTAAGGGGCTTCGAGGCTTCATGGTTATTACCGGAAGGTATTTGAAGGATGGTGGTGGATGCGCTAAGGTTTGCAACTTTGGCAGGAGCAACTTGAACACCGATGCTTTGGCCCGTGGCTAGAGTATGAACAGTCGGTAGCACAAGCTCAATATGTGGTTCGTGATTGTGGTGATCTGCGGCTAGTGATTCTTCGTCAATGTCCATTCGGTCATCAGCTTTGATGCCATTAATAACCGGGCCATTCTCGTCCGCACCAGGCTCGGTGGCAGACGGTGACCTGGCGTCGACAAGAGGGGCGAGGTGGCCATTCAGCATGTCCACATCCATCGCGGATGCATGGCCGTGTCGGTTCGCAGACGCTGAAGGTTTGCGCGCAACGCTTCCATTACGTTCTGAGCTGGGTGCTGTCTTCCGGCCTCGTTTGGGCGCGGGTTGTGCGGCCAAGGCTTCCTGAAGACCGTTTGTAATGCCATCGCGAGGCTGTCTTCGGGACTCCGAGACGGATTCAATTGGAGAAGGTGCTGAAATGACAGGTTCATCGGGCAGTTCTCGGGGGGGTTTCTCGCTCTCAGGGCCAAAGAAGAACATGGACGGATTGAGCTGCTTGGAGGGCCGGCCATTCTGGATCGGGGTTAGCGGGAGCACAATTCCCACCCACAGGTGAGTGGATTAGAATACCTCGTCAATTGTGAGCGATAAGTGGTGATAGCGGAGACCCTTTTGCACAAGAGAAACCAGGGCGTGGCCTTTGACACACTTCGCAAATGGGAGGCTCTCAGCGTCGACATTCCAATCGCGTTGAAGCTTGACAGCAGCCTCGGCGTAGCCTATTGGGATTGGTTTAGTGCTTTGCAGCCAGCGGTGGATCCCGGAACACGGTTCCTACCTGATTCCTGAAGATATCTGCGAAAATTCGTCAGTATGGCTCAGAAGGGACGAGAGCAGACGCGCGCACCTCCATATCAGATAATTCAGTTGGTCTGAAGTCAGTGGAGGCGGCTTTGCGCTGAACGTTGATGCAGCGTCGGTCTCCATGCCGACATTCCGCTTGAATTGCAGCCCGGCACTGAGTCGTCTCTTCGTGTCCAAGTTTTGAGGAGCGTTGGCCGGCAAATCGCAGTCCCCTGTACCGGGGGTTGGGATGCTAAGTCAATTAGACGACAGAGACTGCAGAAAGGAAAGATGCGCAAGATGATTTAGCTCGTCCCCGATGTCGTTGGTTGGTGAGGAAAATGAGGATGGATTGCCGGTGGACAAAAGTGAGGGTGGAAGCTATTAGCAGGGCGCAACAAAATAATGAAACAAAAGGTATTAAGATGATCGACACACGGTCTCGAGCGTGACAATTGTACAGGATTGAAGGGGAAAAGAAGTTGAAGGCGTGCAGATGGGCGATGGCCAGTTCGCAACGTGTTTTGACCAGGTTTCTCGGGGAAAAGTGGTGAATGGAGATGGCTTTTACAATGGATGGAATGGCAAGGTTGTCACTTTGTCACTTGTGAGAACCGAGAGAACAGCCTGCTAGGCCGCTAGGCTGCTAGGCTCTTTAGGCCGCTTGGGCTGGATGTGTGGCAGCGGTTTGGGGGGGACCCATTTAGCCATTTGGGGCCCAGTAGCACCACCTCGTTAGTGGGTTTGGGGCGGGAGAGCCAAGCACGGCATCCCTGGCACCCACCTGCAACCCCCAGGGACCCCCCGCCTGGAACCAATCAATCACCTGCAGCGGGCTGTTCGAGTTTCAGGTGTCCGCGCAGCCTCTGCCCTATGCCTCACCACCCCAAAAATCCCGAACTGCTGCACCTCTCGTACAACTACTACTACTACTAGGTACTACTCATAGCTTACCCGTAGATCGACGTTGAGTGACTCGATCCGCCACATCATCTTCATCGACCTGCCACTGTATCTCGTGACCACGACCGCGGCAGGGAGAAGCAGCTGCCACCGTAGCCTGTTGTGCGACCGTCAAGAGGGTGAACGCAATGCCAACTGTGTCTGGTCATGAGGGACAAATGTAATCAAATTATATGACAGCTGTCGATAACCACCAGATCTCATGTTCGATGTCGTCCTGCATTATTCCTGAACATCTGGCGTTCTTCTGGTCAAAGCCAAAGAAATTCAGCCACCTCCCCGTTCGTGCCTGTTACAGTTAGCAGCGCCTGCATGCGATTCAGAAGCGGCTAGGCGACTCCTGGGCCCTGCTGCGCAAATCTCTCCGGCCTCCTCGGGTTCAATCGACTTTTTGACATCGTGTAGGATCCTGCATCACAATCCCACGACCATCCTCCGTGCTTCAGACATCTCGACTGCGCCGCCCCCGGTCATCAGGATCGCTGTCTTCTTTGACAGCGCCGGGATGTGATTGAGGCCTTCGATCCCAGCGCAATGGCAATCCGCATCAACCTCCCTCCCGTTACTCGGGTCCTTCTTGGGATTCTTGTGTCCTTATCCTTCCTCTACAACATTGCCCGATGGAGGCTGTCGACAGACAATGCGAGTGTTGGCGACCCGGCAACTACGAATCCGCCCGTGCGCCCCATTGTCCCATATCTAGCCTTGGTGCCTTCTCAATGTATATGGTATCCTTGGACGTTTCTCAGCGCAACCTTTGTCGAGCAAAATATCCTTACCCTCCTGATCAACGGCATCAATATTTTCTTTGGTGGGAAATACCTTGAAAGAGCGTGGGGAACTCAGGGTTTTGTCTACGTTATCCTGATTTCTTCTATAATACCCAATCTCCTGATGGTCGCGACCTACATCATCTGGGGCGCCCTTACCGGTAATCCTGAAAGCGCCATGATTCCCATAACGGGGGGCATTTCGACACAGGCGGCATTCCTGGTTGCCTTCAAGCAGCTCGTCCCCGAACATACCGTCAGCATATACAAGGGCATGATCAAGATGCGCGTCAAGCACTTTCCGGCAGTTTTCCTCGCGCTGAACACCTTGTCGGGTCTGATCATCGGCACCGACGTTGCTCTTTTCCTCGCTTGGTACGGATTGATCACAACTTGGACATACCTCCGCTTCTACAAGCGCCAGCCTGATCTATCAGGGACGGGGACCGATGGCCGGGGCTTGAAGGGCGATGCTAGCGAAACATTCGCCTTTGCGACGTTCTTTCCTGATGTCATCCAACCACCAATTGCCGCATTTTGCAACCAAGTCTACATTCTACTGTGCAATCTGAAGATCTGCACGCCTTTTTCGGAGGAAGAAATTGCGACTGGAAATGAACAAGCCGCTGCGAGAGGGGAAGCAGGCCTTCCGAGTTTCAACAAACACGCACGCGGAGCACGGGGCATGAGCAAACGGGAAGAGGCCGAACGACGGCGCGCGCTGGCCCTCAAGGCATTAGATGAACGGCTCAATGCTGCAGCCAGTCGAGCGCCCGTTCAGCCAACCACGACGAGTGCGCCCGACTTGCCAAAAGGACAAGAGATGCTCGGACAAACCGACTATCGCCCAGATGAATGACTTCCTTTCTGTGATTGGTTGCCCTGGGCGGAAATTAGATATATATATATATATATAATTCTTTCTGGCAAGAGATCCTGATTCCCTCTGTTCCCTACCGAATGGTATCAGCATGTTGGAATGTTATAGCTTAACTCTGCTCCTCTGTACTTCCTTTGACAAGACTACGATACAAGCCCAATCTCGGTCTTGGCCCTTCGACACTTTTGTTCTGCGAGGGCGGCAAGATCCGAGCCAGTCATTTAGCATCCACCATGGTCACTTCTGCCACCCAAGACTTTACCACTGATCACTCTCTTCTCACCCTCAAATTCGCCGCCCGAGAGTCCCACCTTCATGGTGCCGTCTGCCAATCAATTATGCACGCTTCCAACAGCTTTGTGCCCATGTACCTTCGAATTCATCGTGGTGCCACCGGATAGAATACTTGCATCTTGGCGGGAGCTTTTGAACCGTTTGACTGTTTTCCTATTTATGCTCCGCGCTCGATTTCAGTGTACAGGTGCTTGAACTACGCATTGCGACTCGTCAAATGCCCAGCTCTACCATTTCGGTCCCTTATCTGCTTTGTGGAGACCATGATGGATTTCTGCGGATGCAAGATCGATTTGGGATGCAACCCTGCGGCATGGCCAGGTAAGTGAAGGACGCCGGAGCTACTGCAGACTTGCTCAAGCTATGTCATATACTATATATGAGCTGTCTTCTGGATGTCGATCTCGGGGGTGGTTGTGGTTGTGTCTTCATCACTCCTCCGGGTCCCCCATACCTTCAGGTCCAAAGGCTCGATTCAAGAATGGCCTCGATAAAGTCTGCCGCGTCCCTCGTGGCTCTGGTGAGCGCAGTGCAAGCTTCTCTCTATGGTGAAAGTAATCAGAACCACACTTGCATCCTAGGTAAGTGAAGAGCTGTTTCAGGGACATCTTCCGGCTCTTATCTTTCCACAATTGCATGAGATCTCTCTAATGTCACCTGGCAGACCCCGCTGTCCTCTCCTGTTCTCCAGGAGCTACTCCTGACCAAGTCGACAGCTGTTGCACGGAGACTTTCGGGGGCCTTCTTCTCTCGACACAGTTTTGGAACACCTATACTGGTCTCGAAGCTCAAGGCCAAAAGCTACCACCCAACTCTTTCACGCTTCATGGACTTTGGCCAGATGAGTGTGACGGTTCCTTTGGTAAGGCGATGGCTATATATACCTAACTTATCTATAGATATAGTAAGTAATTAACTCTTACTCTAAGGCCAGTATTGCGACCTAGCGAGACAATACGACCCAGCTCCTTCGCCCAATACCACGAACGGTCTGCCCAACGGGACTGTGGTACCTCCTTATACTGGTCCCAATATCGGAACGTTTCTTGAGCCGTTCGGCCGGTATGACCTGTTGGACTGGATGAACAAGTATTGGATCAACCAAGGCGGCCCAAATCACGACTTCTGGGGCCACGAATTCTCCAAACACGCCACCTGCTATTCGACCTTTGATCTACCTTGTTATGGGCCTGAATACGTCGAACACGAAGACGTGTTGGACTTCTTCCAGACGGCTATCAAGTATTACAAGAGATTGCCGACGTGGGAGTGGCTAAACGAGGCCAAGATCGTTCCCAGCAACAGCACGACCTATACGTTGAGGGACATCCAGGGCCAACTAGCGAAGAAATACGGCGCGGTGCCATATGTCGGATGTACCGGGCCAAGGTATAATACGACGGCAGAAGGAATAGCGGCAAATAGTACTGACAGTGGCCGCACCGTCATCAGCGAAGTGTGGTATTACATGCATGTGAGTAGCCTTTCCCAGAACAAGGCTGAAGGCCCTAGGATGGGTTTCCGGGGGAATGCTGCTTTGGGCTGTAGTGGCTAACGATTACTACGCGTGTCCAGGTCGTTGGACGTCCTCAAGACGGCAATTCTATCCCGGTCAATGCCACGAGTCCAAACACCACCTGTGCGAAGGCCAAGGGTGCCATACACTACTATGAGCCGACGCCGGGCTCCGTGCAGGGAAGCTAGATTTGCTGGCTCATGTACGTGCCGCGGTCCAGGGATATCTGCCATGAGATTGTGCAAAGTGGGAAACAGACAAGGGGTTTGTACATAGCAAGGCATCAAAAGGGGGTAGCAAACCGACCAAGAGTCCGTTACCTGGAGAAGTCGCACGGACTAAACCCCCATGAGAGCTAATTGATAATTGATAATGGCACGTGTCTCGTGGGTCTGGCCAAGGTTAACAAATACCGAATGAAGTGCTGTTTTGAGCAACTGGAGTGAGAGAAGGATGAAGTCCACAGGCAGACGGCATGTGACGAATGCCTGAGGCTCAACCGTAAATACTTCCACAGTCCCGACCTAGAAATTGAAGTATGACTAGATCCTCTCCATCAGAACCGCTTGTATTGCAGTGGAGGTACTGTTTGATTCCTCTTTGACCATGGCCGTCACCGAGCTGGCCCGACTCCGGCTGCAAGGTGGCACCGATGTCTCATCCCCATCGCTGCGTGCCAACTTGGCCAAGGCGAAAGACGTGATGGAAAAGGCCAGCGGATTTGAATTCTGGTATTACCATTGTGTCGAGGAGCCGAATGTCATCTTCATTCTGGGATCGTGGCCCTCTGTCGACTTCCACATGCACGAGTTCATCCCTGGGCCTCAAAACCAAGAACTGCTACAACTGCTCAAAGACCAGGTCACGGTGGAATGGATGTTCCACCTCGATATCGACCAACGCACACAACCACTACCTCTCCAGCGAGACGTCCTCTCAATTGGCCGACACATTGTCAAAGGTGGTGAGAGGGAACGATTCATGGCTACGTTCCGAGACAACAAACATGTATTGGAGTCTTACGTGGGGGAACCAGGCCGACTTGTCTGGGGATGGCGCCTCGACAGAGGATACGATCCATCCATCAAAGAGGAGGAACCGAAGGAGCAGTTCGTGCTCTTGACTGGCTGGGACAGCATTGAACAACACCTGGGGTTTGCCAACACGGAAGAATTCCAGAAGTACAGTCAGATCAGGAACCACATGGAGGAGGCATCGGATATCAAGCATGCGAGATTGATGCGGGTTGGGGAGATGCGGCAGTGAAGGACGAAGCTGGTCTCGCTAGTGCCACTGGCTAGAGCATCGGTTCCACGGGCTCTTCTATTCTATCAGCCGCGGCATGGTGAGGAAAGGCGCAGTCGGTGCTTGATTTGCGCGAGGCATTTTTGTTTGGGATGATCAACATGGCTGCATGGCTTGCTTCGGGACGGTCGGTGCCTCGCTGACACCGCTGGAGCGAGCTCAAGCCTCAAGCTGCCAAGCAGGAAGCTTGACGCGGCCGCCAACTGCAGTTCCAGTGGCACAGCGCGCACAGAGTGGTTGAGAGCAAAGTAAACGAAGACAAGGGGACGAAGGGAAAAAGCACACTAACCAGCGCCAGCTATCTGTCACATGGACCGTCTCCTCCTCCTCGCCCAAGAGGAGGTGTTGATAGTATTTGATATCATGTCTCGCTGACTCCTTGCTGCTCCTCCCGCCTCTTTTTTTCTAATTTGTACCTGACCAGAAGAGAAAAAGCCATTACTTTGCGCGTCAGATCAAGGAATCAACTGCGTATTCAGTAGTCAGTGGACCTCACTGCCCATCATTAGCCACTACGGGCAGCAACTGCGCCACGCCATCATCTCCCTCCACCTGGCTAGTCGGTCTAGGCGATAGTCATCATCGTCAGCAGCCTTCTGCTTCCGCCACGCCGCCCCGGAGCAGCACAGAGCATCCCTAAGGCACCGCTCATTTCAGACTTTTTGTGGGCTTTGTGTGGGCTGTTGCGGGCGCTTGCCTTGCCGCCCACCTGACGTTCACTGCTCTTACCTAACGACTTTAAGGCTTCTTCGGACGTTCACCTTGGCCATCCGTCAATCTGGCATTCTTCGCCTCACCTCTTCTTTACCAAAACATCCCAACTGTGCGCACAGTGACCGATCGAACCGGCCGCAGCTATTCGGTCACTGAGACGCCTAGCCGCTCGTTTCGGGATCAACCCTCGCGTCGCCGCACCGTCGTCGGAGTTTCCAACGAACTCAGCCAGGACTCCCGCGGCCAGCGGCCTCCCGAGAACATCTACAGAGGCACATCGCTGCAGACTGCGCCCATCTACAGAAAAGGAGGAAGTATGTCGAAAGTCGTGAGGAGTGTGAAAAATGTCACAAAGGGATATAGCAGCGTTCAGGTCAAGGTGCGAAATGGTACGTGTTGGCTGCCACCCACCGATGCCTTCATTCAGATGCTGAATCAATGGAAAAACAGCTACCTCCAACGATCCGTGGGGCCCGACGGGCACGGACATGGCTGAGATCGCTGCCCTCACGTTCAACAAGTAAGATCCGACTGATGAGGGGGTTGCTGCCTGTGCTGACGCCGCCCGTACAGCCCAAGTGACTTTTACGAGATCATGGATATGCTCGATAAGCGGTTGAACGACAAGGGCAAGAATTGGCGACACGTGCTGAAGTCGCTGAAAGTCCTCGACTATTGTCTGCACGAGGGCTCCGAATTGGTGGTCACCTGGGCCAGAAAGAACATTTACATCATCAAGACATTGCGAGAGTTCCAATACATTGACGAAGATGGCAGAGACGTCGGGCAGAATGGTGAGCTCTTTCGCAACACTCACCGAAATCGCATATGCTGATTGATGCAGTCCGTACATCTGCCAAGGAATTGACTTCGCTCATTCTGGACGAGGAGCGTCTTCGCAGCGAGCGCTCCGATCGGAAGCTGTGGAAAACCCGTGTCACAGGGATCGACGAATATGCGCCCCAGGCTATTGCTGGTCCTACGTATCCACAACGAAGGCACACAGACCGACACGCCGACACCCGCGAAGATCAGGAAGAGCGGGATATCCGGGAGGCGACGAGACTCAGCAAACTTGAGGAGGAGGAAAGGGCTCGGAGAGAGAACCAGGACAAGAGTGCCGATGATAATGATCCAGCATTAATGAGAGCCATCCAGCTCAGTAAGGAAGAGGCAGATCAGCGCGCCCGGCAGTTGGAGGATCAAAACGCTACTTCGCTTTTTGACGATACTCCTGCGCCTCCGCCGGCGCAAAGTCAACCAACCGGATACAATCAGGGCTACCAGCAACAGCCCGCTGTGGATTGGTTTGGCAATCCACTTCAACAGCAACCACAGAGCACCGGGTTCTTGAACAATCAGTATTCCCAACCGCAACAGACCGGCTACCAAGCCGGATTCCCTAACGGCTTTCAACCTACGCAACCGACAGGATACGATCAATTTGGCCAACAGCCATTCCTGCAGCAGCAGAACACCATTCAACCCCAGCAGACTGCCTTTCAGACCAACAATCCGTATGGTGTGCAGCCTTCCGGTGACCTGTTCGGAGCACAGCCATCTCAACAAAATAACCTGCAGCCTGGAACCAATAATCCCTGGGCCTCTCCATCGCCCCAAGTCCCTAATGCTCTACAACCGTTGCCTACCGGATCCAACAATCCCTTCGCACAAAAACCGCCGCAGTCATCCCCTTCGCCCTTCGCTCGGCCAAGCACTCAACCTTCGTTGGGCACTCTGTTCGAGTCGCAGCCAACTACGCAATTTACACAGCCCCTCCAACCCAACCCGATCACGAATTTCTCGGCGCCGCAACCGGCCTTTCAGCAACAGCAGAAGCCAGTCAATCCTCAGCATGCCAAACTCAATGCCTTGCTGGCTTCGGGAGAAGGACAGGATACATTTGGAAACACGGGCGATTTGCGTATTCCTGCCCAGCACACTGCGCCAGGGACCTTTGTCAACTCGGCTGGGCAAGGTCTCGATCGCCTCCGTGCTGCTCAGACCGGCACCAATCCATTCTTTTCGGCGCAAGCTACAGGGTTCGGCCAGGGACAAGGCGGATATGGCCAACAAATGCCGGCTCAAACTGGACCAGTAGGTGGCTTTGCGGGCGGATATGGCCAGCAGAACGGTAACCCATTTGGAGCCCGACCGGTGGGGCAACAGGGCGGAAGCCTGATTGACTTGTAGACCTGGGGAAGTACGATTGTGTTGACATTTTGGGAGGGATCCCTGGCTAAGAGACGGAATTCTTTTGCACACCGGACTATCATGCTACGAGATTGGCCTCTGGTAAACTATCGTTTATACATACGATGTATTGCTTGACAGGAGTTTATTCTTAGGGCTCGAGGATTACATGGCAATCACGATCGTATAATTATCCGACGAACCCGAATTCGGGATGCTCAGCATTCTCAATTTCGCGGTGCAGGTTGTCGCAAGGCTGAAAGCAGATCGTGGTGTCTTGGATGAAGGTATCCGGAGTGCCAAAGCGCTCAGTGCCTACGAACTGCGAGCTCTAAGCGAATTATTTTTAGCTGGACTTCAGGTTATTGTCGCTTGCCCCGTCAGATACTCGTGGACTGTCGCGTATGAGGCGCACACGCATGAATTAGAGGAAGCCGGAAGGGGTAAAGCCCCTCAGCCTCATCTGCCTCAAGTTTCCCAATGCAGACAGAAGGCGCAACTGGGTTTGATTGCGTCCGCGGGCCTTATGACGCCTGCGTTTCCCTTTTGTTTCCACCCTTCCCTGCGCGTCTTCCATCGATTCCTCCACACTCCTCGTGGTTTTTCTCAAAGCGGAGGAGTTGTGTGCTGCATTTGACCATCATCAAGTGCGTCCGTTCTTTATTGCTTTGCTAGTTGTACCCTCATTTTGCCAATATCTGCGGAGCATTGCCAACGAGATACCCCATCCCGCATTAAGCCCCATCGAAGTTCGCAGGCGGAAACCGCACCAAAACCCGTCAATCCCGCCGATGCGCTCGCACTTCCACCTTGTAGCCTGCCTGGCGACACTGCTGTCCTCCTCTCTTGGGCTCGAATTCACCGCCCCAAGCTCCAATTCACAAATAGACCCAAGCAAGAGCGTGGTCATTTCATGGTCTCTCAGTTATACGGATCCATCAACTATTGACCTTAAACTTACCAGCTCCGATTCGGACACCGATCTAACCATTGCAACTGGAGTCGTTTCATATACTGGCTCATACACTGTACCAGCCGGCACCATACAAGGCTCGGGGTCGGGCTATAAGATATTGGCTGTTGGAAATGGGGATACCCTTGCCCAGATTACTGGATTGACATTCGGTACCAAAGGTGGCCAGAGTTCAAGTGGAGATAATGGGCCGGTGACCATGGTCACAACAGCAACTGTCGTTCCAGTTGCTTCCACTGCTTCAGCTGGGCGCGATGGTACCGATAGTAACGTCCCAACGGCAACGATCAACTCGGTTGGGGTTGTTACCCTACCAGGAACAGTGACTGGAAGTATAGCAACAACTTCTGCGTCCAATTCACGCACTGGAAGCAGCTTTGCGACCAGCACAACAAGCCAAGCAGGCAGCGAGTCCAACGGCGCTGTTGCGCCAACTACTGGAAGCACAAATACCGCCAACGGTCAGAGACGACGAAGTGGTGAACTCGTCCTCAGTGCCGCCGGTCTGTTGGCAGGTGTTATTGCTCTTTTGGCATGAAGCTTAAATGTATTCTACCTGCTTATACCCCATATACGCCTGGCATGTGCTCTCATGATACAGCCTTGTCTGCAGCTTGCGCACAAGGTCTTGAATGCCAAATATATTCTACAAGTTATAATTTTCTTCGAAATGGGAGACTTGAAGCGTTTGCCAATCTGCGGTGGGATCTTTTTGCTGGTCGCTTCGTGGAGTCTGGTCCGGTTTATGAGTTTGGAGAGGGCAAAGGTGAGTATTGGCAGTACGTCGCCCATCGAGTATGAATATTCCTTATTCCCACCATTCACCTGTTGTTATAGATGTGCCATACTGGGTATTTGGTCCTGTTTACTTCCCTTGCCGATCCTTGCAAGTCTGCTTCGCCTAGGAGTTTATCGTTCACGTTTTCCACGTCGGCTTCTTCTTGAGGTTTCAGGCAAGGTATCCGTGGAGGAAACTGCTGGCATGTTGGAACAATCTCATATAATAGATGTCCTACAAGTTCTCTGTACGGGTCAAGCTTTTCAAACTGAGAAACAACGATGTTGTGGACCGCATTCGAAAGGGAGGCTGCAGTGGCGCCAATCAACTCCCTCCTCGCTAAGTTGCCGCTCCTCAGTGGCTGATCGGTGCCGGATGGGCCTCAGTCGTGAGAAGATGGCAAGGATCTCCTGAGCAAGAGGATGCCATTACACCAGGCCTGCGAGCATGAAGAATGTTATCTCGTCACTCTGAAAGGTTTGCTTTAGACAATACTGCCGGCCGCTATTGAGCAGGCTATGGCGTGTTGCACTGCCGGGTTGACAGGGAACATGTTACAGCGGATGCAGGCTTTCGTTGCGCAGCCTCACAGGTCGAGTCATGGAGACCCAGGGCGAGACGCTCAGGCATCACAGAGCAAACATCGCGGCCTAGCTATTCATCTCTCCTCAGCTTCCTTCCCCTAACCACATACGGGTGCAGCCCTATTTGATAGTACCAGCGTCCGCATCTCTGCGCTATTAACGATACCTCACAGTTCGTTCATACTGATAACCTGCAGAACTAGGGCATGAACCTCTCCCCACGTATTCGACAGACATCTTACTATGCCAAACCCTCCCGTTCTACGAGCGCGTACCTCTACTCGATCTACCCGCTCCGCGGTCAGGAAGCCAAACTTGTCTCGCAAAAAGGGTCCATCTTTGGAAGAATGGGATCGTGTCAGACCATTCATTCATCGATACTACATCGAAGAGGGGAAGAAACTGAAGGACATACTCGTCCTTTTGTCTAAGGAACATGAGCTTGAGGCGGCGTTAGTCACAAAGAGATGTTGAGGTGGACGAGGCTAACACTTTGTGCAGTGATCACATGTTGAAAGAGAGACTCAAGCAGTGGGGATACAAAAAGAACTTTACGAAAAAGGAGCATAAAGCTGCTGCCGAAGAAGCAAAACGCTGTGCAGACTCGGGTCTTACGCTGCCCACCTGCATGGAAATAGACGGTCGTCCGTATGCGTGGGATCGTGTTTACCGTCATTTTGGTTCTGATCCTCAGTACAAGTGCTCCTGGCTGCAGAGCGACGTGGGATGGAAAGCGATTTTGTCAAAGATTTGCCTGAAAACATCTCCTCCCGATCACAAGATAGAGCTTGTGTTAGGTGAAGTCAAAAATCATTGGTATACCACGCTTGAAAGAGCCGAAACGCTTTCCTCGGTGAGAGCAAAACGTAAGGCGACGACGCGCGCAGAAACGGATCCCAGAGAGATCACACTCGGGTTCCTCACGTCCTTACAACTCTTGCGGGAAGGCCACGAGGCACTCGGCCGACGAGAGATGAACAACTTGTGCCTCGATCTGGAGATAGCCCTCGAACAGAGGGAGCCAGATCTGTTGAAGGAAATCATTAACATATTCACTGCGAAGGCTTGGGTCAGACAGCCCGACATATTTGTCAAAGTCGCCAAATACGTTCGTAATTTGTCTGCCAATTCCCCGTCGCTCGGGCCATGCCATCCGTTCACAACAATATTGGATGTCTTTGCGTATCTCGGGCAGCACATGGAGCTCCTCGATACATTTGCGGAGCTTGCGCTCAAAGTCATGATGGATTTGGCAGAAGCAGGCGGGGATCGAGTGAAGCTCGACCGCGATTATATCTGCGCCGTGGAGACAAACTACATCTCCAGGGTTCAGGCCAGGCTTGAGTGGCGGGACGCGAAAGACCTGCTCGAGAGGAAGTTTACGCACTACAGACGGACCCTCGGCGAGCACAATCATTACACGTTATCCATGCAGGCGGCGCTGGGCAGACTGTACTTGGACGACGCCGCGCGAGCACGCAAGGCGAGGGAGAAGCAAAATGAAGGCATGTCGCAGCGCGAAGCCGAGGACATTTTTGTCAAGCTCGTGAAGATGGGCGAGAAGAATCCCCACGACTGTTCACGGAACGGGATCTATATCAGCTCGGCGGCGGCCCTGGGGGAATTGCACTTTGCGAGACAAGAGTTTGAGAAAGCGCAAGACTATTACTGCAAGGCCCTGGTCTGGGCGGCCGACAAGTTCGGCCGTTCACACCCCTATATTTCGGTTCTGCTGAAGGAATTCAGAGCGCTTCAGAAACTGGGGGAGCTCGGTCTGGTCGAGGTCAAGATGGAAGAGAAAGAGGATGCTCAAGGAGCGAAAGGCAGCCCGCTACAAGATTGTCCGGATGTGGAGGCTTGTGGGGGAGCGCCCGAAGGGCAAGTTGACATCGACTACAGTCACGAGTCTTTCGCCATGTTTGGGGAGGAGACTTTGTCCCCGCTGGCACCGGATTGGCTTCCCGCTTTGACGAATGAAGCGGCGCAGGACGTGGACGATGGCAACGGGGCGTTTCCCTCCGAGTTCTTGGACTCTTACATGGACACAGATTCTCAAGAGCCCTGGCGTGAAAACGTGCAGGAAGATCACGCCCCTAGTGCATGGGATTTCAATGCCGTGGCGACTGATGTTCCGCAAAGCCTCGATGCTGAGCCAGTGTATGACGGACATGTCGCTGTTGCTCCACAGAATCTATTGGCCTTCCTTCAGGATGACCTGCCTGAGTTCAACTTTGACATGGACGACATGAATCAGCTTCTGGCCTTGCAGTAGAGCCAGTGTATGTCCTTGGCCTTGATGATGGTTACGGGTTGAATGAAAGCTTTCACCCAAAGAAGTAATGTTGGATTGTCGAATTTGGCTTTCGGGACGAGGCTACGTCCCCTTCCTGCCGCTGAGCACCCGGACCCTGAAAGTGGATTCTCGCCGCTTGGATTTCGTCTCGGCTACCACTTCAAGATAGTCTGTGCGGCAGCCAATTACAGGGACGACCGTGTTGCTTGAATGGGAAGGTCGTGGACTATATAGTCACTTTACAGTTTGCTGTGATGGCATGTAAGGACTTAGCCAGACCGCGCAGCTTCGAAACCGACCCACACAAGAAACCCGAACAGCACCGTTTCAATTCCCTTTCGAATTGAGGATATTTGGACGGTCCTATTCCATTCTGTAGCTCTATCTTGACATTGTACCTTGTGTCACCAAGAAAAGAATCGAGATCAGCGACAGAGGACGTGTGCAAATGGGGAGAATGTTGAACACGAATACTAGCTTTCACTTTGTTATAGCCCCAACGTCAATTCGAAACACCCTTTCAATCCACATCTATTATCCAACTACCTAGGTAGTAGTCATTCGCTCTGGAGCTGCTGTATGATAGGTATTTTAGCTGCAGTACTCATCACATAGACCCAGTGCCCAGCTATTTTCTCCACTGATGTAAGATATTGACTATCTGGAAAGGGAGCCCTCGGACAGATATTTTCGGAGCGCCGTAGATGTCAACTTAGCAGGGAATTATGATACGTAGGGTCGAGGCATCTTCTTGGATAGACCTGCCATTCCTTCCTGAAAACACTGAAGTAGCAAGTTCCAAACGGGGCCGTGGAAGAACATGTCAACGGCTCTTGACAGGTGGTACACGGACCGTCCTCGCCGTCTCGCTTACTTGGGTTAGCATGGGTTGGAATTTACACTAGTCCTATCAAGGAAATAGTTCTTGGTAGGCTCGACAAGTACTTTTGCTCTCTTTCTCTCAGGTCCTTCTTCTCCATTGCCTGGCCACTACCTTTCATCTTTCATTGCATGCAAGTGAACGGCATTCACGGGCTTGAAAGAATAGAAGGGCGAGGTAAACCAAACCTTGCTCTGGGCACTGAGATTTCACCAGCCTGTTGACGATCAATTCGTGCCGTGATATGTGCGACCAGATCACGAGCACTGATCAATCATGATTGGCCGCGACAAAAGTTGTTGTGCCAGAAGCCTGACGGCACAAGATGGCTGACCTGTTCCATGACAGCCTCACTGCCCGCAACCTATCTAACCTGATTAAGCGTGGTTGCCTTTGAAGTTAACAACTTTTGCTAAGCTTTCTAGCTGATCAAGGTATGCTATATATTCCACACGCCTATCTCAATGTCTCTGGGCCGTTAGGTATCTCTCCGTTTCCGTGCGGTATCCTTTTGTTGTGAATCATCTCTTGTTACTACATTTGCTGCCTTTTTAGCATCCTTTACCCTGGCCCGGCTCTCAATCAGGCTGAAGTGACAAATCTCGACCCTCCCTGCCATCACATCAGTTGCTCTCTGACGACATGGCTCGTACACAGTTCAAACGGTCTCGAAAGCGGGCTCCAAGCGAAGCAGAGTGGCAACGTATCAGGAAATATTGGCATCAGTTGTACATTCGTGAGAACCTTCCCCTGTCGGAGGTATCTGCGAGACTTGCACGAGAACACAACTTTGAAGCAGGGTAGGCGACAGCTCTCTAAATTATATTATCTGCTAATTCCAGAAGATTGTCCATGTACAAAACCCGGATGAAGCAGCTGGGGACAAGGAAGAACTTCAAAAAGGAGGAACTGGCCGCGGTTGCAGACATTCTCGAAATCTTTGTGCAGGCTGGGTTAAAAACACCGACAGCCATTGTCAATGGTCAACCTATTCCGATCCAACGTGTCAAACGATATGTCGGCTCCTTGTCTGCTAACAACCCATTGAGAAACTCGACAAACATCAGGTCTTCTCCAGGGAGGGCTTATCTGCACACTCTGAAGAGTTTCCTGGATCGGCACAAGCTGCCAAATTGTGACCATCCACGCCGACCAACGGCTATGCCAAGGATCTTCTTGAAGCAGTCTGAAGACATGCACGACCTCGAGCTGGCGTTAGTTCAAGTGAACAATTATTACGGATGGCGACTTCAGCAAAGTGACGACTACTTTCTGCCACAGATGGCCAACACCGGACGTCATGCCGACTCGGATGTAGCGACTCCAGTCGTGTTCTTCGACACTACCTATCACGTCTGCACTGCATTCGAAAGTGGTGTGTTACATATCACTCAGAACGCAGTGAGATCGCTGCACAATCATGCACCATTGTTGCTCCAGCAGCAACGCCGAGATCTCCCCGAACTGCTGCTATATCACTGGATCCTAAATTTTGGGGGCAATAGTCATCCAGCGAAACAGTGGATATACTCCTACCTCTTCAGTGTAGCCAAGATCGTTCTTCAAGAAAGTCACCCCATATCGATGATTCTAAAAGTGATACAAAGCCACGAGACACAACAAATGTCAGCATGGCTGCTGTTGAACTTGATGCGAGACGTGACCCGGAGGCAAGAGGAGTGCGATTCTATGCTGGTCTTCGAAATTGAATTTGATATTGGCAGGGCCTTGACCGAGCACGAGGATTTTCGTACAGCCTCCGAATATTGGCATAGTTTGCTGCACCGAAACGTGGACGAATTTGGCGAAGAGCACGAGTCCTGCAGAAGGGTATTGTTCCAGATTGGGTTTTTAAATTATGTTCACTATTTCACCGACCAGGCAAGAAAGTTTTGGCAGCGAGTTTTGGAGCGAGATGATGCCTACATCCAAGGCGGTGAGGATATATCGGAAGGTACCTTGAATGCTCTAGAGGGGCTTGCAAGGATTTGTGAAGAGACACAAGACCTTTCTGGGGCAGAGGAGTGGTATCTCAAAGCCTACAACGCTGCTTGTCATGTATATGGCCCAGAGGACGCTGAATCGTTACTCCGTTTACACGACCTTAATCAAGTGCGGGCAAAATTGAGAGAGGGGAGGGAGATGGCTGCGGTCCATTCTGTAGGCGATAAAGACGTCTTCGAGGAGCTTGAAGTGGAGATCGCGCGGCTGCAGTTATTACAAGCAGGTGAAGAATCTGGGAACCCCAAGTTACGCGCTGAACCGTGGAACGAGTGGGAAGAGGACGTTCCTGATGAGGAGGACAACACCAACTCTCCGAATCCCGGTCCGATGGAGGTTGCTACAACTACCAGCAAGACGCTCGGTGAAGACGACCCTCAGAACCCGACCCAAGCTGAATTCACAGACACTGGGGACAGCACATCTCCTGACACGGCACTGATTTGGGACAGCACAAACGACCATGGAACCTGGACCGAGCATGGTCCGTCAGCACACGCACAGTCCTTGGAAGGCCTTCAGCAGGGCGGGATTTTTGAAGTATTTGGAGAGGACGGAATGGACTTTATGTCGACTCCTTTGACTGATGCGCACGGACTGGTCAACGAAGCCCAAGCAGCGTTCGTGCCCGAGAAATCCGCTGATCCGCTGTCACTGCCAACCAGTGGGCAAGATTTATCCGCTGCGTCGCCATACATTGGGACCCTCCCTAACCTCAACAACGACCCTGACTTTGAAGAGTTCGATAATGTTGGGAATGCCGGCGACAACTTTGACGTTGACCCCATGATGCTCGATTTTGACGGCGGCTTCAGCATGTTCGATCTTGACTTCTCTGATGGTGTCGACCTGCAAGCATTCCACGCCACTGAAGGCCAGGATCTTCATGGGGTGCAAGATTTCTTTGCGTTTTGAAATAGAGGGCGCCAACGAGCGTGGGAATGGTTTCTGGGGACATCGAACAGGATCACGGCGTTTTGAGCGGAGTAATTCGAGAGGACGGCGTCAAAAGAGAGTATCGAACGGCGGATGCTGCACGCATTTTGGGTAAGCATTTCACTGACTGAGGATGGATGGAAAACGGGACGGGATGCGACCAAGAGACGTCAAGAGAGAAATGGCTGACGAAGGGACGAGAGACATTTCCGGAGTATTGGATTTGATCGAAGCAGGAATGAATGTTTTTGTCAATATGCGGAGTATTTGGGTTCTCTGGATAGATTGTATGGTAACACATAATGGACCTATGTCTCTTGATTCCGTCCATGGATAGTTTGGTCGATATTCTCCCACGATGAATAATTCTAGACTCGATCTACATACACCATGTCTTCTCAGACCATATCTACCCGTTCTCTACACAACTTTACAATTCCACCGGTGTGGACTGGGCAATGATTCTGCCTTTGGCGAGTATGATCCAATGCGGATGTATATAGCTGACGCCCATCGTAGCGGGACTAGGCTGGATGTGCGTGGCTTGATTTTTTTGGTCGTGCCGACTATTCTTCGTGTCTTTCGCCGAGTTTCCGATGAGATCCAGGACTTGGCATCATCTTGTCGGCTGGTGTGCGCTGGTTGTTGTGCACGTATTGAGTCAGCGGACAGATAGGGATTGAATGGACCTTCTGATGCGGCTGAGTGGGACGCCTGCGGTCTGTTCAGGACAGGTCATTTTGCTTCATGATTTGCCGCGTATATGAATTTAGCTGGGGTGCTGTGTCGCTGTGGCCGTCGACGCCGGTGTCTTGTATCGGTTCCCTTGATCTCATTGAGCGGCGAGTCGATGCATAAGCGTGCTGCGTTTCGAAGCTGTTGGCTGCAGCAACTGAGTGTGCTGGCGACACCTTCCTTTAATGCAATCCCGCTGGCATGCCCAGAATACCAGCGCATCGAAACTCGAAGATTCCCGATGCGAGGCACCCTCCCGTTCCCTCTGCCACTTTCCACCACCGATTCCCCAAGGCGAGACCTCACATTCCCAGCTCCTTTCTCTGGTGATATCATACGAGGGTATTCACCGCTTCACCTTCCACTCATACTCGACCGGCATCTCCATGCCCACCCGCCGGGCGGTCAACCGCACCCTCTCTTCCTCGTCCATGCCCATCCCTGGGTTATACCGGTGCAGCAGGGTGCCGTACATGCGCTGCGCGCGCAGGTACATGACGAACTGCTCCAGCTCCTGCAGGCGGGCGCGTTGTTGGTCCGAAGGGGCATTCGTCTCTGACGGGGGTTGTTGTTGCTGGAGCGAAGGCAGGTGCGAGCGGATCGAGGCGTGGATGGGCGATCGCGGCAGCGTGTGCCGGGGTTGAGACGTCGGAGGGAGTTCGCGCAGCAGACGGCGGTAGAGGGTCCGGAGGGACGGGGCGGGAGCGGTGGACATGGTGCAGATTGAGGCGGTGGTGTTGGGTTGTGGGATGGAAGATGGGAAGAAGAGAGCTGGATTGATTGAAGGTCTCGAGATTGGATTGAGTTCGAAATGGGCAGTTTATTTTCTTCGCGGCAAAAGACGCCGAGGCCATCATGCTATCGATAACTCGCCCAACTGGTCTACACGGTTCCGCTGCTTTTAGATATGACGCATTTCTCATTCACCGTCGGCACAAGGCCGAACAGGGAGAGTCTAGAGGATATCTAGCTGTCGGATGTGTTTTTAGACGCTCGTGATCTCTAATGCCATCTACTTGACCTATTTCGCACGTTGGTACGCTGTCCGCTAGTAATGCTACCGGACGAGCATCATCGACTGCGGTACAATAAGAGGATGTACTTCCAGCAGCACGGCCTGAAGAAGCCACGACAAGAATCTCTCGCTACTGCTCGTTCAGCCACTTGTACACTACCCGCAAGTCCTTTCCGGCGTATCTCGGATCACTCGCAACCTCTCCCAAGGTCTTCAGTGTCTCGAGCGAAACCACGGGCCTCGCCCCAACCATCTTGGCCAACTGCACGCCCAGCGTCAGATCCTTCTGGCCAAGTTCTATCCGGAAACCACCGTTGTAGTCGTTACTCGCGGCGCCGCCGGGCGTGATGCCGGGCACCGGGTTGTTCTTGAGCGTGATCCAGCTCATGCCGCTGCTGGAGTTGACCGTGTCGATCAGGTCCTCCATGTTGAGGCCCAGCTTGGCCCCGATGTTCAGCGCCTCGCTGGCCACCAGCACGTTGTTGATGGACATGTAGTTGTTGATCGTCTTGAACGCCGTGCCTGTCCCCACGACGCCGCACCGCCGGACGCCGGAGCCCATGTGCTCGAGCAGAGGCTTGATCTTGGGGAAGACGGCCTCGTCACAGCCGACCATGATGGTGAGTGTGCCTGCTTGGGCGCCGAGCGGCCCGCCAGAGATGGGGCTGTCGATAAATGTGAGGCCACTTCCCGAGGAGGCGTCCCGGACTTTGTTGATGATCTCGAGGCTCATGGTGCCGCACTCCATGGCAATCTTTGCCTGCGAAGAACCTGCCTGCTTGACGCCGGCGAGGACCCCTGTTGACGGATCGAGATAGACGCTGTCACAAGCGGCGTCGTTAGGGAGGACCGTGATGATCGTGTTCTAAGCAAGCGCTCAATTGAGGTGAGCCATACGTTGTCGTCGACGCATACTTACAGCCTTCTGGATCGCTTCGGACCCGTTTGCCGCAACGGCCACCGGTCCCACGTCCTTCATTTGCTCTTGGAACCTGGATATCGCGGTCTGAGACATGTCGCCCACAACGAGGGTCATGTCCTTGGGCATCTTGGTGCGTAAGTTGACGGCCATGTTGTAACCCATGACGCCGAGGCCTGAGCTTCGTTGGCAAGGTGGACACCCAGAGTCGAGGAAAGGGGATGCTTGCCTATGAAGGCGATGGCGTTCTCTGGCGCTGCCATATTGTCCCTCCTTCTTCTCGCTCGTGGTTGATCTCAATGTCTCCCCACGTATTTTGAGTGAATCCTTGGCTCCGTTTCCCAGGTCAAGTCACGGATTGGAGGTCGAACCTGTTACGCAGCGCACGATCTTTGGATGATGCGAGGTGGCATGTATCGAGAGAGAGGCTGAACTTATGGTCTCGTCTCCAACCCCCGAGAAGCCTACCTGTCTATTCATCTCCATATTCTGGCGTCGACCCGCGACGTCGGAGTATGCCGCCCCAGAGTGAGGCTTCGCCGTGAGGAGAGATTTCTGGTGAACGACCGCTGTGTTTCTCCGCATGTCGTAGGCAGGTTACCCTCGGCTGGGGAACGTTAAGGGGGACTCATCTGCCGCTGGGGGTTTGCTCCAAAGCTTTGGAGACGTAAGGATGCCTTATAGGACAGGTAAGCACAGGGGCGTCAACATGAGTGTATGAGCTCTAAGTCTTTGCGACCTGTTTCCCCGTCCAGGTCTTGCCTTGGCATGTTTGGAACGACCTCAGCCTCGTCGCAACGGCATCCAGCCTTGTTCCTCCTCCATACCGCCTACAATGCACTTTCCAAAAGTGGAGGGCCTTCTCTTGCTACGGTCGTTTCTGCTCTTGCAAGGACTTGAATTTTTGCTCCTTGTGTAGCCGCAGCATATTGTGAGTTGTGCGGCCAAGGGAAATTGTGCACTGACGAACCATCAAATGTTGGCTACCCGTACCCGAAAAATGATGTCTTCTGTCTCGCGGCATCACTGATACCACATTTGTAGCCTTTTGCCGAAGTCTTTTCAGGTTTTTTTGCTCGAAGTGACCTGACTCCTCCGCCGTACTTGGCCTCTATAAGATCTATCGGCTGCGCCGACCCCATGACGGTCGCCTAGCGGAGCGCCAGCCTGGATCCCTGAACCCCCGGTCTTTGCCGGACGTGTTCAACCGCCATCGTTCGTCCCATCCGTCTTCCCTGCGCCCATAGCTGTCTACACCATCCTCCACTGACCCTTCCACCAAGTCCGTTTGCTTCCTCAGCAGAACGGGATCCGTGGATTCTTTGCCTTCCCTTGGTCTCTCATAACATGAAAAGTTCAGTATCTGATCCTGGGTGATCCTGTTCTTCTCATCCTGGCAGTCATCGACGTTTGGATCACTAGTGCCCGAGATTCTCTGAGCATTGCGAAAGTCATCAGTGGAAGTAAAGTCAAGCTGTAATACATGGTTCTCTATCCCAGCGAAGATCGTGGGAGAGCTGGACGAAGGGCTTGACAGAGAATACACACAGCCACGGTAGCGTTGAGAGCGTTTACGAGGATGACGTGGGAGAGGTTCCCAGAGTCGTTCACCGATGTTGACTGTGGGGGTGAGGAAGATGTTGATGTCTCTCTGCGGCGTCCGACGTTTGACAGTCTGTGGTGGTCGTGCATCGAGATACGAGTACGCCCTAGCCCCTGGCATGCGGAAGTCAAAGGACTTCAGACAGCCGTTCTGATGACTGCCGGCAAAGAAGCGTTCGTGGCCAACTGGGAGGAGAGAAAGAATTTGCCCATCATCCACGGGATCAACGTACTCCGCCACTGATCTCCGAGGGACTCTAATGTCATAGAGCCGAGCAATTCCATCGGTCCAGCCGGACAGGAACAACTGTTGAGGGCGGCCTCCACTTACTCCCACGTCATCTAGCCGGGCAATGGTATTGGCGCTATGGCGGCCCATCCACGGATGACTAGACTCGGTGAAAGTCATTAATGCAGCTACTGGCGTCGAGGAGAGGCCAGCAGGGTTGATGTCGTAGATATTGATCGGGGCGTGTTCGCGACCCTCAAGGAACTGGTTGGCAACTGCGATCATTTTTCCGGGCAGAAACTTGACGCATCGCATGCGTGATCGAAGGCTGTGTCTCTTTTCCACTTTGAGGGAGCTAACGGGCCGCACAGCTTGGTCTGGACTATGCACCGGATAGAGGTTGATGCAGTGGCCTCCACAAGCTGCAAGGACAGGCTCAGCACTCTGACTGATATCTAAACAGGTGAACTCATCGGGAAGGTTCGAATAGCGAGACTTTGGCGTGAAGACGACAGGTTTAGAGGAAGTCTCGACACTGATGACTTCACGGTTGGCTCTTTGCAGGACAATTGTCTCGCCATCTGAGTTCTGGTGCTGATGGGGTCGTAAAAGCTTGACATCCAGAATATCCAGTTCTTGTCTATGGTCTTCTGGAACTCTGAATGAGCTCCAAGTCGTCACACCGTTTTGAATACTTCGAAGCTGCAGTCTCCCAGCTGCTCCCCATGCGAGCACTTCTTTCCGGTCTGCCCATGACCCTCCCTGCCATGTCTCATAACTGTCGATGGCTGGTCGGTAGCCTACCGGAAGACCAGGGGTCGTTTGGGGTGGATAGTCGCTATTGTCAACGGGTGGGCAGCATTCTCTAGCGATAAATGCCCTGCGGTCCCAGGCCCGAGATCGTGACGTCAAGGTGCGCGCGACATCTTTCCAATATGGTGGTGAATTGATTGTCGGAAAGGCCCTCTGCACAAATTTTCGAAAGACGCTATAGTCGTCTGCTGAGATAATCGAATGGATCTTGTGGTTTGCGAGCGAGAGGTTGATGATGGATGAAGTCGTAGGCAAGTAGGCGGCGATCTGTTGTATTACCTCAACGGGTAGATCTTGAAGCATTGGAGAAAGTGTTATATCTCACAGAAAGCGAGTATTTTGGCACCAGAACGAGCGTCTCCTGTTGTTTTTGATGTTGACAGAGAGCAAGTTGCCTCCTGGTTTCGCCATCAACATCTACAAAGTCGAAAATCGCCGCTCTGCTCAGATCGGCCAATTGACGTCATGCTTGGCAAGCTTGGCAGCGACGTCGATTCTCCGCGAATCAGCGTCAGCCTGGTTTCACCTTCATGTTGACCGCGCTCCCCCCAAATATCATCCATTGCGATCGACCTTCCATCTTGGTTGAGCGGGAGACGGCGGAGCTGATCGATCTAAGCCCTTCCCTGTCGTCCGGCGGAAGAAACATGGCCTGGGATGGCCACAATCAAGGCCATCGAGGCCAAATCAGTTCACCAGATTCAATCTGGTCAAGTCATCGTCGACCTTTGTTCCGTGGTTAAAGAGCTGGTTGAGAACAGTCTTGATGCAGGTGCCACTGCTGTGGAAGTCCGCTTCAAAAACCATGGCTTGGATTCCATTGAAGTACAAGACAACGGCTCCGGCATTGCCCCAGCGAACTATGAGACACTCGCCCTGAAGCACTACACTTCCAAATTATCCAGCTTCGATGACCTCTCTAGTCTACAGACCTTTGGCTTTCGAGGCGAGGCACTCTCTTCGCTCTGTGCTCTATCCAAATTCGGTGTCGTAACCGCACAAGCGGATGAGGCACCCAAGGGCAAACGGCTCGACTTTGATTCCTTGGGCAAGCTCAAATCTGTCACCGTCGTTGCCGCCCAAAAAGGCACTATTGCTAGCGTGGAGAATCTGTTCGAGAGTCTTCCTGTGCGACGCAAAGAGCTGACTAAGAATATCAAACGGGAGTATGGAAAAGTCCTGGGCTTACTCCAGGCCTATGCTTGTATTGGCGTCAACGTCAAATTCACCGTCAAGAATGCCATGCCCAAAGGGAAAAGCATGACGGTCTTTTCTACCAAAGGCAATGCCACAACCCGGGAGAATATTGCAAACGTCTTTGGGGCTAAGACACTAAGCGCATTGGTTGCTCTGGACCTTGAGCTGGATTATCACCCCACATTGACCCAAATGGCCCGAAAAGAAAAGCATACAAACATACTTGTCAAGGGCCACATTTCAAAGCCAGTTTTTGGAGAAGGCCGGCAGACGCCTGATCGACAAATGTTTTTCGTCAATGGAAGACCATGCGGGTTGCCTCAGATCGCAAAAGCCATCAATGAAGTATACAAGGCTTTTAACGTCTCCCAGTCACCCTTTATCGTCGCTGATCTTCAAATGGACACCAATGCCTACGACGTGAATGTATCGCCAGACAAACGAACAATACTGATCCATGACTCGGCATCGCTTGTTGAGAGTCTGAAGACTGCACTTAATGAAATGTTTGACCAGCAAGATCAAACGGTCCCTCAATCCCAGCTTGTCACGCCCAAGCTACCTGCTTTTCAGAAATTGAACTTCCAGCGCCAGACGTCCTCCCGTAGTTCCGAAATTGTAAGTCGAGAAACCTCGTTTCTGGAGCCCGCAAATCTCGTCGACGACAATCAAGACGAGGATGAATCTGAAGAAGAGCACTCCCAGACAGCATCATTGAAGGATGACTTGCAAAAATTCTCCCGTCCGCCACAGAGGCCTGCACCGAGTGGAAGATTGCAGTCAAAGTTGGGAAAGCCACGAGAAAAATTCGCGGACGAAGTAACTGAAGGGATGGGCGGGCAAGATACACCAACAGAAGGAGCGGTTGAAGATGATACTATGCAAGAAATGGCTGAGACAGATGCAATGGTCCAAGAGTCCGAGGATGAAGAAGAGCCTTCCCAGTCGGATCCAGTCAAGATACATGTCGGTGATTTCAACGCGAGAATGGCTGAAGCTCAACCCAGATTGTACGACCAGTCCACTACGCGCAAAGATAATGCACAGCAGTCGCCAGAGATCGAAGCCGTTGTGCAGTCAAGACACGACAAGGAGAAGGGGATCGTAGAGAATGCTTTTGACCGCATGAGGCCAAAGAGGATGCCAGCAGAAGTTGCCACTGTCACGATTGGAGACCGGACCTTTACCACAATTCTAGGCAGTCAATTTCCCAAACCGCATGAGAACCGTGACGTCCCTGACAGTCTGAAAGGCGCGAACCACATGCAAAAGCGCACCAAAAGTCCAGGCACTTTGCAGTTCTCTCAAAAGTTGCGCAGATTTGGTGCTCGAGGCTCCGATATTCTGGATGAAGCGGAAGGTGACGCTGTTGAACAAGCTGACACGGAACTTGGCGACAGTGATAGAGAGGTGAATGAGGAGTTTCACGCTGAGCAGGAATCCGATTCGGACGAGCAGAGCGTGGAGGACGACGAAGCTGCGGACGAGAATGAGTTAGACGCAGCACCAGACACGGAAGGAGAATCCGACGCAGACTATATGGATGACGAGGAGAAGAAAAGGATCGAAGAAGCCAAAGTGGCGGAGCTTATCCAGGCGGCTGAAGCCAGCTCTGCCGTTCCAACGAAAGAAAACTTGAAACGAGCAACCAAAGCCCTGGCGGGAGGACGAGCCAAGGAGTCCACAACCAATCTGTTAGCGACAGTTGGGTTCTCGATCTCAAGCGTGTCCCGACAAATGCGCGACTACGATGAATTAGCGAAGGCCAGTATGAACCGCCGACCTTCGCAAGCTGACGGAATTGACGACAGCGCTGCACAAGACCCAGAAGCAAGGCTTTCACTGACCGTGTCGAAGCCGGATTTCGCAAGAATGAGAATTGTTGGACAATTCAATCTCGGCTTCATTCTGGCTGTGCGACCCGCCAAGATGGGATCGGACCACAAGATCCAAACCACCCAGGACGAACTGTTCATCATTGACCAACATGCATCCGACGAAAAATACAACTTTGAACGACTGCAGGCCGAGACTGTCGTGGGCAACCAAAGGCTCGTCCGACCCGTGACACTCGACTTGACGGCAGTGGAAGAGGAAATCGTCCTGGAGAACAACGACGCTCTGGAGAAGAACGGATTTCTCGTAGAGATAGACACGAGCGGAGAACGAATGGTTGGACAACGTTGCAACCTCGTGAGCCTGCCACTCAGCAAAGAAGTTGTCTTTGGTATGAAAGACCTGGAGGAACTAATTCAGCTGTTGGCCGATGCACCTGGGCGTGGCGAATCTGATATTCCTCGCCCCAGCAAAGTGAGGAAGATGTTTGCCATGCGAGCCTGTCGATCGAGCATTATGATCGGCAAGACACTGTCCAAAAGGCAGATGAAGAAGGTGGTGGCAAACATGGGGACCATTGACAAGCCCTGGAACTGCCCGCATGGACGACCGACGATGCGACATCTGTGCAGTCTGGACACGCTGCAACCATGGCGTGAGGGAGAAGATGAACACGAGGACGCAGTCAGTCTGGGAGTGGCGTTGCACAGATTTGCGGCGGAGGACTAGAACGGGGTTGGGCCATTTTATACCAGGGAATGAAAAGCATCTATATCAATGGAGCGGATCAAAGGGACAAGGCACCAAGAGAGAGGGAGGTGTCACCCAGCGTGTGGCTCCGCATGCCATCCGTGCGTATCCTGGTGTCGTTTGTGAGGCTGCCGTGGGCTGTGTGGGTGTGTGGGTGTCTGTCGCTGCTGGTCTCCGAGTTTTCCCATCTGGCCGGTTACCGATGTTTGCCCGTGTGACGCAACCTCGCTGTGACACTCGTTTCCCAAGGTACGAGCAGCCAGTGGCCGTGGGCTGAGGTGATGTGCCTCGGCTCAGCGGACATCAAACTCGTCCTGTATCTGCGCAGCGTGCCAGTCCGCAGCCCGCAGCCCTGGGCGGCTCTCGGTCTCTCCCTTTTCGCAACCGTCAAGCCGTTGACTCCAGCGCGAAAAACACCGTCCTAACTGACTTCGCCGCGGCAATTCAATCCTCTTTCTCGCCTCGTGTGCCCTTCGCCTGCATCTCTCGTCCAATGCTCTCCGAATCCCCTCCGATCTAAAAACTGTCGCGTCACCTTCGATCGCTCGCTATATCCAGCCATAGACTTTTTTTTTCGGTGCCAGTGCTGTGTCCCTCCTTGCTTTTACTCTTTCTTGACTTTGTGTTTTTGGGGATGTTTCCCACACTGCCTCGACTAGGAGCACAAACAACTCTTCGTGCCATCCCCCGTGCTTCTCCATCTTCGGCTGCTCTCAAGGTAGGTGATCGTCTTTCGCTGCCAGTTGACGTCAGGTGGGGGAAACTGACACGCTCACAGGCCTTCGCCATGGCTCCTACAAACAAGCGGAAGGCCTCGAACAGGCCTCAATTCTGGGTGACTGAGGGTGAGTTGACACTGGAAACACCCGGCAGAAGAAGAAAACACTTTTGACACACACGGATGGCTGCAGAATACCGAGAAGACCTCTCCAAAGGCCCCATGCTCCGGTTCGAGGAATCTCTCCCCAGACTACCGGTCCCTTCCCTCGAAGAAACCTCCGCCCGCTATCTGAAAAGCCTGCACCCTCTCCTGACCAAGGAGGAGTATGCTGCTTCCGAAAAGGCCGTAGCTGATTTGAACAAACCGGGAGGCATTGGCCAGAAGCTGCAGGAGAGATTAATAGCCAAGGCACAAGATCCCAATGTCAAGAACTGGATAATTGACTGGTGGAACGAGGCTGCATACCTGGGCTACCGTGACCCTGTGGTGCCCTATGTCTCTTACTTCTACTCCTTCCGCGACGACCGCCGAAGAAGAAACCCTGCCAAACGTGCCGCTGCCATAACAACCGCGGCTCTCGAGTTCAAGAGACAGGTTGACGACGGGACTCTGGAGCCCGAGTACATGCGCAAGAAGCCCATGGCCATGAGCAGCTACCAGTACATGTTCAACACCTCTCGAGTCGCCGCCAACCCCGTCGATTATCCCATTCAGTACCCCGCCGCAGGCAACGAGCACATTATTGTCATGCGAAACAACCAGTTCTGGAAGCTTCAGACCCACGTGTCTGGCAGGCAACTCAACACCTCCGAGCTCGAGCTCCAGTTCAATAAGGTCTACAAAAATGCCCAGCTGGCCGACCCCATCGGGGCCCTGACTTCTTTCCCCCGCGATCAAGGCGCGACAGCCCGCGAAAACCTCCTGGCCGCATCTCCATTGAACGCCGAAGTCCTGAAACAGATCGAGTCTTCATCCTTTTTCGTGTGCTTAGATTCCAGCATGCCCATCACCCTCGAAGAACGCGCTCACGTCTACTGGCACGGCGACGGCTCGAACCGATGGTACGACAAGCCTGTCCAATTCATCATCAACGATAACGGCACCGCCGGCTTCATGGGCGAACATTCCATGATGGATGGCACACCGACCCACCGTCTTTGCGACACAGTGAACGCCTACATCACTCACAACAAACTTGACTTTGACAACCCGTCCATCCGTTCCGACCTGCCCGACCCTGTTGCCTTGAAGTTTGAAACCTCCGCAGCCGTGCTTGACGACGTGGCCAGTGCGCAGGCCCAGTTCCGTCAAGTCATTGCTTCCCACGACCTCCGCGTGCAAGCATACCAAGGCTACGGCAAGGGACTGATCAAGAAGTTCAAGTGCTCCCCGGACGCGTACGTGCAGATGGTCATCCAGTTGGCGTACCACAAGATGTACGGCAAGAACCGACCCACATACGAATCCGCCGCAACCCGCAAGTACCAGCAGGGCCGAACAGAAACCACGCGCACGGTCTCCGATGAGAGCGTGGCGTTCTGCAACGCCGTGGCCGACCCGTCTGTTTCTCGCGAGGAATGCGAACGTCTCTTCCGTGCTGCTGTTCAAGCACATGTCCAATATACCGCTGATGCAAGCGACGGGTATGGCGTGGACCGTCATCTATTCGGATTGAAGAAACTCATCCAGCCCGGCGAGGAGACGCCCGAGGTCTTCACCGATCCCGCGTACACCTACTCGAGCACCTGGTATATCTCGAGCAGCCAGCTGAGTTCAGAGTACTTTAACGGCTACGGATGGAGTCAAGTTGTGGACCAAGGATGGGGTATTGCTTATATGATTAATGAGAACAGGTATGTGTGCTTCTTTGTCCCCCCCCCCCCCCCCCATTTGCCCTTCTATTGTCTAGCCTCCCTGACACTACGTTTCTTGCTGGTGGTTGAATATTCTAACAAATCACCCGCAGTTTACAATTCAACATTGTCTCCAAGAAACTCGGCTGTGAACGGATGAGCTTCTACCTCAACGAAGCCGCCAACGACGTCAGAGACATGCTCCTCCCCAGCATGGAGACGCCCAAGGCCAAGCTGTAAACGGCGACACAGCGCGATCGACCTTTAAAAACTTTCCTTTGTTTGACGATGGGTGGAGTGGCAGACACCGCATCAACCCCAGCTGGCCTGCCGCGAGCATCTAAGAGCACATAATGCGCGAGCCACGGGTCAGCCAGCCCGGAGGGTGGTCGTGCCGAGGATGCGAGATGGTTGCATTTGTTCTTGTTGCCTGGGATCCGAGACCGAGCTTGATAGGCTGGCTCCCACCAGCAGGGTATCTGACGTCCGGGACAAAGCCAAGAGGGGATAGATCTCTCTCTATCTTGTGTTTGTGTGCTTTTTTGTTCAGTGGGTGCGCCCCACCCACCGCATCGCTTTGCTTTTTCTTTTCATGGGCAGCACAGTGCACATACGCCATGTCGTGGGGGCTTGCATAGAGAAATGAATGGGGGAGAGACATCGATGCGAGCCAGACATATTCGCAGGTGATGTTGTGTCAAGGGGGGAAGGGGAAGGCAATGTACGATACCATAACTGATATTGCCGTTTATTTTGCAGTTTGCTGGGGTATTTATATTACATTGCAAACTTTGAAGCCGACGTTTCAAGATTCATTTCCTTGAACCTCCACCCCACACTCGGCCGCCACGCATCAGGACCACCTCTTCCTGGCCCTTTGAGTCGTACCGCTTCACCACGTCGACGCCTTCTAGTCCCGCCTCACGCGCAGCCTGGTTCCAGAGAATTTGCTTGATGCGGCCTTTCAGCCCCGCAGCGGAGTGAGGGCGTCTGGCTGGGGGAGCGGACTCGTCTCGACTCGCATGTGGTAATTCTTCTCCAGGGCTCATGTCCTGATCCGTGACTTCTTCCATCATGACCCAGACCAAGCCACGTGTCGACCGGCTCATACTGTCCACCACGCCCTTGGTCGCTGGCCTCGTGCCTACCAGAACGCCGATGGCGGGCCCAGACCGCAATCCCGACAGTCGTGGCTCTTCTTCGCTGCAGCTCCCCGAATTCCCATCTTCGGCTGTCATGCTCGCGGTCCTGTTCTGAGTGTAGACCATGTTAACCAAAGCTGCACTTCTGGTCGCTCTGACGGCCCCGTCCAGTTCCCTGACCAAGTTCGGCCCAATCCTCGCGTGCCTGCCCACCAGCCGTTTACATTGGACGAGGACCTTGAGCTGCAGGGTCTCCACTCCCTCGAAGTCTTCAGTTCCCGCATAATGATGCCCCTGACCGGTGGTGTGCTTCTTCTCTTTCCAATCACCCGAGTGTGACAAGACGGGCACCTCCCAGATGCCTACGAGGTCGACGCCGCGATCGCCTCGGCCGCCCACTCGATGCAGACTAAACCCATACGGTCGGAGGGTCGACTGTGCGAGGTATTCGTAGGTCGTGCCAGCGTAGACCGTGCTGGTCGGCGCCAGACCGGTGCGCCGGGCGTAGGCGTGGAAGGAGTCCAGGGAACTGTGCGGGGAGGACGGGTCCAGGAGTGAGGATGTCTGCGGTGTGGAGAGCGAGGGCGATGCTGGCTTCTCATGCGCCGATGCAGAGTGAGTGAGCCGTCTGACCGTCTCCCTCCTCCGCGAGAAGAGTGGCAGCCCAGTGTGCGCTCTGCGTGCACATCCTGCCGAGGAAGACCATAAGTGTCTGGTTACAGTCACATTTCGGACAAGGCGCCAGGTGATTGTGCCATATCTGCGGCTGCTCCAGGAGTAGCAGCTGCCGAGCATACAGTCTACATTCCCGGGAGGATTGAAGGGATTCAACAAGTGTAGGTAAAAGGAGTAAAGGTAGTGGTGTGGTGGTTGTTACTGCATCAGTTTTCCGAAGGAGCTGCGGAAACAATAATAATCCAGGATGTCAACGTCCTACGGCTGCCTCCGTCGCTAGCCTCCGCGAGCTCTCCTCGCGTCACCTAATCTAGTAAGGTGCCAACGGGTGCCCCGCGCCGAATTTGGCGGCAGGTATCGCCGCTTTTGAAGACCGGATTTCCCTCGATACTGGCTTCCAACCTATGCGACTTTCCCACTCGATCCAGATGGAACGGCATCATTGTGCCGTGGTGCCCCAATTACCATCTTCAGTCGCGGATGGCGGTCGAAAACACTGGCGGCGAACAAGGCGTCTGAAGCTGTAGGGCTTGCCAGTGAATAACGAAAGCTGCAAGCAGGAACTATCATGCCATCCTATTTTCTAACTAGAGCTCAGAGTCCTAGACATTGGGAAAGCGATGTCGATCAAAATCGAGGAACAGAACCGTGGGTATTGATGGCTGCACCCTATAGCATAGAGTCTGAAAATGGGCTGTACAGTATGTATTATTAGGTAGCCTATATACCTAGTTTGATAATTAACTGTCCCCGTTCAGCCAAGGCCGCCGAGGTATCGAATTGAAATGTCATGTTCTTCGCTTTTCATGGTTCCAAATTAAGTAGTCGTCCTTTTCAGCGGTGTCGCTCTAGTATGGCGTGTAGATGCATAGGCCTCGTCAAGGAAAGGCCACGGCTAAATGCCGTTTTGTTTCAGAAACTTTGTGATGACCTCGAACGACCCAGTGGCATTCAACTGCATTTTGGGGATATCGATTACTAGTAGTTCCTGGTTTCGAGGATGGGAGGGGGGGTAACATGGAGCGAAACGTGAACTTACAGCAAAATTCACAGCGTGGCCACTCTTCGGCTGTATATAGGTGACAAGAGGCTTTGCCGCCGGGAAGACTTGACTCGGGCCTGTTTCCAGGAACCCCGGACAGTATCCTCCGCAGGCAATCAGGTCGTACTCACCGCTACGATCATGTTAGCCTCGGGAACGTAACTCGCATCTTAGACGAATTTTACCTCAGAACCTAAAGGACGATCAGCATAAAGGTTTCGTAATCAGACGAACAGAGACATACCATGACAGGGCCGGTGAAGCCAGGAGACGAGAAGTTGGCCGCTCCAATACTGATTCCTTCCAATAGGCCAGTGGGCTGTTTGTTGTCCTCGGTCCATTGCACCACCTTTCGATCGTAGAAGGGAGGTTTGAAGAAGCTAAGTAAGAGTAAGTACTCGGTCAGCCGATGGACGATGGCCAGCAGGTACATCACCGGGAGTCTTACCTCTGGATATTTGAGTAGACGTCGGACCAGGTTGTCCAGCCACCGTCGAAGCTTCCGAATCTAAAGGGATCTTCTAGCTTCGCGAGTCGCGTTGTGTCGCCTCCTGGGGGAGGAAGGACGTTGTAAGCAATGCCGGTGAGGACCGCTGCATCGACCAGAGCCGGATCGGTGTTTAGAACACCATTCGAGTACGCGCTTCCAAGACTATGGCCCACCAGGGCGACCTTGGCGGGAGGATGCCCGAATTTGCCGGAGCGGATCACCTTGACAAGTTCCCTGACAACGGCCGTGTGGATTGAAGTCTGCGCGACATATCCAGAGAGGCTGCGGAAAATGGTTAGTGATGATTAGCGGAGCAGGATTCGGGAGGGAATTTACCTCTGGGATAGGCCGAGACCTACTCTGTCATAGTAGAAGATCGAATAGCCTCGCGCGACGGCATAGTCCACGAAGCTGTAATTCTCCGGTTGGATGGAGGGATCCCAGTAGCTTTGCCATCGGTTAGCTTCTGGATGTTACCACGTACTTGTAGGCCGCGGGCTGGAAAGCGTACTATCTGTCGTATCCTCCGCCATGTGTGGCTAGCAGGACCGTTCCATTTCCTCCACTGGCTGGCTGACAGAAGGTGCCGGCTACCGTGTAGACAGCTGTCTCGGGTGCAGTGGGAGGATTGACTGGCTGGAAAACGGTCACGGCATCGCGACGTGCTCCTTGAATGCTGTATGCCGCCGCATCCTCGTTGGTTTCGAGCGTATCGAGGGCCCACTTAAGGTTCAGAGTGGTCACAGTAAGAGGAACAGTGTAATCTTGACATGATTTCACGGCCTTCACTGGGACAATAGGAGAACCTCGGGCTAAGGCTGTCAGGCAAAGCAGAGAGGAGAAGAACAGTCGCATAGTAAGAGACAGTTGAGATCGCGCGAGGAATGGGGAATCTAAAGGACGGTGAGAAGATGAGACGTGTACCGGGGGCTAGAACTCTTTAAATCATTGCTGCTGTCATATTCATCGGAAATTGCAACAGCATCATTGCCTGCTCTTGGTTAGAGAAGCTCGCCATGATACGCTGGAGGTGCGTATTCGCCAGGATTTGTGTTCGCCCTGGCACATGTCCACGCCGAAGCTCCGTCAGAGGAGATGCTACCGGTAAGGGCGAGGAAGTTCTCTTAGGAGGACGTAGCCTTCTTTAGGTACAATAGGACCGAATTACAGTGTCGAAAAGGTTTGCGCAACAGCGCGCTGCTCGTGCAGACTCGTGCACGATAGTCACGACGATTATGACGTTGATGAAGGTCCCGTTGGGAATGACTCGGGACCGCGCATTCGCGAATTCGCTTAGTGCTTGGCAGAATCGAGCTACACCAAATTTAGCTAGTGTATATTTCTCCATGCTATGAATTCGGTGGTGGCTAGCTACCTCGTACTCTGTAACCTCGTATGCTGCGTCGCGCGCAACCCGCTCACTCCCGAGTGGGCCAAGTTGGGCGGCGTAAAGGCGCGGGTGCACAGCCTACGACCATGACCGAACCGGCTGGACCGCCTACAAGTAAACCGAAGGCGGATTTCCCGGTACCGACGTTACTTTACGAGTATTCAAACGTTGCGACCATTGTAGCGACAGTTAAGGACAACTCAAGTATTGGGCGATCGTGGCGTCTAGTGGCTTGTGAGGGATGAAGGCTACTGCAGTGGCACCGGTTCTCTCGCAAGCCACAAGTCACATGGACTCTGGAAGCGCCTCATCGGATTCAGCCCTGGGTTAGCCTGGCTAGGCGGCCCTCGGCCTCAACTGCATATCTGCAGTTGCCTGGCTGAGGCTGCCTCGCCCATTTGGTTTCTACCAGAGACAGCCGCGCAGAATTCGCCGAGCTTGATTTCAAAGCCAAAAGCGGTGCCATTGAGACCTTGGGAAGCCCGTCAAAGGTCTTTTGGCGCTTGATCGATTCGGAGTGGATCTTCCCAGCTCGGAGTCCTGCCTGAGCCTCGCGGCCTCAGCCACCGGGTGTGAAGTTTTCAGTACCTAGCGTCAAGAATGACACGCGATATCGAATCAGGGTTGTGGAGCGGCATAGAAGAAGTCGATAGGGGTATGTATGTTGATTCCATGCATGTCCCGGGTCCCCATCAAGAAAAATTGCTTGTAGTGGCTAACATGAAGACTTGGAGGTATCTCCAATCCACGGACTCTAAGTGATGAAGAGAAGAGTCCAGCTGTTACCCAGATTAGCCACGTATTGGACTGGGAAGGTACTGGTCGAAATCAACGATCTCGAACACCTCCCAAAAGTGGGCCGCCGAGTTTAGCTGGAAGCCTTGTTAGGAACAGAACTCTTCGCCACAGCGGTGAGTTGCAAAGACATGAGACTCTCCAACATTTCGACGAGAGGAACAAAGTGGAGGTCGGTTTTCCCACTCCACTTCAGCCTCACCAGCCCAACCCTTGAACATGCTCGGGAGTGTCAGAAGAACCCCAAATGATACCGCTACATTTCATATAGAAACACCATGTCCGATTATAGCTCTATTCAACTCGAGGTCTTCTACGACGTTACCAGGATTACATTGAGGAATCGTTGCCGAGCGTTTCCCGCTTGGACTGAAATATCAACCCTTTCTCAAAAACTTCCCACGCCTTATTCAGAACTTCGTGACTGGCAAGATTCGTGTCGCCTACGACATGCTGCCTTTTTGCTGATTGATTGGATAGCCACCGAATCCGGTGGTATGTGAGCGGGGGGTAGCCGAGTTGCGACAACACTTATTCGCTCGACTCGGACTTCGTTGTATCGATTTTAGTTATATATGTTGGGCGCTTGACCTCAAAGTGACTTCCTCCAATATGGCGCCAGTGCTATGCATCACCAACTGTTTTGGCTTCACCGACGTTCATGTCGCAGTCGCTGGTGTCTTGCCAGACTGGTTGGGATTAATCACGGGCGTGTTCCGTCTACCTCGTAGATAAATTTCTGTGCACTGCAACACTTCTCCCGTCCAGAGATTGATTCGCCTTTGCATTTCATTGCTACGTTGCGGTCTATATACAGGGCACTACGGACGATTGGGATGTGGAGTATTTCGCCAGAAGTGCTTGAGTCGGCTGCTCCAATCCCCCATTCTGGAAACAAGTCAGCAACCCTGGCTGCGCAGAGGATCCGGCTGAATCTATTGCGCTTCTGAGTCCCAGTCATTTTATTTATGAGGCTAGAATCATGTTCCGAGGTCTGGCCATAAGAATAGCCTCAAAACCCTTGAGCTAAGAGCTAGCCGAATGCAGAGTCTTGCGTTTGGTGGGCACTCTCATGCTTTCACGACTTGACCACGGCAGTCACCTCGCACGTTCTCCGCGTCGGAGGCTTAGCTGTCTGTGGGCGCCTCGAACATTCATCCTCGTAACGGAGTGGATCCTTGTTCTGATCCTTGTTCTCCAGGTTTTGCCTTGTCCGGGGTTTCGGAATATCACGTGGAGGTTGGAATCGACTTCTGCGTCCGTCCCTGCCATTGTCAATGGCATCTGGCGTATTATAAAAGCCAGGGAGGAGAAAACCTCGTTGGTGTACGGAGCGATGGTGCCCTTTCTCTGCGCATCTTCTGCTACTTGATCCACGACGTTCACGACAATGGCACAAATCACCAAAGAGGGCGACCCTCGTCTCTGGGCGGACCATCTCGAGATTGAGCCGGAAGAAAGGCTCAACCTTCAAAGTCACGGCCTCGTAGAGGCTGCACATTTGTACAGAGGTACAAGGCCACCATCTTTATGAGGAGACAAACATATTAACAGAGCTCAGAGGATACCAATGGCAAGGTCACAGGCAAATATCTGATTCCTTGTCCCACCAACGATCCGGCGGATCCACTCGTAAGGACACAGGAGCTCCCATTCATTTGGCTGGCACCTTCTGACCGTGTGCCTCCGTATAGACATGGAGCCCCTGGCGCAAGGCTCTCGTCATGGTTGCGACCTGCTTCTTTGTTTTCATGTCCAACTACATCACCGCGAGCATCTCGCCCATTCTCGTCCCGATCATTGTCGAGTTCGACATCAGTGTGACAAAGGCCACGTACCTGATCACCTGCAACATTCTGACTTTGGGTCTGGGGGTGAGTGATAAGATGGGCCTACGGGTACAAGCCTAAATAGCTGATCCATCTTGTCAGAATTTGTTCTGGGTGCCACTGGCACAGAAGATTGGAAAACGACCGGTGCTGGTGATCTGCGCCGCGGTCTTCTTCGGTTCCAGTGGGTCGATGCCATCACTCCTCACGCGTCAGGCTTGCATACTAATGGAGAACCAGCCATCTGGTCTGCCAAAGCGGGCTCCTGGGGCTCCCTGTTGGGGGCGCGGATCGTCCAAGGTTGGGGAGCAAGCTGTTCAGAAGCGCTTGGTGTGGCCATCGTAAGTTACGGTTCCCAAACTGACAGCGACACCCTCTTTGACCTGCTCTAGGTTGCCGACTTGTACTTCCTACACGAGCGAGGCGCCAAGGTCGGCCTTTACACGTACGTCAATATAAAGCCCCCCGTCTCGTGGACTCTGCATTTCTGACGTTGCGCAGCCTCATGATTGCGGCCGGCTCAGCCATCGGAGGCATCTTCGCCGGGTTGATAGGTCACTACAACACGGACTGGAGATGGGTCTTCTGGATGGACACCATTCTCACTGGAGTCTGTCTGCTCCTGACCGTCGTCTTCCAGGCCGAAACAAATTTCAACCGACCCCTGGCAAGCGAGGTTGGCGAGGGCATGGAAGCTTCGCAGTTCGCCGAGCTCAGAGCTCAACTTCGAGGTCGTTGGACAAAAGGCCTAGGCTTGACCGGTTGGTACGATAGGTAAGCACACCCTGTTGCCGGTGTAATGGCATCTTTTTGCCCATGATCTTGCTGACTTTCATCTGCAGCCGTACATCTATGTGGCATTTGTGGTGGCGACCACTTCTCTTGCTCCAGTTTCCGGCCGTTGTCTGGGGCTCCGTCACCTACGGAATCACGCTGGGCTGGGTGGTCCTCCAGCAAACGGCGAACGCCACCGCCTTCCCCGAGATCTACGGGTTTACCGAGTTTGGCGTGGGAAACCTCAATATTTCGGTAACCCTCCTCCCAAACTCTCACAACTTGCGCTCTCTCATTGACCATATTTCCGCAGTATCTGATCGGAGCCATCCTCGGCTGTGCTTTTGGCGGCCCGACCAGTGACTGGGTCGTGCACTGGATCACCAAGCGCCGGATGGGCTACTTCGAGCCCGAGTTCCGGCTCTGGTTGATTCTCCCATCGGCCATCCTGGGCCCCGTCGGCCTTCTGATGTGGGGCTGCGGCCTGGGGAACCATCTGGATCCCTACATCGCCATCGTCGGCTCGGGCATCACGTACGGGGTCCTGTGTGCGGTCCCGGCGGTGGGCATGACGTACGTCGTCGACTGCTACAAGCCTCTGAGCGGCGAATCCATCACCGTTTTGACGGCGTTCAAGAACACGTTTGCCTTCGCCGTCAGCTTCGCCGTGAACCCCTGGCTCACGCGCGACGGGTATGCCAAGGTCTCGGGGTACATGGTGTTGATCGAGGGCCTGCTTTTCCTGACCACGATTCCCATGTACATTTACGGCGCGAGGGCGAGGAAGTGGACTGCCAAGCTGGTCACTTAGGCTTGCCGGAACTATTGTTAGGGCCCCCTCGTCAGCTTCACTGATTGTCATCTGGTTAAGTGTTGGAATCGACAATGTTAGCTTTGGTCCGTGTACTACAAGACCTATCATGCCTCGTCTCTAGATGGGCAGTTTGATCGGTAGAGACAGCCTGACGTTGTCTTGAGCACGCCGTATCCATATATGCCAAAGATCCAGGCCTCACTCCTTGCCATATCTGTATGCCCGAATTTGGATGGAGCCATTAGACGAATACGTCTTCTATGAATTAAACATTTCTCAACCCCACGTGGCCACCGAATATAGCGGTGCTTCTGACTGTGGGCGACGCACCGAAACCTCAATTTAGTGCAGAACAAGTTCTCTTGTACGATCTGAGCTTCGCGTGTCCCCTGTTGGTTTACTGGAACTCGAATGTTTTAAGATATGCGCCTCCACTGTCACAGTGACAATTCAGTGTTGCCATGGCCCAAGCAGCTCTGGATCAAGATATTTGAGACACCCTCCTTACGTAGTATCGCGTAATGCATGCCATCACATTGTCATATAGGATCACAAAGCTTGTCGCATGCATAGCTTATGACAGGAATAATGAGTGTATGGCCAGCGCCG